TAGATCGGCTACTAGCGGTAGTACTTATCATAAACCTATTATTTAGAATGATAGTTCTAAGGACAAAGTCTAGCCACTACGTAGCTACTATTAGGCTTAGCACAAGAGTACTACTAAGGCTGCTACTTAGTCTACTCCCTCTGTTACTTAATCCCCTAATGCCGGTAGCGTAAGATCCTAAGAACTTAGTATAATAGAACGTTTTATAGCTACTATAGCTCGTAGCTAGCGTATTTCGCTACCTCCTATAGGAGCTTAAGGCTCTCTATATTTCTAAGGCAAGAATATTACTTGTTTCTTACTCCGTTAGGAAGAGTTCTATAATAACTACTAAGTATATAATAGTAGCATTGTCACTAAGATCCGCTTCTACATAGATAATGACATTGCCGATTAGGTCTAGAGCTATAAGGAATATAAAGCGAAGGATTAAGAAGCTCTAAAGTTACGCCTTAAGAAAGACTTTAAGGATAGAGACATTAATTCTATTAAGAATTCTAAGGCTACATTAAAAGAGCTAGCTAGTAAGGGATGTACTAACCCTTTAGAGATTAAGAACTATTGTCGTCTTTACTTATCCTTATGTTCTAAGATCCCTAAAGAGTTACTTAGTAACATGTAGTGTACTATAACCTTCCTCCGTAGGTTGCTAAAGGATTACTATAGTAAGATTATACGAAAATACATAATCTAAGAGGAAGTACCTAGCTCGTTTCTAGAGTTTAAGAAGGTATAGTAGTTTACGCGTAACATAGCTTATATAGAGCTTAGCATTGCAAGCTAACGCGAAGATCTAAAGGAAAGAGAGGCTTATATAAGTCCTCTATTTAAGGATCGCTAGCCGCTAGACTTTAGAAATAAGTTAATACGTAAGGATCCTATTACTAAAGCCGACGCTAGTAAAATTAGCGAACTTGCTAAATAGATGCATTAGTTAAGTATCCATCTAACGTAGTAGAACTTATCTAAACGTGCTATTAATAAGCGTCCGTGGTATAACAATAGGAATGCTAGTAGGCCATATTAACTAACTAGATCCTAAGGCTCTCTAGCTACTAAAGCTAACGCCATGCCTCTTAGTTAATAATAACCTAGGTTGTCTAGTTATTACTTCTATGCTAGGGATCACTTACGAAGAAACTATTTAGCTAAGAAGTAGTACTTTAACTAAGGATACCTTATTAAGTGTAAAGGCCGGAAGTACTTTAAAGATAGCAAAGGTAATAAGAGATCGGTTCCCTTCTAAAGAGGAGAGCCGATTATTAAGTTACTTAATACGGCGCTTAAAACTAAAGGTATTAATCTTCTAAAGGGTGTAAATATTAGTGCTATTTAGATTAGCTATTATACATATTAACCGATGGTTAAAGATGGCGAGGACTTAGATGTAGATAAGGAAATCTAGCGTTATAGTATATACGCCGCTTATTAGTATAGGCCTACTAATTAGACTTAGCCTTTAAAACCGAATAACCGAGACTATAGGGTTAATAAATTAAGGGAGAGAGCTAAAAAAGAAGCTTCTCTACTAACTACTCGTACTCTACGTACTAGCGTTTATGTAGGCCCTTATAAATAAGTAACGGGTAAGACGTTATAAGAGAAGGATAAAGTCATAGCCGATATTAAGATATCGAAACTAAAGACTATTAGATTAGACAAGAAGTTACACCTTAAGACTAATCTAGAAGCTCTCTTTAACGATTTCTTAGACACTACTATGCCTATTAAACTTTAAACTATTCTCGGCTCTTCTCTAGAACTAGCTCGCAAGCTATTTTAACGTTATTAAGTTAATGCCGCCGAACTAGAGAAGGGGCGTAGTATACATATAGAGCACATATATATAGAAGATATAGAGTACAAACTAGATGTCTACCTAGCTTAGAATAATGCATTAGTACCTTTTAAGAGTATAGTAGGTATTAATAACCATGCTATCGGTATTAGACACATCGGTTTAATAGATCTAGATAAAGTTTTAGCAGCTATAGCTAAAGATTTAATCACCGCTTATTATCCTACAACCCGAGTCTATCTTAGAGAATGTAGATAACGAATTAACGCATTAATAGACTCTAGGTTAGAAGTAAATATTATACTATATTACATGGCTTTAGAGATGGGTTTGCTAACTAGAAGGTTTAGTATAGCTATAAACACGTTAACTAGAGACGCTACGCTAGCTAGGTATACCGTGAATATTAACGTTAGGATCGGAAGTATGTCGATTCTAACGGCCTTCTTATTAAGCAAAAGCAAGAAGGAAATAGTAATCCTTAGGCGTCCGTTTAAAAGGCGATCTAGAATGTAAGCTTATAACAATAGCGATAGTAGCTAGGAAGCCACTATACATTTCTTAGATAGCTCGGAATCGGTTACCTTCTTAGGTGTTAACCTAAGTTATATATGTAATTAGGACTTAAAGGGCTTTATTAATGCTAATAGCAATTTAGGAAAAGCTATAGCGATACCTCTACTAGTAGGGGAGTCGTATCTATAAGGGAATCTAGAACTAGCTAATTAGAGGACGATAACTCTAGAGTTACTATCTTAATTAGGAAATCGACTTTTCCTAATCCGGCAGGCTTAATTCCGGGCACCTTTGTTTTCTTGCCGCGGCCCCTATCTAAAGCTATAACATATAGGATAAGCCGTAAGTTTAATATTCCTTTCTTTTAGAGTAATACTTAGCATTATAGCATATTTATAAATTTAGTTAGCATTAACACTATATATAAGAGGAAAGCTAATAAAGTAAGACCGCTAGATTTGCCTCTAGAGGATGGTTTAAAGCCTAGGGGGCTTAAGAACTAGCATGAATTAGCTTTAGAAAGTAAGAAGGGGTTGCCTTACGTAGGTCCCTTTAGCTAATAGCTTACTCTAAAGTTCTCGATAATTCCTCGAGGGAGCAGGTTAATAGATAAACATGTAAAGAGCTTAGTTATTAGGCCTAGAGTTTAGCCTTAAGAATGCGAATTACTACTAGAGATGCTATATCTTCGAGAAAAGTCGCTATTCTAGGACTTTACTAAGATCGGTTGCCTTAGAGAAGAAGTATCTCTACTACTTAAAATTAAAACTATAGAACACTAAGCGTAGTAGTATAAAGGTTTCTAGATTCCTCGAGCTTTACATAGTTAATTAGTAGACATGTTATGCAAGAGGTTAGCCGTAAGACTATTTAAGAGATGCTATGGGCCGTATAGGAATCCGTACTTCTTAGTTAAGAAGAAAGAGGCTAACAAGTTTAGACTGGTTTTTATAGCCATGCTTATTAATGCCGTTATAATCTAAGACACTAACCTGCCTTTTAATGTTAATAAATTTACTAAAGAATTTGCTAGAATGGCGGTTACGTCGCTAATTAACTTATTCTCTAGTTATAATTAATTCCCATTAGTAGAAAAGGATAGGGATTTAATAGCTATTATAACTCCGCTAGGCTTATTAAGAATGACGAGGCTACCATAAGGAGCAACTAACTTAGTAGCTTAATTTGTATGTTTAATAAGTAAGGTACTTAAAGTTCATCTTCTATATCGAGCTTAGCCTTTTCTAGATGACATTAGCGTTAAAGGCCTAACTTTATAATAGAATAACAAGGAAGTAATACTAGGCATTTGCAAGTTTATGTTATAATATATCTAATAGTTAGATAGCGTACTTGCTAATATTAAGTATGCTAGTTTAATAATTTCTAGTGCTAAGTTGCAGTTCTATATAGAGGGCGTTAAAGTTATTAGCTTCGTCTACAATATCAAAGGCAGATATCTAGAGACTATAAAGGTAATTAAGATCCTTAAATAGTTAGACTTTCCTAACGCTAAAGAGCTTTATAGCTTCCTCGAATTAGTAGTATACTATAGGATCTAGATTAAAGACTTCTCCTCTAAAGTAGCTCTACTATATATACTACTAAAGGACGACGCTAGCTTTGTTTTTAAGAAAGAGCATTATAAGGCTATTAGGATATTAAAGGAAGCCCTTACTTTAGTACCGGCATTAAGAGGACTAGACTATAAAGAAGGTTATAGAGATATCATTATAGCATATAATGCTAGTAGGACCGCATAGGGTAGACAGATTTATTAAGTTAATCGTAAGAATAAGTAGCGCTGCTATATCATTTAGTTTAAAAGTAGCTTATAGAGTGAAATAGAGCAGCGGTATAATGCTAGCAAACAAGAGACTCTTAGAGTGCTTAAGCTTCTTAAGAAATGCCGAATGTACTTTATAGGGTTTACTTTATCCTAGAAATCGATGCGAAGATATTAGTAGCTTAGTTAAATAAGGCTGCTACTAATCTTCTAGGATTAGTTATAGCTCGTTAGGTAGCTTAGATACGACTATTTAGCTTCGAAGTGCGGTATGTTTCTAGCATTAAGCATATAGTAGCCGACGCATTATTAAGGAAACTAAGGACTACTTTAGATACTACGGATAATCTCTATAAATAAGATATTAATAAGTTTATTAATAACGACTTATTTCTAGATAGTGCTATAGGCAGCTATAGTATATAGGTGTCGCTAATCATTATAGAAACTACTCTTAGAGATAATAAAGTTATAAACCCTCTATTATTAGAAGAGGGATATTCGGAGCGCTTATAGTAGGTAGCTAGATACCTAACGTCGCTTAAAAGACTAGAGGGCATAGACCTAAAAGAGTTTACTAAGTTAAAGAAGGAAGCTTTATAGTACTTATATAAAGATGGTTACTTATATCGTTAGTCTCGGAAGTATGCTCTATTATAAAGAGTCGTCGATTTACTTAAGGCTTAGTAAGAGATCTTATATGCGCTATATAATTATAGTAGACATTATAGTAGAGAAGCTACTACTTGTAAAGTGTCTAATTAGTACTATTAGGACAACATTTAGAAAACAGTATTAGTATATTACGTAAGATGTCGCGAGTGTTAGTTACGTAATATAGATAGGTAGTATGCCGAACTATATCTAATATAGATTATCGCTCTTAGTAAGAAATGGTATATAGACATTATATACATGCCTATAAGCTTCGGAGCTTCGTACCTTATTATAGCTAGAGAAGGTCTCTCTAGCTATCTAGAAGCTAGAGCATTAAGAGATCCGACCTCGAAGCTAGTAGCTAAGTTCTTATACGAAGAAGTCATCTATCGGTATAGCTATTTCTATAAGTTAGTTATTAACGGAGGCCCTAAGAACACCGGATATACCTATGATCTTACTAAAGACTACAGCATTAAACGGATCCTAATCTTGCTATATTACCTATAGTTAAACGCGCTAGTAGAGAGGGGACATCTAGATCTTATTAATACTATCTCGAAGCTAATAAATAGAGGCTAGCGTCCTTAGACATTAGTCTTGCACTCTATGCTATAGGTAGACCGTATAACTATAAAATAAACTACTAAGAAGTCGCTAGTAGAGCTAATATATGGAGTTAACGTTATTCTGCCTATTAAGTTAAGCTATAAATCTTGGCGAACTATTAACTAGAGAAAGGTAACGTCAACTAAAGAACTCCTTACTACAAGAGCCTTATAACTTACTAGTAGAGATAATAACTTAGAAGAAGCATAACTTAGACAATACTAATTATGTAAGTAGAATAAGGATTACTTTAACTAGATCTATAATATAAGTTTCGAAGTACTAGATATAGGGATAATCATTGTCGTTTATAATATAAAGTATAAGAAAATTTATAATAACAAACTCCATTTTAAATAGGTTAGGCTATATTGCATCTAGAGTAGAGATAAAGCATATAGCACATACTAGCTAGAAACTATAGATAGTATGCTGCTAAAAGCCTCGTATACTAGAGACTGGTTAAAACCTTAGTTTAGACTAGAAGAGAAAATTGCTAATCTAGTTAAACCTATAACTAAGGATAATAATGTAAATATAGCAAGCGAACTTAAGTAGAGAGCTAAATAGTAAGATCTTCGACTAGCTCGGCGATTATAGGCCGTAGTAGTTAAGACTAACCCTAGCTTCGATAGAAGTGCCTATTAGGACTTTAGCTAGTAGAGCTTATAGCTCTTTAACGAAAATTAAGAGATATCCTAGATAGTTATCTTTAACATTAAATAAAGAAGAGGTAAATCGATTTAATATCCTTATTGCACTTATTTATTATAATTTTATCGCCGTACTAGTTTATTATAACTTTATTGTTACACTTATTTATTATAACTTTATCGTTATAGTATTTGCTAATAGGATAGGAAAGTAGAGTAAACGCGGAAAGGGTAAAAACATGCGCTAGCGTAAGAAACTAGAAAGCAAACATGTTATTAAAGGCCTTTATTAAAAAAGATGAAGTTATTAACTATAATAGTAACTAGTAGTAGCTAGCTAATTAGAGACAGCGACTTAGATTAGCTAGCTAATTAGGAGACGGTAACTCTAAGTTACTATCTCGATTAGGAAAGAGGTAACTTCTTAAGGACGAGAATTCGTAGTAGAGGAAGGACTTCCTTCCTAATTAGGAAATTGCAAAATAACACTCCCTCCGAGTACTTAGAAATTCCGTCTTGCACTTACACTCGGCGCGCATAGCGACTTTTATAAATACGCGTATAAACATTAACTTGCCACTTCTTAACTCCTACTCCTAAACTTTAATAACATCTCCTCCTTACTTACTTACTTATAATTTTAACTACTTCTTACTAGTTACGCGTAAAATGTCTACTAGCGGCATCGACACTAGTTAACGTGCTCTAGCTATCTATCCTTAGGAACCTATTAATCTCCTTATAAGTCTATAGGCTCTAGCTATTCTACATAACCGCGTTCCTAATCTTTACGTTACTACTATATCTAACTTATTTAAGTAGGCTAAATAGGCCGCTACTAATAAGATTAAGTGTAAACATGCCGAAATTATCCTAGAACTCTTCTAAGCTTAGTAGGAACTCCTAGACTACTTTAGCCTCCTATTCGATAGATAGTTACGCCTCTATATTATACCTTATATAGATCCTCGCTCTTTTAAAGTCACCTACTTAGAAGCCATTACTCGCGTAAAAACTACCTACGACACTTAATAGTAGTCTCTCTAGATAGTAAATAAGCTCTATAAGCTATTCCCTATTATCTCTTCGGAACATTACTACCTAGTCTATAATAAAGACGCCTAGCCTCCTAGCATACGTAAGCATAACGAGCTCTATATTCTTACTTAAGTCGTTAAGACTAGTGTTACTCCCGAAGTCCTTTACTATGCCCTTACCTACGCCTACTTATTCCGCGTTAAGACTAGTAGCTAGTAGTATAAGGTTCCTCTTATCTACTAACGTCCCTTTAACCTTACTAACATCCTTAACTATAAGGTTAGTAGCTCTAAGGAACTTACTATCGATAAGCATCTTCGCTTAGCTAGCTATAGTTTAGCAGTTCGCACTAAAGGTAAATGCTATCTAGTTTAGCTTAAGGACTACCCTTACCTTTAAGCTCGCATCGAGAGAGCTCGCGATAGTAAGACTATATCCTCTTCCCCTAAAGTTAATAACTAGTAATACATCGAACCTACCTACCCTAATGTTTCTTTATCTCCTCCTACCTATAATAATATCTAAGCCCCTACTACTAACGTTCCTAACGTTACTACTCGCTAAACTTATAAGCGCTAAAAAGAGTAGGACGACATCGCTGCTGCTAATTAACTTTATAATTAGGATAAGATAGCTATTAATAATGCTATTAGAGAAGAGAAGGAAGTTATTTATACTATCTGCCCTAATACTAAGCATCTTCGCGCTACTAGCTCTAATAATAAGGATGCTAAGCCTATTATACGTAAGAAGAAGCACTATACTAGTGTTCGTTTAAACGTCCCTAACTATAGCTATAGTAATGTAGTGCCTAATAGATTAAAGGCCCTCTTTAAAACCGTATAGGATACCCTCGCCGACTACTAGGAAGTCTTCTACGAAATGCTTAATAAGATAGATAAGCTTTAAAACAATTACGACTCTAATAAAGCTAACGTCTATATCTATCGTCTCTACTTAATCCTACCTATGTAAAGAGTTAGTTATATCGTTTATAACCTTAAGAACGAGCAGCTCCTTATATATATAGACAATTTCGCTAGCTACTCTAACTCTACTAAGCTATATATTAAGAAGCCGGATTATTACTTATTTAGCAAGAAGGTTCGTGCTCCTTATAAGATTATAGCTCGCGGTAGATAGAAGTATGCTAGCGACGTCCCTACTACTACTAAGTACGACTTTAATTAGAAGGCTATTCTTAAGGGTTACTTCCCTAGTGCCTACGAACAGTTTATAAAGGATAGTGCTACTTATAATACTATCTTCGACTAGCTCTTCGACCCCGCCTATAGTAGAGGTAGATAGTCGCTTACTAAGATCCTCTTAGAGGAACTTAAGGTCTATACTTAGCACTTTTTACGCCGTGCCTCTAAAGCTAATCTAGAATGGCTATGTAACTACTTCTACTTAATCCTTTAGTAGTTAATTCGCTAGGATCTACGCTACTACCTTACGTACTATTATTTCTACGAAGATAAGGCTACTACCTTAATTACATACCCCTACTATATTAAGAAGACTATCGCTAGTAGTAAGACTTAGTTCTACTATATAGACATTAACCTATCGAAGCTATATAATAGTGCTAGTCGTTTTCTTATCTAAGGCTAGGTCTCGCTTACCTAGGAGTATAACGATTACTATACTAAGATAGTCTTAGGCATGCATAACTAGGGTTTAGAATAGTAGAATAAGGCTACTTGCGAAGGTCGTACTACTAAGTCTACTAGTAAGGTCGTTAATATAGATCGTCCTAGATTAGTTACTAAGTCGGATAAGGAGGAGTTTAGCTTTAAGTACACTCGTGTCCCTTATAATAGAGGCACTACTATAATCTTCTACCCTAGCCTTACTTATAGATCTCCTAGCCCTACTTCTCGCGAGCGTATTATCTTACTACCTTAGTTCGTTAAGGCTACCGATAATAGATAGCTTAAGGTTCGCGATAGTAGTACCTAGAACGACCTCGCCGCTTATTATTATAATCTTTCTAATGCTCTAAAGACTCTATCTAGCCTTCCTAATATGTACGGTTCTACTAAGACTATCTTCCCTACCGCCGTGTAGCTTATGCTAGATAAGCCTATTAGCTATGCTCTTACTAGTCGTCTAGCTTAGTCCGCCGTTGCTATTTAGGAGTAGCGCGACCTCTTATTAGATCCTACTCGTATCGATAAGGCTAAGGAGCTAATTAAGGCTATTTATAAGGACGCTATATAGAAGGCCTTAGTCGCTTTTAATAAGATAGTCGCTTATAAACATAAGGTCTTTAGTAATAAGTCTTACTTCTACTATAAGGAGATAGGTATTAAGGCTCCTAAGGCCGATAACCCTAACCCTATCGTTAAGGCTACTACTAAGGAAGATAAGGAGGGCCGTACTAATTAGTTAGATTAGATCGGCGACGAGGACTTCGATAGAGAGCTCTTCTAGTAGGAAGTCGCTACTAGCTATTAAGGTTAGCTCTTGCTAACTTTATTACTTCTATAGTTTCGGTAGATGCTTAAGGATAAGCATTCTTTAGTAAGGGAGGATTATAGTATAGTAGATAGTATTAAGTTATATGGCTATAGCTAGTTATGTAGATATGGCTAGCTTAGTAGCTAATAGTCTTCTTATACTACTTCTTAAGTTACTTTAGTAGTTATTATAAAGAATTATACTCTCTTATTGTTAGTTATAATTATTCCTATTGTTATTATATCTCTATTATTATTATTACTATTGTTGTTATACTTAGTATTATTATCTCTATCTCTAGCTAGTATAGCTAACTCTAGTTCTTAGTTTAGTATCCTTGCTAACCGATACTTCTCCGCTATAATAACCATACTTTATATAGTACTATAGTATAAAATTAAGAAGTAAGAAACTTAGAGTGTATTCCTTATAATACTAGTAAGTAAGAAGTTAGAGTATACTATTATTATAAGAAAAGGAGTATATAAAAAAATAATCTAAGATTATTATAGAAGTTACTAGTACTAAGGCTACTATCTAGCTAAGTAAAATTAGATATAATAAATATAATAAAGAAGGATTAAGAAATAGAAAAAGATATAGAAAGATATAATAGCTATTATAGTAAGAAAGAAAATTCTAATAGTAGATTATAAGTAATAAAAGCAAATTTCCTAACTATAATTAGAATTATAAATAGAGAAGTTTTTTATAACTATAACTAAAGTTATAGATAAAGGAAGTTTCTTAAAAGTATAACTAAAAGTTATAGATAAAGAAAGTTTTTTAAAAGTATAACTAAAAGTTATAGATAGAGAAACTTTCTTATAGCTATAACTAAAGAATTATAGGAAAAGAAGTTACTTATAGCTATAATAAGCTATATAACTAAGGCTTCTTTAAAGCCTAACTAATTATTTTCTTTATATTATTAATTTCTATTAATACTAGTAACAATACTAAAGTAGGTACTTTAGTCTAAGTAGGGAAGGATATTATTACGAAGCCGGAGTAAGCCATTGCTTGGCGGATTTAGTATATAACCGTGCCGTGCGCCAGTAGTCTAAAGAAATCAAGTTCCTTTGGCAATTACAGGGCTCCACCACATATCATGACAGCGACGTTTTGAGCAATTTAATTGCACGGAAAGGATCAATACAGTGTCGAGAACAACATAGATGCATGTCATATACTGCAAATAACCGCTACTTCTGCTTGGACTACATCTGATGCCAAACAACAACCGAGTGTCTCGATTACACCAACCTACTTACTCTTCCACAGCAAAGAAACCAACACGAAAGACGAAATTGCCATTAGCTGGATCCGTGAGAGCGGCTTGAGTGTCACTCCAAGGCTCATCTTGAAGGTTCTGCTTTACTGTCATGGAGTCCCCAAATGCCGACGTTGTGTATTGCAGCAGTAGTTTACTCAGGTCGATGCCGAGAAATTGACATCTAAACTGGATTCGAATCTGTTCGTACAACAATGGCTCCTCAATCATCTGCCTTGGATCTTTTCTTAGCTTTTGCAACTCCGAAGGAGGGTCGACGCCTCTGGCCTGAGCTCGATTCAAGGCGCGCCTGAGTCCGGATTTTATGCATTCGGACTCTAGATCATGATCCCAGATGACGGCAAAAGATCTTGGAACTGGCACGATGTTGGCAACCGGCTTCTCTGAGCTGGTGGCGTCGGCCGGTAGAGTGATAGGAGCATGACATGGTGTTAATTCGATGTTATGTATGGTGGAGTAGCTGAGTTGGGCCGTGGATTGCTTGGGACTAGAGGGATTCAGGCCATGAGAGGTAATGGCATGGGTTGCTGGCTTCGACGTAGTGCTGGCTACGGGTGGAAAAGTCGCGCGCATCCATGGTGGTCTATGTTCATCGTTGACAGGTTGACCAGTCTTGAAGTTGTCGTTCTTGTATCTAGTGTCAAAGACATTTGACTTCATGATGTTTCGCACGTGGCGAAGGAGCAGAAAGCATCTGTTGTAGGATTCAAGAGAGTCCTCTCCATGCAAGGGTGACAGGATTGGAGGTCTGACTGGATAGCTGATTTGAGGGCATTGATGTGTGGGGTATGTCAAATTGAACTTCTGGCAGTCATGTTGGTGCTGTAGCTGATTTTGCTTATCTGAAGCGGCGGTCATGGTGATCAGATCAGATCTCAAATTGATTAATACAATGGCAAGGTGTTCTGCCTTTCTGGCATTTGAGAGACCCTTGCCATCAGAAGTGAGCAGTGACCAGTCTTTGTCGATGACTGCTGCCTCTCCATTGCGCTCAGCATCGCGTATCAGGGTGAGGGCCAGTTCTTTGTTCAGTTTGTGAATGATAGGACCAATGGCGACCGTGGCGCGCAGGAGGGGCCATGCGATTGCGCAGATGTGAAGTTCAGAGATTGAAATGAAACCAAGGTAGCCAGCAAGTCTTCTTTCGGCTTGAGAGTCGAAGAAAGTCTCTGGACGTTTGGGGTTTCCAGGAGTGTTATGTAGAGGAGGATTGAGAGATTCATCGTGAACAACAGCATCCACATCATCCTCGTCCAGTCTGGCGCGTTTGGACGGCGGTGGCTGAGTGAGGTCAGATTGTAGAGCGGCGGTCGAGTCAGTGGTGAGGTTAGCATAGGTCATGTTGACCTGCGGTGATGGTTGTGGTAGAATTTGTGAGGGTAGCATCTCTGTTATGCTTGTGAATTGAAGTGAAGAAGGTGGTGGCAGAGGTGGACCGAGATATGGCTCGACCACGTTGATACGGTCGATGGAGTGAGCCATAAGTGCGAAGACGGGCTATGTTGAAACAAGATCAGGTAGTGACACGTGAATTATGGCAGGCGCAATCATGGAACCTGCCCCCAACCAGTCGCGAATGTAAACGTGTTGTCACAATGCACAATCGCTCCAAAATTCAGAGTAGATCCAGTAGGAGACAACGATGACAGGGCTCTCAAACGTGAGCGGATGTCCCAAGTATCAATTGTGTGCACTTTGACATTCACCAAGGAAGCACGCTGAGCAATAGCTGAGACGAGGTACGCGCTTTCCGCACAAGCATAAGAGCCAGACCTATGGAAAGATGACTATCGGCTTTGGAGATTCGAAGCTGGCAAAGTCGCGGTATTCTGGTAGGTATGGGAACAAAGGATCGGATCTGGAGTCAATTGATAGCTGTCAAATGGTAGAGGTACAATACGAGCCTACGAGGCAGGCAGCCGCTCCGTACTTGGCAGACTTTGGCTGGAAAGGGCAACTGTCTGTCGATCGTTCGCGTCGGGTCGATTGTACCGCAACTGGTTCGCGACTCGCGACTGCTTTGCTTTCTCTCTATCTTTGTTTACAAGATCGCAACCAATTCACTCGAGACCGCCCAGAAGAACTACGTCCCGCGCGATACAGTCGCTGAAGCCATTGCACATCGCCTGCTAGCCTGAAGTCCGCCCGAGCCTGTAGAAGACAAGCCTCGCCCGAATCTGGGGCGTACCGAGACATTCGATCCATACCGAGACCATCGCTAGAAAAGCATACCATTGTGGTCGCACTAGGGCTGATAGCAAGAGTTGGGAAGACTAGACATAAGGGCGCGTCGTTCGCTACCTCTCTACTCTCGATTCCAAGCCCCGGCCCTGGCTGCCACTGAGCTACGGCTGGGGTTGTCCAATAATATCATACCTTCCTCATTTCCCTCTACACCTCATCTCGTCAGATACCATGGCTGCTACAAGAGGAACCGTCAATCCAGATCGTGCGCTAGCACAGCGTCAATCTGCTCACCATGAGACGCAATCCACCCAGCAAGCCACCCAACAAGCTACTCAGCAAGCCACTCAACAAGATGAGCCTGAACTCGACGAGGTCGAGGTTGCTGATGTCGTCTGCATTCTCCATCCATGCTCGCTTGCTGCTTATCAGGTTGTTGTCAATACAGCACTGAGAGCCCCTCAACACGTACTGCAGAATGTGACCCCCAGCACCTACAGTGACGGTCTAAGCATGGCAGATCTTGAGAAAGAAGAGACTTTTCCAGCGCCTGGAGAGGACCAGAGACATCCTCTGGATCTAGCTCTGCGTATGTCTGCCAAGGTCTACAACCCCGTCATGGGCTTCGTCTTCGGTCGCAATCCAAATGCTTGCGACATTGTTATTGATACCGACACTGTCAAAAGAGTCAGCAACATGCATTTTAGGATTTACATGACTGATGCTGGTGTTTGCATGCTACACGACATGTCCACCAACGGCACCATAGTCGATGGCAAGCTTTTGAGAGGCAGGGGCAGTAACAATGCCGCCACCATGATGCTTACCGCAGGCTCTGTTATTCAGATTCTGTCGACAAAAAGAGACGAGAGCCTGAAGTTCATCTTTCGCATTCCCTCACGAGACAACCATTACGAAGAATATGGTAGAAGATTCGCCGCCTACTTGCATCAAGTTAGCCTTGCAAAAGAGAAACAAGATCAAACCGGCCAGACTCAAGGCACGCGACCTGCGAAAGCCCATTCAAAGACAGCACCTAACGTGAAACCTATGCTGCTGCAAGGAAACCCTTTTGGTATGCATTGGAGTGGCGGCGACAAGTACAACGTCACTGGCCATCTTGGAAAGGGCGCTTTCGCTACCGTATATCGGCTCAACAGCAAGAGTAACGGTCAGATGTTCGCAGCAAAAGAGCTGGAGAAGAGGAGGTTTATGAAGAACGGTGTCATCGACAAAAAGCTCGACAACGAATTGCGTATCATGAAGGGCATCAGTCACCCGCACGTTGTGCAATATATCGATTGCCACGACGTGAAAAACCATCTTTACATCATCATGGAATTGGTGCCTTTCGGCGATCTGCAGCAGTGGCTTGGGACAAATGGTCCTCTGCCCGAAGCTCTTGCGAAACCAATGGCGATTCAGGTCTTCGATGCGCTGGCGTACCTACATCGCAACATGATCACTCATCGCGACATAAAGCCGGACAACATCCTCATAGCCGACACCAATCCTCAATCTTTCAAAGTCAAGCTTTCCGACTTTGGACTCTCGAAGGTCATCTCTGACAATGAGACGTTTCTGAAAACCTTCTGTGGCACGTTGCTCTACTGTGCACCAGAAGTCTTCCCTCATTATGATACCCACTTCAATGTTCAAGGACGCAAGCGTGATCGCAAAGGTGCTTCACAGCAACGAGGAAAATATCACTCTTACAGTTCGTCTGTCGACATATGGTCGTTTGGTGGAGTACTCTGGTATGCCATGAGCACGAAGCCACCGTTCGAAGGTATTGCAGACAACACTGGCAGGGCCATGTTCGAACGAATCGTCAGTACCAGCCTCGACACGACCGTCCTCGAAAAGCATCATGTCTCCGACTACGCTATAGATTTGTTGGAAGACATGCTTAACACTGATCCTGCTGTCAGACCGTCTGCGTTGCAATGCCTCTCATATCCTTGGCTAGGTGGAGACGCAAGTCAGATCGAGGACGAGCCCCAATCGGGCCTTCTGACGATTGAAGAAGAGGACACAGAAGCAGGTGCGGCTCACGATCTGTCTCAATTGAGCATTCACGGAAGGTGGAGCGGGACGAAGGGGGTGGGCGTGGATTCCGGCGACTCGGACATGCTGGACCCTCGACAGTCAAAACGTTTCAAAAGTGGACAGATTGTCTCTCAAGCGGATGCACCTCCACCACAGGCAACTCAATTTCTGGGTCCATCGAATGCTGGCGAGGAACATGGCATCGAAGAGCTTCCGGTGAACCAGCAACCTCCACGTCTCTTCGGCGAGGTCCAATCCTCGTTAGTAAGAAGTTCAGGTGTCTTCGGCACTCAGGTCCAGAAATCCATATTCGCACCACCACCGGAACCTTTTGGTGTAGTCCTGCCAGAGGCTCAGAATGTGCAGAATGAGTTGTTCACATCTGCTGCCAGCCACCAACCAGAAGACCAACTGGAGGGCGTCAGAAGGAGAGCCTTATCTCAGAGCGATCCGCATGCCTCTCACAACTTCGCGAGTCTGGTGGGAGCTGAATCAGACTTGCGAGACCTTAATATGCACTCCTCGCAATCAGCGTTCTCGGCAACCGCTGATGAGAGCGAGCCTACCACTCCTACCACGCCAAATGACCCACCTCAGGCGTCCGCAGGCCAGACTGGTGGGAGTATGGAAGAAACACCTCGTCCACCCCAGCCGGCCGAGAGAAAGATATCCTTCAATCGACAGATCAGCCTTCCGCTTTCTGCATCATCCTTTTATGACCCGACAGATCCTAGCACGCATTCTCTCGAGTATGCTTCCTCTGTCAGCGGTCATGATTTTACTAGTCACAGCCTTTTACCTGGAGCGAGTTTCCATTCGCTACCGCCGACAACTGCCAACTCTGGTGTTGGCTTCGAATATGATCGACCACTGCATACAGTTGCACAGACGCAACCCGAGTTCATTCGCCCTGCACCCCGCTTGGGCCGTCTGACAACGACCCCCGACTCATTCTGTGCCGTGACACTTGATCTCGCCTCTCGCATCACGACATGGGGTCGGAGTCCTTTGAACACTGTCATCTTTCCAGATCCGTTAGACACTCGTGTACCCAAGCGCGGCATCATGATTTATTTCCATGCCAAAGGCATCGAAAAGATCGAGAGGACTGGTGGTGACTGGACGAAGCTGCCTGACTTGCATTGCTTGATTGCCACGGATAGTAGCAATGGAGTTTTCGTCAACGGTGTCAAGCTCAATGCCAAGGGCGCAGAGGGCAAGCAGCTCTACGGTAGAGTCTACACTGGCGATGAAGTGACGGTCTGTCAAGGACACACCAAAGCGAACCTGTTGAAGTTCACTTGCGTCTTCAACCATGGAGAGGCGAAGGCACGACGACAGTCCGATCGACCAGGATTTGAGATTGAGAAGATGGGCCACGAATAACGCGAAAAGAGAAAGAGAAACAAACCACAAATCATGTATATCTTATGACGGACAAGCAATGGCATTTTGGGCATTTATGATTTCAAGGACATCAAAAAAGGATAGGCAGTTTGCATTCATTTTTTTTTCTTCAGAACTTTTTAGATTAGCGATGTAGATGATGCATTACATATCCACTGAATGTACTTGAGCAATCTAGAAACTTGTTGCCATGTAACATGATGCGGAAGGAGCGATTCACACTGGATTGCAAACGCGTGAAGCAAAACCAGAAAGTTGTGATGAACTATGCCTTCTATTTGTGCATGATAATATGATAAAAAAAAAAAAAGAAAAACGCCGCTGCCCATGCAGAACATCAAGATGATGTATTGTAACAGTTCCACAATGACTACTTCTCAATCTGCGCCAGTGGAGTAGGATTCGGCGTTCTTAGCCACTCGCCATTGAAAGCATTGATCAGCCAATTGCTCAGCTCTACAACATTTGTTAGCACATGATGCGAATGTGTCAGGAAGGTAATCCAACTTACTCTCATATACGACTCTGTTGGCATTGTGGAAGTAGATACTATGATCCGAGTCCGGGAAAAAGTGCACGTCGTAGTTCTGCACATTTGCCAAGTCCAGCTTGTCTAGCAGACTCAACGTGTTTTGGAAGTGCACATTGTCATCAGCAACACCGTGCATAACCAAGAACCTCACGTTCTTGGACAGAGCATCGACATCTGTAATGGTCGAGTTTGCATAGCCAACAGGGTTGTGCTGCGGTGTGTGCATGTAACGTTCGGTGTATATACTATCATAGTATCTCCAGTCCGTCACGGGAGCGACAGCCATACCGTACTTGAAGGTGCGACCAGCGTCTTGCTCGAGAGTCTTGAGGGTCATGAAACCACCGTAACTCCAGCCCCAAATGGCTATGCGGTCGGCGTCGACATACTTCTTCGCAGCCCACATCTTAGCAGCAGCGATCTGGTCGTGAGCTTCGTAGTGCCCAAGGTTGCCGCGGACAATGCAGCGAGTAGCGCGACCGAGGTGCCCAGTGCCTCGGCCATCGAGAGTGACTACGATATAGCCGAGAGATGATGCGACATAGGATTGGAAGTCGAGATGGAAGGTACGATCGACCTGCTGAGAGGCAGGGCCATTGTAGAGGAAGAACAGAACAGGGTACTTCTTTCTCTCATCAAAGTGAGGTGGACGACGCTCAACGAGGTTCAAATCAAAGCCGTCTACATTGATGGTTTGGTAGATCTGGATGGGTAATTCTGTTTTGGTGACGAGTTCTCTCAGAGGCTTGTTCTCCTCAATGGTCATCTCTAGCTTGTCGCTGTTGCTAGGAGTATTCAAGACCTTTTGCCACGGAATGCCAGGGCCCTTGTTTGTCAGTAGCAGGTAGCCTCCACCTTTTGAGAAAGACCCAGAGTAATATCCAACCTCGCTATCATCGGTGATAGATTTGAGGTCCGATGCATCAAGCTTGACACTGTAAATATGTCGCTCGATAGACGATTTCTTGGTAGCTACGAAGTACACAAGATTGTTCTTCAAGTCCAATGCCGAGGGGGCGTCGACGACTTCCCACTTGCCCTTGGTGAGCATGATTGGCTCTGGGCTATCCAGTGGTGTGAAGTAAGCAAGATGGTCGTAGCCATCATGAATGACGGTATCGATGTACCCTTCGTGTTCTCTACCCTTGGCAGGGTCGGACGGGACGTACGTGGTTGTTTGGGAGACTTCAAACCAACCTCCATCGAGGGCATTGACATCCACCTCCCTGATGGTCTTGCCTTCTCTTCGCTCGGCATCAATCAGAACAACCTTGAGCACATCACTTTCACGATTGGTCTCGCGAACGATGACCTTGCCGCTCCGGCCAGCCCATGTGACTTCAGTAATCAGACGGTCTTTGTCTTCGAAGTCTCCTTGGATGGGAACAGTGAAGACCTGACCTTTAGCAATGTCGTATAGCTGTATAGTGACGACAGACATTGGGGCGCCAGCTTTGGGATATTTGATCTTGCGCACCTCTGGGTAGTTTTCCTCTCCTGGCTTCGGTTGCTTGCCGCTTGGTCTTGAGAAAAAGTACTGAACAGGATATTCAGGGACAGCAGCCTCGTCGGTGCGGAGGAAGGCAAGATATTTGCCATCGCCAGACCACCATGTGGCCTTGTTGCTTGAGAAGACTTCCTCTTCATAGACCCAGTCCGGAACACCATAGAAGAGTTGAGCACCGCCATCAGTTGTAATAGACTTTACTTTGTTGTCAGACAAATTTCGAATGTACATGTTGTTGTCCCTGGTGAAGACGACGGCATCGCTGTTAGGAGACCACGAGGCGTATTGAATCCGCTTGTTGGGCTCGGCAGGATCGAGAGGCTCAGCGGTTTGGCTATCAACATGGAAGATCCAGTATCTGCCGGTATGGGAATGTCTCCAATTCTTCTGGATGTGGGACTGAATAAGAACACGTTTGTGATCGGCGCTGGGCCAGACATTACTCGGACTGATAGCCTCGCCGTTGTGGTAGAAGGCACCATTCTTCATCAAAGTTTTACTGTGCTGTTTTGAGGCTTGAGCGTCCTGCATGTATCGGACTTCCTCGACGACCAGGTAGTCTCTGCCTCCTTCTCCTCCCCATTGTAGCAACAGGCCGTCCTCTCCTTCAGCGCCTTCAATCCACGAGATTCCATGACTCTTGGGATAGAATTTTCCCTGCAAGACTTGCTCGAGCGTTATCTTCTGGCCGTGACCAGCCGTCTTGGTGGCATGAGGATCGTGAGGACGACTAGCGAGGGATTTGTGTGAGCCGGAGCTGAGGAAGAGGACCAGGGCAGCAAGCCAGCCTGCAGCGGCTATTGAAGCAACAATGTACAGGATACGACGGGCCTTGAAATCGAAGCCATGGCTCTTGTGCTTCCAGGCGGCTCTGTCATCGAAGTCGAACTCCTCGGAGCGCGGCTGCGAGTACAGGGCTTCTTTGGCTTGGATAGAATTTGGATGGCCTGAAAGATGTTCTAATACAAGCGAAGTGGTGGATATGGAGGATGCGGAGGGCCGTGGTTGGTCAATGTCGTCTGTGTGGTTGGCATCGTGCCTAGTCAAGGGAAGCGCTTCTTCGTCGTCTCGGAACGCCATAGCAGCCTTGTTTTCCTTACATGAAATATCCTTGTGATACGTAGGCTGCTGGAGTACTGAATACAAAAAGACTGACGTGTGGGCACAAGATAGTCTGCGCACAAGGGAAGTGACCTGTTGCACCGAGACTCCTATCGCGGTCCCGTACAACGGCAGCCACCATGGTCCATTGTCGCGTCAAGCCTTGGCACAGCCTTCATTCAGCACCCTTTGCGGCCTCGATTCAGTTGCAATCTTCTTACTTGCAGAGACTACATCCAGGAAGAAACAAGAGCTCAGTGCAATGCCCTTGTTGATCTGATGATAAGATTGCAAGGCCATGTGAAAAGTAGTGGCTCGTCACGCACGTGTTGCGAATGTGGCATGCTGTCTTGGCTTTGTTTTACCTCGGTATAGCACATGCCAAACACCACCAGCATAATTGAAGGCATGCTATCGTGTTCTGAAGCCGAATTGCTTTTGTCAATTCTTGTCTATACCGACGCCGTCGACTATCATTATTTCTGGCAGTTCTGTCACTTGAGTAGTGTCTGCCATGCCGCTTGGCCCTCTGACAACAATTTAATAAACTGGGATTGCTTCCGTGTGAACCCGCTTCTCGCATCTTCTGTTGTCTTTCGGTCACCTTTGCTTCACTGCCTCTGGTACCATCGAACAATTGAACACATTCTTCACTCTTACAACGTGTGACCACTTCGTGACATCGCCGAGCACTCTCCACATCCACCGTACAATACAGACCTGTCTTGAGACCATCTCTCGTCTCGGCGCATCGTAACGACATCATGTCTCTCAATCTCGAAAAGCAGCTTCTCTTTGTATGTTCTGCCACCGATTCTGCCAATGCCTCGCTAACGTTTTTTTGCCAGTATGGTTCTTACCATCACAATCCCGTAAGCTCTTAACCGTCTTTAAAAGAAATTATGAAGCGCTGACCTAGAACCAAGGTCAATGTCGCCATCCACATCACCTGCGTTCCTCTGATTCTGTTGACCGCCTTCCTTTTCGTCAGTAACATTGATCTGAAAACCTCTGAATATTTGCTAACTATCTCTTCAAGTGCACCAACACTCCTGCGCTTCCTCTCCCGGATGCTGTCACCATCCCCAACTTACCAGCCAACCTGGGCACTATTGTGGCTTCGCTTTATTCACTCCTCTACATCCTGATGGAACCTGTTGCAGGAGGAATGTTAGCACCTCTACTCCTCTCTGCCACTGCCTATGCCAATCATCTCACCTCAACCTACGGCATGACCGCTAACTACTACGCTCTTGGTCTGCACATCTTCGCTTGGCTTGCCCAGTTCGTTGGACACGGTGTCTTCGAAGGCCGTGCTCCTGCTTTGCTCGACAATCTCGTTCAGGCTTTGTTCTTGGCCCCTTTCTTTGTCTGGCTTGAGGTTCTCTTCTTCCTTGGATACCGTCCCGAACTCAAGGCCAGGCTCGACCAATCCGTTGCCAAAGAGGTTGCAAAGTTCAAGGCTTCAAAGACCTCCAATGGAAAGGCCAAGGCCAACGGCACTACAAACGGTACAGCCCACTGATACAAATTTATGATTGGTGAAGATCTTGAAAGTACCAGTGCTTGCCTGATGCTCAGCTGGTGGGTCAAAGCTATCCTCTTGAATATATGCTGGCAATATCTTGAGAAGGAAAAACTCCATTAATCTTTGGGCACGAGCGTTGAACTGGTCAGCACAACAGATTCCTGGAAAGCGCGTGCTTGAGAAGCTTGGGATCGAGTAGTTCGTAGTGCAAAGGAACGAACATTTCCTTCCGAATACTCGAAGCGAATCATGGAGTGCTGGCGCTTTGCAGAAGAAAGTCCTTGGCAGTTGAGAGATTTGAGTCTTCCAGAATAAAACATGCGAGCGCAATGGCGCTTCTATCTGCTCAATCTCATTCCTGTGTTCTGTTCTCGCAACAACAAAAAGAAAAGTACACTATGCAGACAACTGCACGTTTGATAATTGCAAGTGAGGTTAGGCTTCATTGCATTGTGGTATGACAGCGCTAGGTTACATCCGCGCTCAATACCGAATTCTCTCCAGAGCAAATTTCTATACTCTGTCCTTGCCAATGATGGACAGCGTTGGTAAGATTTAAGCAAGCGGTTCCTTTTGCAAGTTGGTCAGTATATTGTATCTTTTGGAGTGCAAGAGGATTCTTACTAGTTGAACACGAGTCGCGACTGCTTCTTTGAATGCATGGTTGATGATACTGCGTGTCTTCTCATCGCGGACTACCACAGTCACTGGCATTTGTTCGCCCGGGTTACCGGGCATCTCTCCAGCAAAGTCACGCGGATCCAGAGGCAACTTTGCGTCGGGACTGGGCGCGATCTTGAAACCCCACAGCAAACGCATGATGGCGACAGCAAGAGAGCGTTCTGCTACATGGTACCCAGGACAAACTCGACGTCCCGAACCAAAAGCAAAGTGGTCCCTGTTGCGCACATCGCTCGCGTTGATGCTTTGCATAGTGTTTGTATGGTCAGCAGAGTACCTTTCGGGCCAGAACCGATCAGGATCTTCGTGACGATCAGGATCGTGCTGTATCGCCCAAGCATTCAAATGCAGCCTTGAGCCTTTAGAAATTCGAAATCCGCCATACTCGAGATCGCGAGTCGTGGTGTGTGGGTGTCCGAGACTCACAGGAGGGCGCCATCTCCACACTTCTTTCATCAAACACCGTACATAAGGTATTTGTTCAAGGTCTTCAAAAACAGGCAAACGATCACCAACGATCTTGACGATCTCTTGATGTCCCTTCTCTTGGACTTCGGGGTAAGTCATCATGGCCTCCAAGAACGACCAGGTAGACATTTTGCTGGTATCTGCGGCGCCAATGATAAGTTGGAGAGAAAGGTAAGCTGCTTCTTCTACACTGCCGAAGCCAAGGTTCTTCTCGTCCTCCAATACACGCGGCAGAAAAGCATCTTGCATTACATTGCGAGATCTTCCCTTTTTAATCCGTATGAGACGTTCGACACACCAGTCCATGTCCCGCTTGAATCTTTGCCGAGCATTACGCTCCCATGGCTTAAGAAACATTGGGAGATTGTCCAGCCACGGCAGAATATCAACAATGTGACTGCCGGGCAGTGTGCCTTGGATTTGTGCTAACCCAGTCTCGTAGATATAGTTGATCGTGGGATCATTTGTGTCTGGTATATCCAAGCCGAAGGTTTGTGAAGCAAACGTGCTATAAGTATAGCGTCCGATCGCACCAAACAGTTCTTTGCTTTCACGGCCTATACTCGGGTTGTTGGCAAGCTCTTGCATGAACTTCGCAGTCTCGTAATGAAGAAACGGTAGACCAGCATCTGCTCTGGGTATGCTAGTCAGGCCGGAGTGAATGACCTTGCGTTGGTGCTTCCAGCGAGGGTTACTAGCGTTAAGTAGCAAGACATTGAGTTGGTTGCATATCTGCTCATTGGACACAATCCAGCGTGGCCGCTCTGCTGTTTGTGCGGATGACTTGTCAAAGATCTCTTTGACTGCGACATCAGAATTGATGAAGTATTCTGTGAAGGGACCAACGCGGACACGAAATATTTCTCCATGTTCTTGGGCCCAGCGTTGGAAGAGTAGATGTTGCTGTCCGACTTTTGATGCAGCAATCACCTCAGCCATGTTACCGATCAAAAGTGAGCCAGATGGCTGCGGCGGAAGCGGTAGTAGATTTCTTTCATGTCTGTACTGTTGCAACCTTCTGATGAGAGCTAAGAATCCAAGTACACCCAAAAGGATGATGCCAGCTTGGACGGTAGTGGATAGGGAAGTGATGATTGACATGTTCAAGAAGTATAAAACTCGGCTCCATAGCGTCGTTCGTACAATGTTCACCTTGTGCTTTTATATGTGTTATATGTGTACTTCTGTTGTTCGATCTGACCATGCCCTAACGATGAGATGGAGCTCGGATTGAGAAAATGCCGTTCCGGTTGATATTAAGGTTGCTTCTCCGCTCACAATCTCGTTGCGGGGAACTGTGGAGATGGTCAATACACTATCCACCAAGGATACCGCGTCTTTGACGACTGATCTTGTTCTCACGGTTGTGAGTGATCCGAGACTCCGGCTGCCACGTCAATAGCTGAGATGGAGTATGCAGCATCCCTCCCTCCAACTGAATAGCCTCACAGATTGGCGGTTGCACCCTCCTCCAACAGGAGAGTCTCCATTCTATGTTGCCATTCCCTGATCATGTCTTCGTCAATGGCGTTGCCGTCATAGGAAACATTGGCAGCGATTCCGTCGTCATCACCCCAAACTCCCACAAGGAATTCGCCGTCGCGTGCGCGAACGTTCTGTTTACTGAAGCGATAGTCTGCCACAAAGGCATCCTCACCTTCTTGAAGATCTCCATTGACATCGAACTCTCCTTGACGCCATCCAGATCGACCCACCGAGCTTACACCACATGTAGCCATACTTCCGTTCTGTGCTGCAGCCAGGTCACCCTGAGGGCTATGATACTCCAGGCTGTGTCGAAGTTCTTCTGGGAGCTTTGATCGAAGTCTTTCCATTGCGCCGACGTAGTTCATAGCGATGACCCTGCCTGCACCTCTACTCCCCATATAGGCAAGTGAGTTGGATTCATCTGCCTTCTCGCGCTTTTGATACAATGCAAGCTGGCGATGTGCTTGCCTAACCAAGACTTTGAAGCGCGTCTCCAGATCCAGGGAAGACGACAAGAATGGAAGTACCACACCATCCGAGAATGCTAGCATCATGGAATCGGGTGCTTCGTGATGCTTGAAGAAGGGCCGTGGATTGATGGGAAAACTACCAATGAATGGACGACGAGATTCTGACGCTTCGTTTGGGTAGAGATCCTCATGTAGAGACATCATGACCATGGCGACTAGCACAAAAGCACCTGCGCCAATGCTCGTACCCGCTTCTCGACACCAACGATGAAGCCTTTTAGTGGCAGACTGCGGAACTTTGGCCATACGTGTGAACGTGTTCAACGGAGGTCTGGCGTTGTAATTCAGATATGGATCGTAAGTTCGAGGCATTGCAATGGCTTCCCTGAAAGGAGTCGCACGACGCAGCGGATTAGGAAATGCTGCCGGCATCGGTCTCTTCACATGTCGGAGTACAAGCGTCAAAAGCCAGAACCAGCGCTTCTTTGCCGCGGAACCGGAGATGCGAGGATACAAATCCTCTTGAGGTAGTGGAAGTCGAGTTCGGATCGATGCTCGATGCGAGAGATCATCGACAGCATCTTTGAGAGTCTGGAGAGGTGTGTTCAAGAGCTTGACAAAATGACTTAACCATGTAAAGTTAGTCAGCCCATCAGTTATCTGATGAGCATTGACAAACAGGAACTTTAAGCTAGTCTTCGATCCTACGTTGTCACCTGTTGGAAAGATGAACAGCTTAGCAAGAAACTCATCGGCATTTACGATGCGGCCTGTGTTCTGTGCATGGCGATAGAACTTTGAAAGTCCACCTTCATCCAGAGGCTGTTCAATGAAGGACAATGAGTTGGTGGCATCTTTGAGTGCTTCTTGGTAGTCTCCGGGAGAGTAGATCAGAAAGAAGCGTTTCTGAGCGATATTGCCAGCAGTCATGAATTGTTTCCTATCCACAGCCCTTGCTAGCAGAAGGACGTGCGATAAACGGAGGACCGTCCACGCTAGAGTAATTCTCTGGCGAAGCTGCACTTGTGACAGACGATGCCTGACAGCAAGATCAAGATAGGCATTGACGTCCGCCCGGCCTTCATAGTAGATGCCATCAGAATCGAAGGCCGTCTCTACTATACCCAAGGGCCGATAGAAGCAATGTCTGTCATGGATTTGTACCTCGTGCCATTCGTGATAATTCGAGGCGTACTGATCGAGCCAATGAGACTGATTCATGAGTTGTGATGATATAGTTGCAAGGCTGCTGGACATACAACTATCGCTTGTCCACTGGTTGAGGCGGTATTGTTTGACAGCAATTGCTCAATTGGAAAGAAAAATACATTACCTACCCCTCGACACGATGAGGTAATCGAGACTTTAGCCGTCGTGACATCGCGACAAAGTATAAACACTGCAAAACAAGGTTTCCCGTACTGAGAGCAGTTCATCAGAAGGAAGCCAGCTGCTAACGAGACAACTGGGCTATCACACGCAAGTAGGTACGGAACACTCTACAATACCTTTGATTGTGAGATAGGAAGGTTTGCTGCAACAAGGCACGTGACAGCATGAGCCCGTGGCTCCTTCCAGAAGCGGAAGTCCGGCGTCATCCTTGTCGCCCTTCCCTGCTCCTGCGTGCTTCATCAACACAACTACCAACGTGAAATTATCAACCCCATCGCGAACCAGATCGCAGACCATTTGGATTCGTTGTATTTCTAACCTATAGTGAATCGAGATGAGTGAAGAGGCAGAACTTCGCGCCAAAATCGCGGCGCTTTCAGGTATCAACAGTTGCATCGCATCACAACATGGCTCTGACCTCGTCGCAGGACGTATCAGCCAGCAACGACAATCTGGCAGCGCGCCCACCACACCCACGTATGCTCCACCTGCAGGGCGCGGTTCAGGCTACTATCCGAGAGGGCGTGGCGCTGGCTGGGCAGGCCAATACGCGCATGATCGATATGCGCCATATCACCAACCTCGTGGCTTCTCTCATAAGCCCGCCTATGCTCCTTCGTACCGCAACCGCTCTCTCGTTGTTAACAGCTCCGTCGGATCCCCTGCCGGTCAACCAGCTTCTCCTGCAACGCCTGCGCTCACGTCTTCCGACAAGTTCGTTTCGAAGCGCGACCGCCACATGCAGTTGATCAATACTTCAGTCTATGACCAGAAAACACAACAGCGCCAGCTGGAAATCGAAGCCACTCTACGAGAGAAACAGCAACTCCGCGATGCGAAAGAGAAGGCTAGGGTCATGGGGGCCTTCCAGCCTCAACAGACTGCCTCGACTACTTACGGCGCTCCGCCATCTGCAGGGACCGATGCTGTGCGCCATATTCAAATAAACAACCTCCGATTCCGCGTAGCTGCAGATGGAAGCAAACTCATCCGCATGTTTGGTGAGTACATCTATGTCGACCGCTTTAACGCACCATCTTACGTGTATAGACGACTCAAATACGGATCTCGGAGCCACACCTAAAATCACAAAAGTGGCTGGTGTCACATTTCACAGAAGCAAACACGGTAATCTCTATCGTGCTGGTCTTGTGAAGAAATCGATGAGGTATCGGATGAAGTGTCAAGAGTTTTGGGTGAAACAAACGTTGATTGATCGGGTGACGACAGGGAAAACAACATCAAAAAGAGCTCGGAATTGTGTCCAAGATTTACTGCTACGGGTACCGCATTCTCCAACCGCCATTCAAGCCGGTCCTCGCACGACGGATCTGAACGAGAGCAATCATCTCAGCATTTCCGTTGGTAGGCCTTATACGTTCTTACTGACTTCTTCTTACAGGTATGTGCGCACACGGCAATCGCTGCCGCTACACGCACGATCCGAACAAGATCGCCGTTTGCAAGGACTTCCTTCGATCTGGTCGCTGCGCTGCTGGTGATGCTTGCAACCTTTCCCATGAAACCACCCCTCACCGTGTCCCTGCTTGCACTCATTTCCTTCGCGGAAATTGCACCAATCCAGACTGTCGCTATGCTCATGTTGCTGTCAACCCTGCTGCACCTGCTTGCCGAGCATTTGGAACTATTGGCTACTGCGAGAAGGGTGCCGATTGCACTGAGCGTCACGTATTTGAATGTCCAGACTATGCTAACACAGGTATATGCCGTAACAAGAAGTGCCGACTTCCTCATGTCGACACAGCTGGCAACATGCGTAAGGCCAAATCGGCAGAAGCTAAGATGGACGATGCAGAGACTTCCGATTTATCAAGCGATGAAGAGAGCTACGACGAAATTGACTACGACGACGTAGACTCTGACAATTTCAGTGACAATGAAGTCATGGGCGGCACTGATGAGCGCGATCATGAACTCTCACAGCAGCAAGATTATGTGAGGTTCTCTTGATGAAGTTCATCATGAGACGTTGGCTCTACAGTAGACATGCCAGATCAGACAGCATATCATCGGTGTTTCTAGTGATTGGCATCGAGTGCATGGAGCCAGTTGGCATTTTTTTTTGAAGATACCCTTGGAGATTCAAGAAAGACCAGAAAGAACAAAGCGACGAAGGCGAAAGACAGAAAGAAATGATACTCGCATAGAGCAATAGCAAGAAAGAAATGGAAAATGGTACCTTGAGACAATTCGAACCCTTTGCGTCCTCGTTTCGAGCCGTGATACATCAGTGATGGGTGTAGGGCTTCTTGCCAGACTCACGTCAGGGTCAGCTGAAGAATCGTACGTGTCTGCATGTCGCTGCACGGGGGATTGAGTTTGTCGATTCATGAAACGACAGAGGACATGAAGGAGGGCTTGGCCGGCTCAGCACAGCCGCAAGCGCTGCCTCGAACCAACAAGTCACCATCCATGGCCAGCATTGTCCGTCTGACCTGTCCATGGCTTCCACGCAGACGAAGACGACGACGAAACCTCCAATCTGCCGACTTTCTCGACATTTCCTGAGAATACGCTGAAGCGCCCCTTGGCTCCACTTCGCATATACCGACTTCTACCCCCACGGCCACTATGCCACTAAGAGACGTGCTTAAGAAGCGCTCCAACATTCAAGGTGATGCCACGAGTACACGTAGCACCAGTTCCAACTCTCTGTCAACCCTTCCCAATCCCATACCAGAGTTCACTTTCATGCGTACTACGACTCATGAGCAAGAAGTCATCGTACCACCTTCATATCCTGGAGACGAAGCCCCACTAGCTTCAGAACAAGCGACGCCCGAGAAGAAACGCCGTAGCATCTTTCGCAAGAGCAGTGCGAACCTCGTTTCCACTACAGCCAGCAACCACCCTCTCCCATCACACTCTGAAGAGAAGGACACTCCAACTACACCTCCAGTACGACCAAAGAATGAACGCAAACTCTCCGAGAGACTGCACTTTGGCAGGTCAAGGGGTCTTTCCAGAACTGAGAGTAGCTCTCATCTGCCTTCTGACCTAGGTGACGCACCTCAAAACACACCAGCGCCCCTAGATCCACCCGACGCCAAGGGCAGAGTGAAAGAGATAGAAACCAAAGAGAACAAGATGCAACGCGAAGCACAATGGGAGAAGAGAGCTACCATGATGGCTTTGAAGAATCCTATATTGGATGGAGAGCGATCGGATTCGAGTGAAAAGAAAGGTCACCGAAGGAGTACCTCGCTCGAAGAAGGCGAAGCCGATATCCAAGAAGCTATCCGTCTGCATGAGGAAGGCGATCTAGAGCGCTCAACGCAAATCTTTGGAAAACTTGCAGATCCGAATGGTGCGAACAACCCACTCTGTCAGGTACTCTACGGACTCGCTCTACGGCATGGTTGGGGCATCACTCCATCTGCAGATGCCGCAATACACTATTTGAGTCTGGCGGCTTCAAACAGTGCAGCCATCGAGTCAGCCGCCTTATCTTCAGGATCTAAATCAGGCGGTGATGCAAAAGGCGAGCTGGTTCTTGCCATCTTTGAATTGGCCAATTGCTTCCGCTATGGTTGGGGCATCAAAGTAGACAAGGTGGCTGCGAGAAATTACTACGAGGTTGCTGCAAACTTGGGTGATCCCGATGCTTTGGAAGAAGCAGCCTGGTGTTATATGGAGGGCTTTGGGGGGCCGAAAGACAAGGTACGTTGTTCTCACTGTAGTTCATCACTAGATAATCTGCTTATACAACCTTCCAGTTCAAAGCAGCGCAGTATCTGCGATTGGCCGAAGGTGCTGGTCGTAAAAGTGTAGGAAACAGCTGGATCTGGAAAGACAAGTACAGTTCACCGACGAAGTGATATCGTGGAGTTCAATCCCACTGCCTCCGACTCCCACGGCGGAGCAAACAAATACCGTTCTGTGCATCGTTCGTTGGTACCCTTTTTGAAGGCGTCGAATCTGCATTGCGTTCCTCATCCGGTCCCCAGGACCCAGGACCATGAGCTAAACACCGCACAGAAAAAACCTCGGAGCATTCGAGCTTTGTACAGTATCAGTGTGGAGATGTATCTACTTCAGATACATGGTATTAACCAGGACCAAGGTACTTCACAGTCCTAGATCTGTACAGATAGATGGTCGAAGACTTGAAATTCTCCAATGCAGAAACATTATATAATCATTTAGCTAGTGGTGGTATAGTGAACGATGAGGATATCTCTGAACAACAAACAAAAAGCATACTACACGATTAATGCAAACACCCAAAGCATCCTCCAATGCAAACCCCTTCCAGATGTGAAAAGAAAAGGAAATTAAAAAAATAATCAATGTAAACGAGAAGAAAATCAAGCAATCTGGTCTTGCTTATGTGCATTGTTCTTGGCCTCGTGTTGATCGTGCCGCAAGTCGTTGCTCCACTCTCCTGCTGTGGTGTCGACTTGAGTAGGGCTCACAGGGTCAGGGTTCTTGTTGGCGTTTGCTTTGCTGACATTTACATCCATCTCGCGTGAATACTTTTCGTCGTGGAAGCTGTCGACCAGATCACTATCCGCTTTCTCTTGGAGTTGGGGCTTGTCTTCGCACCCAACTGGTGTTCGGCACTGCACGCGGGCTGTCTCCGATGCTGTGGCCCAGATGATGTCTTTGACTTCTTTGCCGACCTTTTCGATCATATCCATGGCCCAGATGACATCGAGGTGCTCATATCCCTCGATGATCTTCTTGTGCACGACGTTGACATGCGGTTCGCGGCCACGATCGAAGCGTCTAAGGAGGCGCCGTCCGTCAACCAGATCATCGTTGCCAGCTACCCACATGGCCAATGGAGGGAATTGTTCATTGAACCAGGCATACTTGCCTCGCTCTTCACTCTTGTCTCGATCTTGATGAGGTAGTCCAAGTTGGTCCCGACTAGGTCGTTCTTGGCCACCTCGGTCGGGAGACTTCTCTGTGTCGGTATGTTCGCCCTCGTAATAACGACGGATGACTTCATCCTCCTCCTCGTCTTCTTCATCTTCCATACGACCCTCTTCCCTTGTAGCAAGGATACACTTCCGCTTCGCAAAGCACTCTCTTCCGAGCCACCAGCGCATACTCTCGGCGCTGACATAGACGGGCGCAAATTGGAACAATCGATTGCGCAGATCCATCTCCCATCTAGTGTCGGTCCAATTGAAAAGAAAGCTAAACACACGGTAACCCATTGCGCCATACAGCTTGGCTGGAAGTATCGTGTGCATACGCATCATGAACGGAATGAAAGCATGAATACCAAATATACAGCGGAAGAAGTTGGGGTTGATCATGCGCATGAACTTGAAGTATGCCTTGCCAATCAGGGGTCCAGCATAAGCGGCTGGTGCTAATGCGCAGAAGACCGAGATCTTTTCGCCAATATCCGGACGTTGCTCTTTTGCGAGAGCCACTAGAGTCTGCGTGGTTCCTTGGCTGTGGCAGACCAAGCCTAGCTTCTCGAAGCCCGTCTCAGACAGTACGCGCGAAATAAGAGCAGGGAGATCCAGAACGCCCATCTGACGAATGTTCCAAGACCACATGCGCGGATCAGAGTAATCGAGTAAGGTGTGTCGAGGCTTGAAGCCACATCTGTTGTTCCCAAGCCAAACATCGTAACCGCTCTTAGCGAGGTAAAATGCGAGACTGTCATCGTCAGTGCAACAATATGCACCAGCCGACTGCAAAAGACCGTGAATCATCAAAACGGGATATTTTTTGTTACCTGATGGGAAAGCACGTTCGGCCTCGCCAAACTCCGGGTCCGAAGTTGTTGTTTCGAAAATGTCGGGTCCTCGAGGTCTATGGGCAGATGGCGATACTGGACGATACTCCCGAGGATTATAAACGTGCCATAGTTCAATAATGAAGCCATCTTCAGTCTCAACATCAAAGATCTCGACATCCAGTCCTACACGCCGTGCATAATATGCAGGATCGCAAACCAGAGGATCCGGACCGCCCTCTGTAGGGATAAATTCGCCGTCTTGCGGAGGCGATGTTTCTACTTCAGCGGGAGTTGTAGGAGGCTTGTCTTTTGCCCAATCACGATTTGCTTCTGCACGAGCCTTCTTGCGCCGTTGTTCTTCCTCGAAAAATGGCCTCCTCTTATCTGGATTCTTGAGCATAAGTCGTAGTCGGACGTGTTCGAAAGCAAGTGGGATGCTGGTGAAAGCGGCACCAAGCACAATGATCAAAAGGAATAGAAAAGATAAGATGGAACTTGTTGTTCGGAAGAAGCAGCAGTGCAGTGTCCTGAGAATACTCGGCGGGCCATAGGTAGGAAGAGGCGGGAACATTGGATTCGTGCGCGAGGGAGCGGCAGCCTCTCTCAGAGGAGCGTCCGGGTCGTTGCTCGGGCCTGCGCCGTCTTTCTCGAGAATACCGTGCATTGTGCCATCTCTGGCCTTGCGCGAAGTATATTTGACGGGGATGCGGCCATCTGACTGGCGGTCGTCGAGTTGGTCTTTGAGGCGATTGAGTTTCAGTGCCTCGTCTATAGGCACTGCAGGTAGGCGACTGCCATTGGCAGTCACAATGACAGGATCCTGGGCTGTCACAAATTTGGCCTCGACAGCCTGGGTTGAGTCAGAATTGCGCTTCCGTTCCTGGTCGGTAGTATATTGAGCAAGACGCTCGGCCTGGCGGGCGAATTCTATGGCAGCGTCGGCTTTGTGATTTGATTTGGTCGAGTGGACGTCAGCCGCTGGGTCCGAGTCGTTTGTGTGCGACGGCACATGTGGCATGTCGGTGAGGGGGTGGGTGTACAGCCAGACAGCGGTATAGGAGAAGTCAACATCAGACGAAACACAACAGGAGGCGTGGAGTATAGACGAGTCAGGAGAGACAGATGGATAGAGAGGAGGGATTGAGCGGGAAAAAGCAGAGGGCCATGGTTTGCGTGCAGAGAGCAAGCAGCGAGTTCAACAGTAACCTAGTGCTTGTCCATGCCGGTTGGAATCATCAAAACATGGCTCAGCCGCATGCACTTTTTCGATGCATGACGCATGTGCTTGCCAAAGCCACCCACGTTGTCGACCCGACCGCGCCGATCCACTGTACCTACAGTACCGTGTACAATAACCATGTCGCTCTGTCCATGAGACACAATGATTCGCCAGCCTGTCATAGACTCGGCATTACATGGCTACAGGCACCCTGCATCGAGACGCAATACCACGGCGTGGCTATCACAACTGTTCGTAAGGCGGATGCTTCGCATCTCAACAACCATGGCCATGTTGATGGCTATCTCCGGGCCTGCCGTCTCCACAGATGCAGTTAATTACATGTCTTGTTTGGGCAGGCGGTGCCGGCTGTTCCCAACTAGCATGTGTGATTAGGTTGATCAGGCCTCGAGGTACGCTACTTTTCGTTCCATCTTCATCTTCATAGTCCTCGGGCATCTTGGTCGAGACGACAGGTAGGTCCAAGCAGTCTATGGCATCGCCTCGGCCTGTCTCTATTGTTCAACACTCGAGAGAAAAAGACGGCGCGCGACGATAAGCTCATGTGCCTATCTTGTCAGGCCGACCTCGGCTGTTCGGGAGCTTTCCCCATTGCCAGGTTGCCGAGAGAGACCCCACGAACCTCTACACTGGGCTGGCCAGTCGCCAATGTCAAAGACATAGCAACATATATAACTAGCTTGATTCTAGATTGTCCGCCTGCTGGTCGCATCGTCGCATGCCTATGGCTCCCATCGAAGCGTCGGCCGGCTCATTGAAGCGCAAGAGGGGCACCGCCCGGAGACCAGACAAAGCCCCCATCTCTGGCCATGCCCACCTCGACAGCAAGCTCAAAGGAGAGATTGCCCTGCTCTCCCACGATCTAGTCGACGACCTGTTTCCTTCCTCATCCCCCGACTCTGCTTCAATCTACCATGTTGCCATCACTCCCTGGGCTCCGTCTACCGTCATCGCCGATCCAGCTACTCAGTGGGTCGTCATACCATGCAGAAGACTGCCTCGAGGTCACCCCGATCTGCCACACTCTTCAATCAGGATTTCGGCCTTCTCTCACGTAGCCCACGCTCTCCAGCGCACGTTGCACATTCAATCGCCAAATCGCTCTCTCCGCCCCGCCTCAACCCTCGAGATTTGTATCACCCACGTCGTAGCGCTTCCCCTCGACCTAGTCTACGTTTCGCTCGACCCGAAAGCCTTGGAGGATGCCAATGGTATTCAGAAGAGAAATGGAAATGCCCCTCTGCGAGCTGTGAAGGCTGGGAAAGAGAAGCAACTCAGATCTGCAGCCGCAGTCGATTCCGAGCAAATCACTCGGCTTGTACGAGATGCCTTGGATACTGCTCGCGTTGTAAGAGCTGGTGACATCTTACCCCTCACATTGTCACGCCCTCAGACGCAGGCTTCTGCATCCCCTGCTCTGATCACAGCCTGTGAACCTGTCTCTCAAGGACTTGTAACTCCGACGACACAGATAGTTGTGGTTTCGCAGACTGAGCGTCGTACAAAGTCAAGCCGCTCTGTAACTTTTTCGCAGCCAGACGAAGATACCGCCAATGAAGCTTTCTACACTGCCGCTGAAGACGGCGCGCAGTCGTCTGCAAATTCACCACCCACTGATACTGTCCTGGATTCAGACTTGACTTCTGACGATGCTTTGTCCGATCTGGGTGATCTTTCAGACGACCCAGATGATATGATCTCGCTAAATTCGCCCTCGATTGGTTCTCAGCCCTCAGGAATACTTTCTGCCAGGTCAAATGCAACACCTAGGCTCTTTGGAAGTCAGCGAGGTATCAATACTCCTGGATCCGTATTCTCGTCAATGACGTCTACAACTATGAGAGGTGCTCAGGGAGGACGAACCAAAACTTTCAAAACCCAGGGCCTTCTGGAACGCATCCCAGATGACTTTCTCTATCCGAAACCCGGCTCGCAGCAGGACGAGGAAGCTCGAGTCTATGTCGACACAAGTGCTTTGGCAAAACTCGGGTGCTTCTCTGGTGACTGGGTTCAGTTGCAAGTAGCCGAAGATCCTGCGAGTACGAATTCTTTCATGGCCTTTTTCCGAGACCAAGAGATAGACGAAAATGCTACGTGGAGGCCACTCAGAATATACGGACTACCCGACAGCCTCTCAGTAAAGCCGCAAAAGTACCCACTCAACAATAAATCTGGTCGACGCGATAGCATACCTTCATCACACTCCATCCCTGTCACTCCTGCTACCCTCTACCTATCACCTGTTCTACTAGCCAATCTCGGGAGTCCTAGTCATGTGCGGATAACATCTTTGCGAATCGCTGATGTCTCTAGTTTCTTGCGTCCTGGACAAACCAAGTCAAGGCTCCAGAGCTCATCTCTACCACCTACCGCTAAGGAAGTGACTCTGTCCAGGCTGTCGACACCCCTGTCGGAGGAAAAGTCGACTCAACCAAGTTTGTTCGCCCAATTACAAGATTACTTCAAGCAAAAGCAGCGCATTGTGAAGTCTGGTGATCTTATTGCCATCCCCATCGACGAAGCATTGGGAAAAGCAGTGTTTGAGGGAGGTGCGGCAGACGAGACGAATGACATACTGACTCATCTTGAGTCTTCCTCGGGCAAAAGCCCCTCCAAAGATCGATCCCATGGTTTGGCAGTTGCATGGTTTCAGATCGGTGACGTTAGTTCACCTTTGACCAACGATGCTCAGGATGCTGAAGAATCGGCTCTCTGGGGAGGGGTTGTGACCATCGACCCTGCGGAAACTAGAATGAGCCAATCAGGGGCACTGCAAAGGAAGCTGCCTCCTACGACGCAAAACTCGTGGGAATTTTATCATGGTATTAGGAAGGTACCTAGGTCGGCAGTAAGCGGAAGTTCGCATCTTCGTGCGCCACCTAAGGAACACGTACCAGTATTGCAGCGGCGCATACGTGAGCTTATGGCAGCCGCTATGAGTCCTCGCGCTGTCCATCTTGGTCTTCCACCTCTTGCTATTCTTTTGACATCAACTCAGAGAAACATCGGCAAGGCATATACGGCTTCACGTGCTTGCCATGACCTAGGTGCTCACGTCTTCTCGATTGATGCGTATGAGTTGGTCTCGGAAGGAGCTACCGGAGGTGGAGACACCAAGACAGAAGGCTTTCTCAAAGCTAGAGCCGAACGAGGACTACATTGTGGTGCCCAGCACACATCGCTCTTGATTCGTCACCTGGAAGCTCTCAGTTCAGATCGTATGGCTGGAGCTCTGAAGGACATCCTAGCGAGCTGTCGTGTGTTGATCGCTACATCAACAGAAGCAGACAAGATTCCCGATGCTATCCGTGGTCTTTTCACACATGAACTCGAGATGACAGCACCTGATGAGGCAGAAAGAGAAGGCATTCTTCAATCGATCATCGCCAGTTCAGGTCTCGCTGTTTCACCTTCGGTCGATCTGAGCTCTGTGGCAGTAAAGACCGCTGCTCTAGTCGCTGGCGATCTTGTCGACGTTGCAGAACGAGCTGTACTAAACCAGGCAATCCGCCTTGAAGCTTTGGCAGCCGCAGCTTCTGTTTCTCGCGACTTAGCAATCTCTGTCAGGGATATTAAACTAGCTGGTGGTGATTCAGCTACATCACTCACATCTGCAGACTTCGAGAAGGCCGTCGATGATGCTAGGAAGAATTTCGCAGACTCGATTGGCGCGCCCAAAATTCCTAATGTGCAATGGTCAGATGTTGGAGGTCTAGCCAATGTCAAGGAGGCTGTCATTGAGACCATTCAGCTGCCACTTTCGCGTCCAGAGCTTTTCGCGAAGGGTCTGAAGAAGCGTAGTGGAATTCTGTTCTACGGTCCTCCTGGAACCGGAAAAACGTTATTGGCAAAGGCCATTGCAACAGAGTTCAGCCTGAATTTCTTCTCCGTCAAGGGGCCAGAACTACTAAACATGTATATTGGCGAGTCCGAAGCCAACGTGAGACGTGTCTTCCAAAGGGCTAGAGATGCAAGACCTTGTTGCGTGTTCTTTGATGAACTCGACTCGGTCGCACCAAAGCGAGGCAACCAAGGCGATAGTGGTGGTGTCATGGATCGAATTGTCAGTCAATTGCTCGCCGAATTGGACGGCATGAGTGATGGAGACGAAGGTGGCGGTGGTGTGTTCGTGATCGGTGCTACCAACAGACCGGATTTGCTTGATCAAGCACTATTGCGTCCTGGTCGTTTTGACAAAATGCTGTACCTTGGTATCAGTGATACGCACGAGAAACAGCAAAGGATCTTGGAGGCCCTTTCAAGAAAGTAAGCATAAATCTCATCGATCACACTCGAGTCTTCCTACTGACATTCTCCTCAGATTCACGCTTGACCCAGATTTAGATCTTGGCCGTGTGGCTGAGAAGCTTCCCTTCACGTACACTGGCGCCGATCTATACGCTCTCTGTTCTGATGCTATGCTCAAAGCTATTACTCGATCTGCTCGAATTGTGGATGATAGAGTGGCCGAGATCAATGGCGAGCGAGCTACACATTCGCCACCGCAACCTCCAATTTCGGTAGCTTACTTCTTTGATCACTTTGCCACTGAAGCCGATACGAGCGTCGTCGTGGCTGAGGAAGATTTCATGGCAGCCGAGCGTGAGCTTGTCCCTAGTGTGAGTGCTGATGAATTAGGCCACTACGAGCGCGTGCGTCGCGAGTTCGAAGGTGGCAAGGAGAAAGAAGCGAACGCAGTCCAACAAACAAATGGCACAGATGCCAACACAGTCGCACGCAGTCAAATTGCGCAAATGCTGCGTATGCAGATGCAGAGGGCGAACTCAGAATCTGGCGGAAATGTCAAGGGAAAAGGTAAAGGAGTTGACCAAAAGATTGCCGATGTCATTGATGAAGATTTTGTCATCAGGACTGATCACCTGTCGATGAACGGGTCTGGCAAGGGGAAAGGGAAGGGCAAAGCAATGGCTGAGTCTCCAGATGGGATGCGATTTGGAGATGCGGCTGATGATGATGAGGACATGTACGCATAGAAGCTCGAGTAGATCTGCTACCGTGGCTGCCGGTGTCAGCTCACAGAACCATTAACACTCCTCATAATGTCAATAGTTTCCACATCCCTCACGTGGTTGGCAGAACATGCAACATGCGCCTGACAAACTGGGTTACTCCAGCAACAACGCCGGCCAGTCCAGATGGCGACTATCTCGCGAAGACCGGTGACCAAATTGATGTGGCTGCTTCTCTTCTATGGTCCTCTTGAGTTGCTTGAGCTGTAGCAATAAATTCGATACGTAACCCGTATGATGTGGTTGTTACACGACGAGATTGAGTGACGGACTTGCACACGAGTATCGTTGAGAAACCGAGAACCAACACTCGACAAATCATACATCAGGTGCCGCGACTAAGAGCGGCCCTCAGTATCTGAGCTTGAGATTTCCATTATACTCGGCATGCGTATGTGTATTGTCACTCATAATCACTTCATAGAGAGACAGAAGCCGGTTCGCTCGAATGTGCGACGAAACATTTCTACAACAATGTTCGGTTCCTGTTCGCTGCCGTACATGTACGGCAGCGAACATCCTGAAACTGGCAGTAAAAAACAGGCGCCAAAGTGAAACAGTAACGTCAGATCGTTCTACGAGAACAACAGGGAGACAGAGGCTGTAACAATAGCGCTTTGAGAATGAGTCTGACGGCTTCTGTTCCCAACCTGGCCGTCTTGGGGGGTTTGAAGTGGGCTCTTCGGTCTATTTTCTCACTCGTTGGATGTCCGAAACATCCGGCAATGGACGGTGAAGATATCGCTAAACTTATAAAGATCATTAATAATCTTCAACTTGAAGCGTTCAGCAGAGCGGAGATTTCTCGCGCCAAGCTGCCATCAAGTCTGAAATGGTCTGCAGCATTTTACTTGTGCCTATGAGCCGGTAAAATATCAAGAAGTAGGATAGACGACTGGTGGCAGGAGAAGATCAGGCTGAAGAAACTATGGCTCGACGGAGAAAGGCAACTGTCGCCAGCTAGGAGAAGCCAATTAGCTGCAGACACCTGCCGTTTGCGTCTTCGGAGATGCTTCCAACGCGCATGTCATCAGCTCCTAGCTATCGAGCCGCAAAGGGTTAGAGCTGTCAAGCTATGCGTCGGAAATTCTGTTGGCAGTTTAATGCCTGCTATTCAGAAGAGCTCGTGGTTTCTGAGCAGCTCGATGTGGTTTTGAAGAGCCGTCTCAGACGGCGAATTGGCCGCGAGAACGACCAGAACCAGCCCTGCACCGTGCCTGGATAAAAAGCAGCACTGCTCGGTATCAAGTTCATCGCTACTAGCGTTTTGGCGGCTTCGGCATCAGGGCGGAGATACTGACGCAGAGGCCGGCTCGCCGTCGGACATTTCGAGAGGTGCATTGACCGAGTGATGAGTGATGTGCTTGTCCGGACTCGGACTCGAAGAAGAAAGGGATTGTCGAGTGGCATTCAAAACAAGCGAATTCTCCGACTGTTTGCGCGACCTCTGGAATTTGAATCTCTTTGTGCACTCTCACATCCATACCATCTTATCTGCGTTGCTTTGTTTGCGCCAAAAGCAGCTGTTGAATGATATAAGTTTTGTGACGCGACTTACATTTCAAAGCACACTACGTCAGAAGACTCGGTCCGTCCTCTCGATCGTTCCTGCCCCTCCAGAAGTTCGGCCGCCAAAGTTCCTCAACCGATAAACAGCTGCTCTTATCCTTCGCTCTGTTCCACCCTCACCCACGACCTTGGACCTCACCACACATCTTTAACTCTCGACAAAATGGCTGACACTGTTATTACCCCGGAGGTCGAGTCCAACGCGTAAGTGTCGAATCCCGCCTGCTTCTGGCATGCCCCATCACTCTGCCGTCACTTGTGAGGCAATCCAATTATCCGCCGTCAGACTCTTTCAATCGTAGCTCATGTCGACGCGCGCTTTGCGACATCTGCAGCCGTCTTCAGTTGTGAGCAGACAAGCTAATTCGAATATACAGCGGCACCATGGAGCTCAAGGAGAACACCGTCATCGTTGTTCTCGGTGCTTCGGGCGATCTTGCAAAGAAGAAGACCGTAAGCACATGTGCCAGCCAGTTGACCTGCACGACGGCTTTGCTAACCACTTGCACAGTTCCCTGCTCTCTTCGGCCTGGTAAGCCTGCATCAAGCGTGAGCTTCTGCTGAGCATTGACTGATAGCAAAATATAGCACAAGAACAACTTCCTCCCCAAGAACGTCAAGATTGTCGGATACGCACGAAGCAAGATGGACCACCCGGAGTTCATCAAGCGTGTCAAGTCGAACATCAAGACTCCTACAAAGGAGGTTGAGGACCAACTCGAGGAGTTCTGCAGCTTCTGCACATACATCCAAGGCGACAAATACGAAGACGACAAATACTACGAGGGCCTCGAGAAGCACCTCAGTGAACTCGAGAAGAAGGACAACCAGAAAGAGACTAACCGCATCTTCTACATGGCCTTGCCCCCCAGCGTCTTCATCGTCGTCTCGCAGATGCTCAAGAAGCACTGCTACCCCAAGAACGGCATTGCCCGTATCATCGTCAGTATTGAGTGTCTTGAGAGCTTGAACTTCCTGCTGACGACCACCTACAGATCGAGAAGCCCTTCGGTAAGGACCTTGGCAGCTCCAGAGAGCTACAGCACGCTTTGGAGCCCAACTGGAAGGAGGAGGAGATCTTCCGTATCGACCACTACCTTGGTAAGGAGATGGTCAAGAACATTTTGATCCTCAGATTTGGCAACGAGTTCTTCGGCTCCAACTGGAACCGCAACCACATTGACAATGTTCAGGTATGTGGGAATGACTACATTAAGTCGCACAAATGACTAACATCAGCAAGATCACCTTCAAGGAGCCTTTCGGCACTGAGGGCAGAGGTGGCTACTTCGATGAGTTCGGCATCATCCGTGATGTTATGCAGAACCATCTCCTCCAGGTCCTGACCCTGCTCGCCATGGAGCGCCCCATCTCTTTCTCCGCTGAGGACATCCGTGACGAGAAGGTCCGTGTTCTTCGTGGCATGCCCCCTATCGAGCCTAAGAACGTCATCATCGGCCAGTACGAGAAGTCGCTCGACGGATCCAAGCCCTCTTACAAGGACGACGAATCCGTCCCCAAGGGATCCCGCTGCCCTACCTTTGCCTCAATGGTCGCCTACATCAAGAACGAGAGATGGGACGGCGTTCCCTTCATCCTCAAGGCCGGTAAGGCTCTTAACGAGCAGAAGACCGAGGTCCGCATCCAATTCAAGGATGTCACCTCTGGCATCTTCAAGGACATTCCCCGCAACGAGCTTGTCATTCGCATTCAGCCCAACGAGAGCGTGTATATCAAGATGAACTCCAAGCTCCCTGGCCTGAGCATGCAGACTGTGGTTACTGAGCTGGATCTCACCTACCGCCGCCGCTTCTCCGACTTGAAGATTCCCGAGGCCTACGAATCTCTCATCCTCGACGCCCTCAAGGGTGACCACTCCAACTTTGTCCGTGACGACGAGCTCGATGCCAGCTGGAGAATTTTCACCCCCCTGCTCCACTACCTCGACGACAACAAGGAGATTGTCCCTATGGGCTACCCTTACGGTAAGTTTTTTTTTTGCCAGGCGCATGTTGCAATATTCGATACTAATTCAGATTTCAGGCTCTCGCGGTCCTTCCGTTCTCGACGACTTCACCTCCTCATACGGCTACAAGTTCAGCGACGCTGCTGGCTACCAATGGAGCAACCTTCCCGAGAACAAGCTCTAAAAAGCAAAATGATATATACCCGAAATGAAAGAAAATTGAATGCTGGTGTGCTGAGCATATGCAAAAGCAAAACTAGCAGGATAACAGTGGTAGAGAGCTGTCCTTCACGATATCTTCACGCAATGAAGGGCGGCCATGCATGAACGCATTTGAAAGAAACTTAATGACTCGTCTTCTTCGCTCCATAGCAATAAACTAAGAAATTATTCCGCAATCTCTCAATTCTCTGTGACGATCGTACGCAAGGTTTGCTGCTTAGGTTGTTTTCTGGTGCTTGGGGCTCAGTTTGGAATTAGCCTGAATGTGGCTGGCCAACGATCGTAGACGACCGTGCGCTAGAAGGAGAGTGAAGTCCGAAGGAGAGACAAGACCCTGTGGCTGGGCTTGCTTCCGTTTCGCGTCGTGTGCCCTCTTGTCGTTAGTGAAGCAACTACTTGCTGATTGTAACATCAATTTTCGTTCACATTTCGTAAACCCTCATGCCAAAGTAGAGGTTGGCGGGTGGAGTAACTATGGCACAGGCGCAATGGCAAGGGACGGCTCATGTCAAGGGCTCCAGCGAGTCTATGCGCATGCTGCTGCTGACATTCAGCTTAATTGGCTTACAGTATGTTTACATGCTTGAGAAAGCTTGAGATAGACCTTTGGTATTGACAAATCTGACAGATTTACATGGGGCACTGAAATGACTTATTGCACTCCGTATCTATTGCAGCTTGGTCTTACCAAAAGCAAGCTTTCGCTTGTTTGGATCGCAGGACCATTGTCAGGATTGATCATGCAGCCGATCGTAGGCATTATGGCCGACAAAAGTACCAGCAAATGGGGTCGACGACGACCGGTCATGGTCGGTGGTACGGTAGTTGTGAGCATTTGTCTCTTGATCCTGGGCTGGACTAAAGAGATCGTTGCTACATTCGTCGAAGAAGGAGAACTGGTTGGTCAAGCCCAAGCGCGAGATTGTGATTTGAGAACTGTGTTTTAACATTCAGCAGAGGCGTGAAGCGACCATCTTTCTGGCCGTTCTGTCCATTTATGCTCTTGACTTTGCAATCAACGCTGTACAATCATCGTGTCGCAGCCTTATCGTGGACACTCTGCCCATTCCAAAGCAACAATTGGGCTCTGCCTGGGGTAGGTTTGGTAGTCCTGTCACTAGGATCGTGTATCTGATGTTCTACAGCAAGCAGAATGGTGGCTGTTGGACACCTCATTGGTTATGGCGCCGGAGCCCTGGATCTGGGCTTGATCTTCGGAACCCTCATTGGCGATACTCAATTCAAACAGCTTACTGTCATCGCTGCTGTCGCTCTCATAGTGGCCATTGGAGTCACATGCTGGGCCGTCGACGAACGCGTGCTTATTGCTAGAGGGTTCGATTCTTACTGTCCTACTTCGAACATACAACTGACTCGACTACAGAGACGGCGTCAAGGATGAAGGCTTGGTGGCGGTGCTTGCCCAAATTATGAAAACCACCAGGAATCTACCAAGTAGAATTCAGATGGTAAGTTTGACCTGATATTGGCTTTTTGGCTCAAGTGCAACGCTGACATTTGACAGATCTGTTGGATACAATTTTGGTCATGGATTGGTACGTAATCAAAGAAGTACCTCGAAACTACCTGTCTGACATTGCAAACAGGCTGGTTTCCGTTCCTCTTCTACAGCACCACCTGGGTTGGAGAAATCTACCTCAGATATGACGCACCCCCTGAGATCAAGCAATCCAAGGATCCGCTGTCAGATATTGGACGTGTTGGCAGCATGTCATTGATCGTGTTCTCCATTGTCACATTTATTGGCTCAATCGCGCTTCCATGGATGGTCAAGTCTCCGGAAGATGACAAACCGGACTTTACACCTAGACCACCTGCAAGTATTGCTCCGATTGTCAAAACGGTCGTGGAGCGCAAACCCAGCCTGTTGACTGCCTGGACGGTCGCACACCTTATCTTCGCAGGATCGATGATCTTCGCACCATTCGTCACATCGCTACGCTTCGCAACAACTCTGGTAGCGGTCTGTGGAATGTGAGTAGCTTGAGAGATCGTGCTGTGTTGCATGTTGACTGACGGTCACAGACCATGGGCACTTGCCTGCTGGGCTCCCTTTACCTTTATGGGGGTTGAAATCAACAAACTTGGTAGCAGCTTGCCTACCTCAAGACGCGGCAGTCATCATTATCAGAGAGTTTCTGATGGCTCTATCGAGATGAGCTCCGAGGCTAGGAATGTAGAGAAGTCCGATGAATCTGCCACTGGCGAGCTTGCTGGTATTTATCTGGGCATCCTAAATCTCTATACGACACTACCCCAGTTCATTGCTACTGGTATCTCAATGGTGGTGTTCACAGTTCTTGAGCCTGGCAAAAGCCCAGAACTCGCAAAGGACGCGCACCCTGATGAGCATCACAGTACAGAGGGGTTCAATGGCATAGCTGTGTGTTTGTTCATTGGAGCTTTGTGCTCCATTGCGGCTGCAGTCGCAACTCAGAGGTTCAAGAATACTGCATAGACAGAAAACAAATGTACGACCATTAGAATCTTACAAACATCGATGCGAAAGGTCCAGTCTCCCATCGGCGCTCTGAGCATATAGATCAATACATGCAGACGATGTCAGGATGTCAGGCCAAACAGGCGTTCGAGTCACCCCGAAAGCCGATGAAGCCGCGATATCAATGACGTCGACTCGCTCAATGGTTCGGTGGTGAGGTCCAAGCGTATTTGTGGATGTTGCTAGGTCGTAGGAGCAACGTTACTGCTACAACCGCTCTTTGCTTCTGTCTAGGTACAATTGTTCTCTTGTCAAGAGATACCGAAAGCGTGAACGATAGCCATGGATTACAGTGTGTTGCACCTCGTGAAGCCTACAAGAATGTAACCACAAGCTAACCAGAATAGACACTATGCTCGAGAAGCTGCTGGACGGCGGTTATCTGCCTACGCCTGTCATTCGCGCTGGTATTCGCCAGCAACTGCGCCAGCGATTGACTTCTATCGCGTCGACGTCAAATGCTTCTGCTTATGATACCAAGATGAAGTATGTCGAGCTGCTGCGCGAGAGACCAATTGCGATTGAGACCGCAAAAGCAAACACACAGCACTATGAAGTCGGCACTGGTGTGCTCAACAACATGCTTGGTCCGAACATGAAGTACTCGTGTTGTCTTTACGAGGGTCTCAAGCCCGGACAGGGTCTTGGTGAGGCAGAGCTTCTGATGATGGAAGACTATGTGAAGAAGGCCGATTTGAAAGATGGCATGACTATGTTCGACCTTGGGTATGATTTGACTTGACTGAACTAACCAGAAAAGATGAACTAACAGGAGGCAGATGTGGATGGGGATCACTCAGTCTGTTTCTTGCACAAAGGTTCCCCAACTCGAAGATTACTGGTTTCTCAAACTCGCGCACGCAAAAGGAGCACATTGACTCACAGGCCAGCAAACGAGGCTTGAGCAACCTGACGATTGTCACTGGAGATATTGCTACATATGAGTTCCAAGCACCGCTGACTGGGTCGTTCGATCGTGTATTGTCGATAGAGCTGTTTGAGCACATGAAGAATTATCAACTTCTGCTCGGCAAGGTATCGAGTCTGCTCAAGTCAGGCGGCAAGCTATTCGTACACAACTTTGCACACAAGGACAGCCCCTATGACTTTGAGGACGGATGGATGACGGAGCACTTCTTCACGGGTGGCACAATGCCTAGCGCAGACTTGCTGCTCTGGTTCCAGGATGATTTGAGATGCCAGCGCATGTGGTGGGTCAATGGCAAGAACTACGCGCAGACGTGCGAGGTGAGAGAAGACAAGCAGAATCAAGGAAGCAGAACAAGGCTAACGATAGCAGGACTGGCTGTCAACCATGAACAAGAACAGGCAAGCGCTCTGGCCGCACTTGGAGGAGACGTATGGAAAGGAAAAGGCTCTGACGTGGTTCCACCGATGGCAAATATTCTATCTTGCTTGCGCGGAGCTGTTTGCGTACAATGGTGGAGAAGAGTGGGGCGTGTGCCATTACTTGTTTGAGAAGCCATAGACGAAGAAATTGGTATTGTGGTATAGACATGATGTTGTGAAAGCATTGAAGAAGAGAAATGCGAATCGTCTAGTGATCCCAGGGATGCTTCCAGCCGAGGAGAGCAGGGCCGTCCTTTGGTTTCAGTCAATATTGGTGAGTCTGGCGAGGCGGGCGGGTTGGGATTTGGTACCTTTCTGGCTCTGTACATCAACTAGAGAGCACGTCAGAGTTGTCGGATGGGTATGAAGAGGAATTGAAGGGCTTACGAAGAACCACATGCTGGCACCGAGGCCAGTGGCAGCGAATCTGTAGAGAGGACGGACGGGGTGGATGTGGATGGGGTGGCCGCCGTGGGCACCAGCGGGACGCGAGGGACCAGCCATTGTGTCTGGGGGCAGTCAGCGAGCGGGTCTGTTGGAGGGAGCGAGCAGTCGAGAGTCGAGCGTACGTGAGTTGAGTTGGTTGGTAGACGACGTGCTGCTCGTAGACGTCGCTGTCGATGTGTGGACGGGCGGTTTGGCGCGACAGGATGCTTGGCATCAAGAGCAGAGTGCACGTCGGACTTTGAGCGTGTGGAGAATGACATAGGTAGCCCAGGCACGAACACTCGGTCAGCCATGTTTGTTCTTGTCATGATTTGAACCAACAACCAAGACTTTCTCCTTCCTTCCTCATCCACGCTCCTTTCGCACACAGCCCTCGTCGTCGCATCCATCCCACCCGATAGCGACGCACGCCCAACCATCCATCCATCCTTCGCATCCACGCGCCGCCCGAAAGCGATGAGAACCAACTGAGCCGCAAACAATCGCCATGACCGACTCGACCCAGCGCCGGTTCCGTGGATGCGCTGCCATTGACGACTTTGACATTGTGCAAAAGCTGGGTGAGGGTACCTTTGGTGTCGTCTCCAAGGCCCGCTCGAAACGCTCCGGTGCCATCGTCGCTCTCAAAAAGATCTTGATACACAACGAAAAGGATGGCTTTCCCATCACCGCTTTGCGCGAAATCAAACTGCTCAAGATGCTGTCTCATGCCAACGTCCTGACCCTTCAGGAGATGGCTGTCGAACGCCACAAAAGTACGCTATACCATTCCCTTTCGCCTTTGCCAACTCCCGCCTGACCTCAACCATAGAAGACGTCAAGAAGCGCGCCACTCTTTACATGGTCTGTCCATACATGGACCACGATCTCTCAGGAATGACGACCAACCCCGACATCTCCTTCACCGAAGCTCAGATCAAATGCTATATGCTGCAACTCCTCGAAGGCTTGCGCTATTTGCATGACAGTCACATTTTGCACCGCGATATGAAGGGTAACTTCACTGCAGCCTCTGCATCTTATCCTCGTCTCTGACACCCAGCAGCTGCAAACATTCTTATCAACAACCGTGGTCTACTCCAAATTGCCGACTTTGGTCTCGCTCGTCACTACGATGGTCCTGTGCCTCAGCCCGGCCGAGGCAACGGTGAGGCAGTGCGCGACTATACCACTCTCGTGGTAACACGATGGTACCGTCCTCCAGAGCTTCTCTTGCAGCTGAGGCGATACACTCCGGCCATAGACATGTGGGGCGCTGGGTACGTGACTGCTTACCTTACACAAGTCTTTTTCTCTAATGTCGAGTAGCTGCGTTTTCGCCGAGATGTTCGAGGGACGACCCATTCTCGAGGGCAAGTCTGATCTCAACCAGGCCCAAATCATCTTCGAGCTGGTAGGTTCTCCCAACGAGGACAACATGCCAGGCTGGTCGCAACTTCCTGGTTGTGATGGCGTCAAGGAATTTGAACCTCAACGTGGTTCTCTTCGCCAGAGGTTCCGCAAGTGAGTCCTATCTACCCTGCTGGCAACCAAATCACCTCCTGACATGCAGACACAGCTTGCATCCAGAAGCTCAGAATCTGCTCGCAGAATTGCTGAAGCTGGATTGGCGCAAACGGATCAATGCGTGGGATGCCCTCCAACATCCTTACTTCAAGACTCACCCACTTCCTTCCCGACCAGAGGACCTACCACGTTTCGAAGAGTCCCACGAGCTCGACCGCAGAAAGCACCACGAGAAGCGTGCTGCCATGCCTCCTGCTCCAGCTGGAGGAACTGTCGGCATGGGCCCTGATGAGGCTTGGGGTGCAGGCGGTGGTCGTAATTACGGTCCTCCAAACGGTTATTCTGGCTATGACCGCCGAGGTCAGCCTCGGGATCAAAGAGGCCCTCCTCCGCCAAGAGCTTACGACTCGCGCCCTCCTTCACACGATACCCCCCCACTAGCAAGAAGACCAGCATGGCAAAACGGATCCGACTCACGCAGACCATTGCCACCGCCGCATACAAACGGCTCATCACATCTACCACCACCTCCTACAGACAATCGTCTCCCTCCTCGACCTCCGCTGCCTCCACCAGATGGCCGTCTCCCACCCCGCCCGCCACCCGTGAATGCAAGGGCCGGTCCGAACATTGATACATACATTCCAAGCTATTCTGCTGCACGCCGAGACGACGTTGCACCACCGAATGGCAGGCGAAACTCTCGTGATCATGGATATCCTCGAGATCGCCCTCCACCTAATGGAAGAGACCGAGATCGAAGGACTCGTAGCAGGAGTCCGGATCGTGAGCGTCGCGAGAGGTTGCAAGATAGAGAGCGCGAGCTATATCGCCGCTGAGCTTAACTGCGACTTCCGCCACCAATGACTGAGGATAGCCATCCTGATTCGCTCTTCGAGGATTGACAGATTAGCAGCATTTCGGAGAGCGGCTGATCCTCAGAGAATATTCGATATATTCTTATCACAACCAAAAAACAGAGCTTCGAGCTGGAGTGACGTCCAGGCTCTTGACTCACGACATTGAGATTACACAGCGAGGCGTTGTCGGTTTTTGTTTTCCACAGCGCAGGAGCATGAGCATGGCGGATCTGGAAGGAAAGTTTGGCTTGAGTGAAGGCAGAAGCGCGAAGCACCACCTACTGAAGATACCCAACCATGATGCATTACTGATTACCAAAATAGTGATAAATCGTGCCACAACTGAGTTTTTTGGAGGCGACTGTGCCTGGTACGAACATCATATCTGCTAATTTAAACCTGGGGCAAGTCCTCACGACGCGAAATCCACACCCGGACGTTGTCGTTCGTGCTATACACTCCAGTGGCAGGTTTGTAACTTGGCATCTTCCAGGCGCCGCCTCCGACGGGTTCCATGTCCCACATACTGATGAATGCCGCGATGAATACCAACGTCTCCTTCTGCGCAAATGCTCGACCTTTGCACATGGAGTGTCCACCACCTGTATTGTTACAGTCAGTCTTGTTCTCAGGAAGGGTGGATGTTTCTCAACTCACCATATGGTCTTATAGTTCCCATGTTTACAGACACTTCCTCGCCTTCTTGCTCGGGCTTGATATGCCTATCTGCCCTCCATACGTGTGGATCGTCAAAGTAGGCTGGATCTGTGTGGTGGATCGAATGAGCGATATGAGTATAAGTTCCCTTTTTCAAGAAGAACTTCTCGGCGTCCTTTTCTCTGGAAGCCGGGAGAACCAGATTTTCTTGCATGACTCTGAAACTCCAAGTGGCCGCATCTAGGCGTAGAGACTCGACGTAACAGCTTTTGAGCAACGGACATTTGCTTGCTAGGGCTTCGTGATCGAAGGTGTCGATTCGTGGCGGCTCTGGCACGCCGAATAGTTGCTTCGGTTGGACGGCATGCACGAAAGGTGCAATCTCCTCGCGCAGTGAAGATAGGATCTTCTTGTCAGCATAGATGTGGTTGAGCATCCAGAACACCAGCATGTTTGCATTTGCATTCATCGCCCATAGGAGGCAAAGATCCAAGGCTGCTCGTTCTTCCATTGTGAAGTTAAGTTGGCGATATAGCTTCAATCTCTCTGCGAGAACAGGACCAACATTCTCAAGATACTGCCATTCTTGACCTGGATTTTCTCCATTCGCTGCCTTTTCCATCGCTTCCTCGAATGCGAGTACGGCATTCAGAGAACGACTGCGAGCAATTTTTGCTCTCCAAATTTGAGGAATGGGAAGCCAGGCGGGAAGTCCAGTCGCCAGCCATTTGAATCCTTTGTCCACATCCCAGAGATCCAAGAAAAACTCAGGGTTATTGTCTACAAAGTCAGAACCGATAAGTGACGGATTGGCATTGGCGGCAACGAAATCGCGGACCAAGTGCATCATGCTAGCCTCAACAACTTGTTCTCCATTGGGTTTGATTACTGTTTCGGCATTGCTTGTTCGCTCCCATCCCACCTGATCAACTCTGCTCTCAGAGAAGGTGACAAGGTTGGCGATGTTCCGTTTTGTCACATCGATCGTGCTCTGGATCATCTCTTTTAGAGATGGATCGGAAAGTAAATGCTTATAACATGCGTTCAATCCTACTAAGGCTTGGTCGTATCTCTGCATCGATGCTTTTGAGGTTGGATAACCAAATACAGCAGTCAAGATGTGTTTCCCCACCGAATCCATGTTGGCAATGGAGTGCTTCTGATTCATCAAGGATCCGCCCATGGAAGGTGAAAAGACGATGTTGTGAGTCGTGCTGCCCAAGTTCAGTGCAAACACACCGCTCCTATATGTGTCGCGTGCTTTGTCCAATAATCTTTGTGGTGAGAAGCTGAACTGTGGAATATGTCCGACGATAGGTATCCAATATGGGAGCATCGGTACGCTTCTGGATCCATTTTGAGCAGGCTTCGATGTCCCGAGAAAGCCACTGAGAAAACGAGTCGTGATTGCGACGAGTAAGAATGCTACCACTACAGTCGCCCAAGTTATATCTAGATTTTGCGACGCTGTCGTTTGAAATTGGAACCTCGCGACCGGCGTTACAGTGGCATTAGAATCCATCGCGAACTAGGGGTAAACGTTAATGGTAACCCTGTCGCTAGTCGGGCTCGAACTGTTTTGTAGGGTCTCTGAGGAGCTGTCTTCCAAGTGACCAGACTCACAATCTCCAAGACCCGCTTGAAAGATTTTTGAATTGATTGCAAAAAGGTCAGCAGTTAAGGGGAATGGCAGCCTGCAGGACTGCTGACACCGGATGGCTTGTTTGAGACGACGGGCTGCGCTCAGTTTCTTGGCAAGGAAGGATTTCTCAAAGACCGAGCATCACTTGAACAACCACACGTCTGATGATCAGAGCAACATTTCGACCATTCAAATTCATCATTCATCGAACAAGTCACTTCTCTACACATTTCGTGGCAATGGCGCCCAAGCAGCTCAATTTCATAACTGGCAACAAGAACAAACTAGCCGAAGTTCAAGCAATCCTCGCCCCCACTGGCGTAGACCTCTCAAACCAATCGGTAGACTTGCTTGAAATCCAAGGCACGATTGAGGAGATTTCAAAGGACAAATGCCGCAGGGCGGCAGACACGGTACATACGAAGATAATTGGAGTGTAATTGTAAAATTTGTTAAGCAAGGAGTTATCTAGGTTGGTGGCCCGGTCCTGGTGGAAGACACATGCTTGTGCTTCGACGCCTTCGATGAACTCCCAGGCCCATATGTGTAAGACCTCTACCAAATCAAGCCTTTGTAAGCATCAACTAAAGAATTGAATACAGCAAGTGGTTCTTGAAGTCGCTCGGTGTCCAGCAATTTCACAAGCTTCTCGCTGGATTTGACGACAAGGGCGCCCAGGCTGTGTGCACATTCGCATACTCTGAAGGTCCTGGCCACGAACCCATCGTTTTCCAGGGAAGGACCAAGGTTCGTTACCATGACGTGAACCTCGCTCACAACATGCATACTGACCAGTACGACAGGGTAAGATTGTCGAGGCCCGTGGTCCCACTGATTTCGGTACGTTTGCTGTCTGTTTGTTGTCTTGAGATGAACCTAATTCGAGCCACAGGTTGGGATGCATGCTTCGAGTATGAGGGCCAAACATATGCCGAGATGCCCAAGGCCGAGAAAAACAAGATCTCGCATCGCGGAAAGGCTTTGGCCAAACTGACCGAGTGGCTTGACGCACACACGGAGTAAAAATCGTTTCAGCGGACGGGCAGGGCTGCATGTAGATCGAGTTGCTCATTCGTAGAACATGACACACTTATGCCTCAGAGTGATCCTTCTTCCAGTTTTCGATCCAGGTTTGAATGCGCTCGAGGTTTTCGTCAATCTGGTCAAGATCATCGCTCTGCAACTCGACGACAATCTCCTCGTCATAAGAATCGCGTGCCTCCTGTAGAAGAACCTCCATGATTTCGGCGTCCATGTTTTCATCGAGTTTCTTGTCACTGTAGCCACGACCCTTGAGGCGATCATAGAGAATAGTGCTGTTGCAGCGAATGACAACAACGAGATCAATCAAGGATTGAGGGAACATGTCGCAAGCGTGCCAGTCAATGATTTGGCCACCTGCCTCGAGATCAGGCTCAATTGCATCCAGGAGCTGCAAATGATTAGAAATTTCAAAACGGAGTCTGCTGAACCTAACTGCTTACCTTGTCCTCATCGACAATGACACTGTTAAGTTCATCATCAAAGCCATCCTCGCAGTCGCGCTCCTTCACAACCTTGTTGACATTGAGATGGGTGAGGCCAGTGCTTGATGCAAGCTGCTCGCAGTGAGTCGTCTTTCCCACGCCGGGGGTTCCAGTGATGATTATGTTCGGCGAGCTACGCATTATGCTGTCTTTGTGTTGTTGTCAAATGTTTCTTAGTTGGAGATGGACTTTTTTGCAAACTTCCCCACCCTTCGCGTACCATTCACATCGCGGTATATGCCGATCGGTGACTTGCGTAAACCCACCTTCCGGTGCATACCAATAATATCGTTGACTTCTTGTAAAGAAGCAAAGTATTTGAAGCACTTGGAGACTCATGGATCGCATTGATCGGACCTACACATCCTGCCGTTCGAGATTTTATGTTCAAAACTGCCTTACAGGATCCTTTCACGCTCTCCTGGGAAGCAGCAGTAAGTAAATTTGTGATGTTAAAGCAGAAAACACATAGTTTTCCTCCCCTGCAAGGCATCAGACTGGTGTACGTCCATGGAACCAAGATCATACTCATCAATGCCCGCACATGAGACGCATGGCTGGCGAGCATGTCAAGCCCATCAATGCTCTCTCTGCGACGCAGCAGAAGTTCACGGGAAACGTGCCATGTGTAGTTCCTGTCATTCTATCTTCAAAAATAATTAATCCATGCGTGCAGTCAAGAAGGGTATATCAAAACTTGTACACAAGCGGACAGTGCATCGTCTTCGGTCTATCGACTGGAATAGAACTCCGGAGTACACGGGCTCGTCTGTTGCTATCGAAGTACGGTAAAAAGTTTTTTGTGAGCAAGAACTGGCCAACCTAGCTATAAGTTACACACGATCTTGTCGGATCAATCACAGATTCTCCAGGTGTGTATGTATGTGGTGTAAACATTGGCAATGACACACAGGCGACGATCAGTGAATGTCTTGAGAGTTGTTCTTCGATTCGGCTTCTCGCAACGACGAGAACAAGCTGTGTTGATCGATAACTCGAAAGGGCTAGCTCTATCTGAGTTTTCACGTGAATGCTGTCCGCGTTTGATCAGGACGTCTTGGAAGAAGTAGCTAGGCTTCTTTCTGACCCTGCCTAACAGTACAGATGCAAAGATGATGATAGCAGTTATAGCACCAGATCTATGGTTAATGTCATGGTCAGATGGAAAGGTCAGTTAGACTGAAACTATGATTTGCGACGTTGTAACGAGAAGAACTACACACGCTGGTAGTTACGCCTGTAGATGTCTATACCATTGAATTGAGCGTAAGACCTTTTCTAACAATATGTGCAAGGAACAACACGTGAAGCGAGTCCACAAGTAGGAAGACGTTGCTTCATTTTCGAGGCTCATCTATGTGGGTACGTATGAATGTGACTATCAACAGAAATGGCGCCATTTACCATGGAAGTCGTGAAATGCTTTGAACTTTTGGCGCTCCTTCAGTCCACCTGTTGTCTATATATGTCAACAACAACGCTATGCTTAAACGCTAATCAAGAAACGTAAAGAGATTGGTGTGAACCACGTTGAGAGCTCTATTGGCCTCAGCCTCTTCGATGACACAAGAAATGTTGATTTCGCTAGCACCTGTCAAAGATCGTTAGCAACCGTGAATAGAGATTATAGACATGATACATACCCTGCGAGATCATCTCAATGTTGATGCCGTTCTCACCGAGAACACTGAAGAAGCGACCACTGATGCCGACCATGCTGCGCAGCTGGCGACCGACAAGACTAATGACGGCCAGACCAGGGACAAGGTCGATATCACCCCAAACACTGAGGTCGTCAACAGCGCCCTTGAGAGCAGCAGACTCGATCTGAATCTCTTCAGAATCAGGGCCGGCACCAGACAGGAGGGCGACCTCAGAGTGCAGAGCCATAGATACATGAACTTCAGAAGAGGAGATGAGGTCGACGGACAGATGCCATTTGTCGAGAACAGAAAAGATGGACATCAAGAAGCCGTGAGCACGCGTACGCTTCTTGGAGTGCACATTGAGCACGGTGATACCGCGCTTGATGGTGACAGCGGTGGGGCGCTTGGGTCCTTCGTGGGTGCTGAGACTGACCAGACTGCGGTTACGGAAGAGAGAAGGCTTCTTCTCCCCAAGGTCGTCGGCATGGTCAGGCCAGATGATGGTTCCCTGGTTACGGGGGTTCTTGACGTTCTTGATGCGAATAGGGATGCTGGCTTTGATGACCTGATCCATGGTGAAGGGGTGAATGACTTCGGATCCATAGAAGGTCAATTCAGCCGCCTCGGAAGGAGTGACCGATGGCAACAGGCGAGCGGTGGGCACCTTGCGAGGGTCTGCGGTGAAGATGCCGTCAACCTCTTTCCAGATCTGCAGCTCCGAGGCGCCAATGCCGACCGCGACGAGAGCGGCGCAAAGGTCAGTGTATCCGCGCCCGATCTGAGTAAGAAGACCACCAGGGACGTCGCCAAAGTAGCCGGTAATGACGGGAACGGCATCGCCGCAGGCGTGCACAGCCTTTGCAAGTGATGCAGCCAGGTTGCGGTAGAAGCTGTCGTCGATGCGCTCGCCGACGGGGAAATCGATGACATTGCTCAGGTCAACGTACTGAGCATTGCATCCACGGTCCTGCAGGACTGCTGTCATGTATAGACAAGACAACTTCTCGCCCTTGGCGACAATCTTGTCCTCTGTACGCTTGCTGACCTCGGTCAAGTGCTGGGCAGACTCGAGGATCTTGACCAGGTTGTCACATTCGGCATTGACGCAGTCCGAGTATCTTTCCAGAATGTCGGCCGAGGAAATGGTGTCCTTTGCGACGGCTATATGGTCGGCGCGGATGACATCGACAATGTCAACATATTTGCGGGAGCCAATGCGTTCGGCCTCGCGAGCGGCGCGCAGAAGGCGGTTGGTGGTGCCCTCGCTCTTGGTGTAAGTGCTACGTGCAGAGCACACGATAGCAGTACGGTGTTCCTTGAGGCTGGCACTAGAGACAGAGTCAGTACCGGACTGGATCTCAGCGAGAGCGTGCGACCTACATGACAATGTCTTGAGCAATGTCGACGGCAAACTTGCCGACACTGGTGCCGCCAAACTTTTGCACAACCCAATTGCCGCCGCCGGGCAGGTTCTTTTCCTGCTGGTGAGGTATTGACTGTTCGAATCCGTTGGTGTAGGCCATTGTGAAGGTGGTGGGGGGGTTTTGGGCGATCGTTGTCGTGTTTCTGATATGTTTGTGTCTTTGAGAGTCGTGGTATTGTTCTCCAAAGCGAAATTGAGTCACTCGCGGCTGAACGAAGGCGCCCCCGAAGTCGCTGAAGGCCCGACTGCCCTAATGCCCCACATCTACCTCCACTATCATCATCATACTCTTGTGTCTCCTGTCCATTCCATCTTTCATATCCATCGACGAGGTTTGATCGAAATGATTCAGTGCATGATTGCGGTCTCGTAGTATCGGCGTCTTTCATAATGCGTGGCGCTCGCCCAGAAAGACAAAGAATCATGTTTCGCTAATTGTGTGCCTCCTTGGGAATTTCTACTAAAAGCTGCTGGACTTTTGGGAGATCACGAAGTGGCTTCCTTCGATACGAGTGATCTCTGACAACGAGGATATGACCTGCCTCTACCTGGCGGTTGCATTTGTGCCTACCAGATTCTTCTACCCACAGATGTGAAGATGAGCAAGACAGAAAGAGACAAGCAAAACGTCCATAAAAAGGAAGGTCCATGACAAAGAAAAGAGACAATGCCATGTCATCAAGGCTTCTGCTACAAGCACGCAAGAGGCTTTGCACTGAGTTTATTTCAGGGTCACTAAGGCTTGCAACTATACGGACCAACAGTACACTGAAGAGACAGCGCAGCTTACACTGGGCCTTCCCATTCACTCTTCCTCTGGACAATATTCGAAACTCAATTCGATTGGGCATCATTACAGCCTACTCATTGCCCGTGTATTTCAGCAAAAGGAGGGTCAGACTTGATATACGAGGATGGATATTGTTGCATCTTGTTTATCGATCAATACTTGTCTGAGCTCGGCAGATGCGAGTTTGTGTGAGTTGTAATAGTATTTTTAAGTAGGTCTTGTGAACCTCACTCTTCAGATGGAGCGTGGTAGCATCGTCCCGGAAACCTGGCCGAGTTTCACTTCTCGTTTTCCCTAGGTAAGACCGGAAAGTCAACATTGTTGCGCCAGTACTCACTCCAGAACCTTCCGGACACTGCAAGATCTCCCTTGTTGCAGAGAATATTTAAGACTGCGACTATTTCATCTTCGCCGACCTCCTCTTCATCCTTCTTCATCCTTCATCCATCACAGCACTTCGCCTACCATGTCTTACTCATACGCTACAGCCAAGGCTGTCCTCAGCGACATCGACAAGGACCGCATCCTTGCTATGCATCTCAGCTCTGACACCAACGATGTAAGTCGATAACGAGATCTTCAGCTCACTCACCTACCACTACTGTTGAGTACTGATTCGCCTTCTGTAGGTCGACTGGGACAAGGCCACTCAGGCTTACGGCGCCGCTAGCGTCGAAAGCATGAGAGTCTCCTATCGCAACCTCCTCAAGAAGATCGAGAAGGCTGGCGGCAAGACTGGCGTGACTGCTCCCTTCACCGGTGCTGATGGTTCTGCCCCTTCGACTCCCAAGACCCCAAAGACACCAAAGACCCCCAAAGGCAAAGGCGGCCGTCCCCCCAAGCGCAAGGCCGAAAACACCGGATCTGATGACGACGACGATGGCGATGCACCCAAGACTCTCCGCAAGAAGGCCGCCAAGAATATCGTCAAGGCACAGGACGAGGACGAGGACGAAGACACTCCTAAGTCTGTTCAGAAGAAGGTCACCAAGACCGTCGCTCGCGCCGAGGATGATGACGAAGATGATGAGGAGACTTCCAAGACTTCTAAAAAGACCAGTCGCTCTCGCAAGACCCCGGTCAAGTCTGTTCGGCCTGCTCAGGAGGACGAAGAGACTACTCAAATGGTCAAGGAGGAAGACGAGTCGGAGTGTTAGGGCCTGCCTTCGGGCATCCACATTGCCATCGTTCGTTCATCGGTTGGCTGCTTTTCTAACACCCTATCGTGCCGTGGCACTCTAAGCGCAACTGCAGATGCTAAGGCGGCATTTGATGACTACACAAACAGCGTCCAACAGGAAATGGATGGCTTGAGTCGGCGTTTAGGAAGGTAGATTATCATGTTTCCCACAAGAGACAACTTTCCTCTACCATATCTGCTCAGAGGAGCCCAATTCAAAAGCATGGTTCTATCTCAAGCTGCAATTTCGGTGTCTCACTGCTGTGCTGCCAGGTGACGTCTAGTATACTGAATATTGATGCGGACTGTGAAGAGATGGTCTGCTGACGCGGTGTTGGGGTGAAACACGCTGTGCCAGCCGATTTACATCTCGAAAGCAATAATTCCACAGGAAATTGGGCAAGCGACAACGATGGACTTGTACAAAATCAAATACTTCCCGTAAGCATGTGTTTGTGCATCAAGCAGCAATTGATTAAGGAGGACGATTTGAGTGACGGCGTCGGTGCCAAGAAGAGCACGCTAGTCGGCTGCGAAAAAGGTCCGAGCGTCGCACACACACCACGCATTTCGAACAACGCTCTGCTCGCGAACTCTTGAACGACCGACGACGACCGACAACACCAACTCGACACTCGCCGGGACAATCAATATCGACAAAATGCCATCCGAGCAAGGTCACCGCCGTGAGTTTCCCTGCTGAAAGTCTGGAGTCTGGTCTCGTAAAGACGCCACCTGCCAGATGAATGTCGAATGGTTTGAAGAAATGTCTGCTAACACGCTCCCAGTCTACGTCAAGTGAGTACAGAATCCGAGTCGCTGCCACATCTTCCTTCACGACGACCCTCTCGCTACATTCAAACCGATCACGATCCGTACATATCGAACGACATCCGGGAAACCTACACATTCATCCACAGCAAAACACACGATGGATGGCGCACAGAACGTATATTGACCTCTTTTCGCACAGGGGACGTCACCTCAGCTACCAGAGAGGCAAGCGCAACACCAACCCCAACACCAGCTTGATCAAGATTGAGGGTGTCGACGACTCCAAGGCCGCCAGCTTCTACCTCGGAAAGAAGGTCGCCTTTGTCTACCGCGCCTCCAAGGAGGTCCGCGGCACCAAGATCAGAGTCATGTGGGGCAAGGTCACCCGCGCTCACGGTACATATCCCACGGACAGCAGAAAGAGTCAAGGAAGCCATCTGACGCAAAACTTACAGGCAACTCTGGTGTCGTCCGCGCTCAGTTCCGCAACAACCTCCCTCCCCGTTCGTTCGGTGCCACCGTCCGCGTCATGCTTTACCCCTCCTCGATATAAGTGCGGCAATGACGGATTCGATGGGATAACGAGCATGATCAAGTGTCGCAGCGGTGTTGGTTTGCAGTCAACCTGGCCTCTATGACAAAGCCAGTGGTTCAAAAGGAAGGCGTTTTCTCAGTCTGGGAAGGGAAGCTGCCGACTAGTTTCATGTCTAAAAAAGAATCGCAAAAGCCTCCCGGCATGGCGCAATAGCCATGATGAGAAGATAAACTGGTCCCCGTCGTCTCGAAAACTTTCACGTTCCAAATTCAACTGCAGACCCAGCGTGAATAGGTGCAGATTGTGATTTGTACATAAGAATCCACGAATGCTAGAAATGGTCAAGCAAGCTACATGATGAACATTGAGCCAACATAGACAGGGTCGCACCAAACATGGTACTAACAAGCCAATGCGTTCATACTCGACGATTGATGGCCTAGTGTCGAATTGCGCACAGAGCCCATGTGGAGGAGAGGCTTCGGCTCTGCCAAAAAGATAGCCCCGGATTGTTTCCCAAACAGGAAGGCTTATCGTCATCCAGCCCGTGTGCGTGCCCGTCTGCCGCGCGACTCTTTGCTGGAAATGCTTTCTTTTTGCTCGTCGTGACCCTGAACGTCCTCTTGATTGCCCACGAGTAGTGACTATTCCTGTCGCTTCTCCTCGACAAGCACTAGGCGCCATGGATCGCAATGGTTCGCGAACCCGCCGGCGCTCGTCCGTCACTGTCGACGATGACACGGCCGGCCGCCGCAACAACTTTTACCGCCGTGAGTCCAACATGAGCGAGTAAGTATACCCCTCGCTTCATGTGCCTATGCTGCTCGTGCTCATAGAAACAGGGTTAGTTTCCTCAGCAATGTTGGTATGGCCAACGACGAGATCTTCTCAGGTCCCATGTCCGAGAGTGTGCCTACTGCCAACAGCTCCTTTGCACACCGTCGCTCGCGCGCAGACTCGACTACAAGCTTCACTTATTACGATGATGAGGACGAGGAGCGTGATATCTCTGATGAAGAATGGCTCCAGGAAGAGGCTGTCATTGATGAAGAAGCTGAGCTCGAGGAAGGTCGTGTTGATGCTGAAGATGGCCATGCCTTTGCTGAGCCCGATATGGATCTAGAGTCCAACGATCGTCCCTCTTTACACAGTCGCAAATCTTCTGGCTACTCTCGATCATCGGCACGCAGTCCACTCTTGCGACGTCGACGCTCCTCGGACACAGACAGAAGTGTTCGAAGTGGACATGGCTCGGGCGGGAGGATGAGCCAGAAAATCTATATTCAAAATGAGGACATGACCATCGTCGTTGCTGGTTTCAAGACTTCTGTGCTCGGCTACGCCATCTACCTCTGCTTATCAATCTGCACTCTTGGAATCGGCTCGCTGCTGTTCCGCTGGTTGCCCCGGTGGCGCGTACGATTGATTGGGTCTCCAACTCCTTTGCATAAGTGTGATTGGTTGGTCATCGAGAATCAGTGGAACGAAATGGTCGTGCAGCAGCTAAGCAAGCAGAGCTTCGACATGCCTCTCTCTTCGGTCTTCGGTATGCCAGGCAAAGGGAAGATGCGCGAGTTCGACGAATACAATGACCCAATCCTCGACGAGCTTCGCATTATGGACTACCGCTATATCCGTTTCTGCTTCCACCCCTTCAAGGACAAGTTCATCCTTGGAAACACCTGGCAAGACCCCGCTTGGACTGATGTTGTTACCATACGTGCTGGCATCGACGGTGAGGAGCAAGAAAACCGTGAGCGTATTTTCGGCAAGAACATGATCGATATCGAGCAGAAGTCAGTCGGTCAGCTCCTTGTTGACGAAGCCTTGCATCCGTTCTACATCTTTCAGATTGCCAGTCTGGTTCTCTGGTCTGTGGATGAGTACTATTACTATGCTGCCTGCATCTTCGTCATTTCTATCGTCAGTATCGCTTCGACTCTTGTTGAAACTAAAGCGACTATGGCACGTCTTCGGGAGATTTCACGCTTTGAGTGCGACATTCGTGTTCTAAGAAGTGGTTTCTGGCGTTATGTTCAGTCCAGCGATCTGGTTCCAGGAGATGTCTACGAGATCACAGATCCCAACCTGACACAGTTCCCTTGTGACAGTCTTTTGCTTTCTGGTGACTGCATCGTCAACGAAAGTATGCTTACAGGCGAATCTGTCCCGGTCTCAAAAATTCCAACAACCAACGAATCACTGGAACTTCTCGATCTTAGTGCTTCTTCTATCCACCCTGAGGTCGCCAGAAATTTCTTATTCAGCGGCACCAAGATCATTCGTGCCCGCAGACCTCAAGAGGACAAGAGTGACGAAGCTGCTGCTCTGGCTCTGGTCGTTCGTACAGGATTTAACACCACCAAAGGAGCGTTGGTTCGCTCCATGCTTTTCCCCAAGCCTTCTGGATTCAAGTTCTACCGAGACTCCTTCCGCTACATCGCAGTAATGGCAGGTATTGCTATGGTTGGCTTTGTAGCCTCATTTATCAACTTTGTTCGCCTCGGTCTCGAGTGGCATCTCATTGTCGTCCGAGCACTGGATTTGATTACCATTGTTGTCCCTCCTGCATTACCCGCCACCCTAACAATCGGTACTAACTTTGCTCTATCAAGACTGAAAAAGAAGTTCATCTTCTGTATTAGTCCTCAAAGAGTCAATGTAGGTGGCAAGCTTGACGTGGTCTGTTTCGACAAGACCGGTACTCTGACTGAGGATGGTCTCGATGTTTTGGGAACGCGTGTGGTACACCGACCTGCGAACAGATTTAGTGATATTCTCACCGATTCTACTGCTCTTCTGCCAGGCGCAACTTACGAGCGCGACCCTACAGTCGACTACAATGCGAACAAGGCTATCTTGTACACCATGGCCACTTGTCACTCTTTGCGGATTGTCGACGACGAGTTTGTTGGTGACCCTCTGGATCTCAAGATGTTCCAATTCACTGGTTGGCAATACGAAGAAGGTTCTGAGCGACCTGGCGCGTCTGATGAGGATGATCAAAACTCCCTGTCGCCATCTGTAGCCCGCCCTCCACCCGGTATGGAACTTGATCTGGATGAAGACGAGACTTCTCCCAACAACAAGCGAGCAATTGAACTCGGAGTGCTGAAGTCCTTCGAGTTTGTCTCTCAGCTGAGACGCGCAAGTGTTATTGTTCGTCAGTTTGGCGATCCAAGCGGCAATGTCTACGTTAAGGGCGCTCCCGAATGTATGAAAGAAATCTGCCGTCCTGAAAGCTTCCCACCGGATTACGAAGAGCTACTCAGCTACTACACTCACCGCGGTTTCCGTGTCATAGCTTGCGCAACCAAGCATATCTTCAAGCTCAACTGGTTGAAGGTGCAAAAGATGAAGCGCGAAGAGGCTGAATCCAACCTTGAGTTCGTCGGTTTCATCATCTTTGAGAACAAGCTGAAGCCCACTACAACTGGCATCATCGAAGAGCTTCGTGATGCAAACATCCGCACAGTCATGTGCACCGGAGACAACATCTTGACTGCTATTAGTGTCGCCAGAGAATGTAACTTGATTGACAGATCCGCTCACTGTTTCGTCCCTCACTTTGTCGAGGGTGATTCTCGTACAGCACTATCTCGCTTGAGCTGGGAAAGTGTGGATAATCCCGCCTATCAGCTAGACGACAACACTCTCAAGCCCTTGCCTCCTCCTGCCGAACACGATTCTTCTTTGCCATACGACGTTTCGAATTTACGCAACTATTCTATCGCTGTCAGCGGTGATGTCTTCCGCTGGCTTGTTGACTTCGCCTCACCGAAGGTTCTTCGTGAGATGCTAGTCTGCGGTCAAGTCTTTGCACGCATGTCACCAGACGAGAAGCATGAACTCGTGGAGAAACTACAGAGCATCGATTACTGCTGTGGTTTCTGTGGTGACGGTGCCAACGACTGTGGCGCTCTCAAAGCTGCAGATGTGGGCATCTCCCTTTCTGAAGCTGAAGCTTCAGTTGCTGCGCCGTTTACCAGTCGTATCTTCGATATCTCCTGCGTACCAGAGGTGATTCGTGAAGGAAGAGGAGCGCTTGTCACAAGTTTCAGCTGTTTCAAGTACATGTCCTTGTACTCGGCTATCCAGTTCACCTCTGTGAGTTTCCTCTATGCATCTGCATCTAACCTTGGCGACTTCCAATTCTTGTTCATCGACTTGGCCCTCATCCTTCCCATCGCCATCTTTATGGGCTGGACAGGCCCCTACCCTATCCTCTCCAAGAAGAGACCCACTGCCAGCTTAGTCTCACGCAAGGTCCTCACACCCCTACTGGGACAAATCATTATATGTGTCTTGACCCAATTCGTTGGTTGGGAGATTGTGCAGCGCCAACCTTGGTACCAACCACCAATCCTGGACAAGGAACACTCGAATTCGGAGAATTCACAGAACACAACTCTCTTCCTGATCTCTTGCTTCCAATACATACTTTCCGCCATTGTGCTCAGTGTTGGGCCTCCCTTTAGACAATCCATGACACAAAACCGTAAGTCCGATGTAGATCGCAAACAATATTACATGCGCTAACAGCTTATAGTACCTTTTGTCATCACCATGGTAGTAGCTGTTGGTGTATCTGCCTACATGCTGTTCGATCCCGCCCAGTGGCTTGTCAGTTTGATGGAGCTTACAGATATGTCAACAAGCTTCCGCATTTTCATTTTAGTCCTCGCAGCCGGAGGGTTCGCCTGTTCTTACCTGGCCGAAAGAGCTGTTTTCCCTCCTCTCGCCAAGTGGATCGGTAAGGCTAACGCCAAACTGCGACCGAGTCACCAGAAGAAGAGGAAAGAATATAAGCTCATTGCGGAGAGCATGCGCATTTGAGATGAAGAATGCTTGTCTGCTTTACACAGACAGATGAATGATTGGTCATAGTTTCATTGTATAGAGTAGATACATGCGCAAAGCAACCTAAATTTCCCAAACGAGCACGTATGCCCAAGCTATAGAGCTTCTTTTCGTCCTTGCTTCCTTCTATCAATATATCTATACTTGCATAGAAGAAGCCGTATGCCGGGTGACAATAGGGTTCTTTCACTCATGCGATGTCTCCCTGGCTTGTGTATAAGATCCTAGCCGAGATAGCTTTGCAGCTATTGCACGCTATATTCAGTAGATACTTATTGGCACAATGTACATAAGCTATGTCACTCTTCAAGCCATAGTGTACAAAGCTCAGAACACAACAAATTGATGACCACGAGTCAGATGGTGACCAAATCAAATATGCTATACTATTGAGCAGGGTCACCCGTACAACATCTGCGGAATGGACCAACGTTGACACGATATGGCCCGAGCAAGGATACAATTCGGAGATGCTCATCACAGAGCAACTAGCACTCATCTAAGTCATTGGGTAAGAGCGAGATTGTCATAAGAATCCTCTCGTGTTCGGTCTAGCGATTGAAATGGGTTGGAAGCATTAATTTAATGATATCCATGTCAGAAAGGACAACGTGTCAGGCCTTGACAGAAACATCAAGACCGGTGATAGATATTCTGGTGGCAATCACCAGGATTGCGGCACCCAAAAGGGTGGCACCCGAAAACACCTGCATGCCCACCCAGTTGCCGCTACCAACAAGCAGACCTGCGATGGGCGTACCGATAAGAATGCCAAAAGAAGCACAAAAAGTGTTCATGCCCATCCTTCCGCCAACTGTACTAAGATCCTCTGTGATGGAAGCTACAGTAGTAGGCTGCAAACTAACGAAGGCACCAGACAGAGCACCGTAGAGAAGAGCCCAAACGATCAGACCGCCAGCAGCATGATGAATGGCTATCCAACAGAATCCGAGTATACTCGCGCATAGATTACAACAGCCGAGAACGTTCAAAGCACCGACTTTGTCCGCAACAAGGCCAGGGATGATTCGACCAGCGATCGATCCAGCGCTCATTATGGGAAGCATGTAGAAAGAGAGCGTGTCGTCCAGACCAGACACATCTCTTGCATACGTGGAGATGTAGAAGAAAGGAACATACAGGCCGATGAAACCTACAAAGCTGGCAAGACTGAACAGAGCATAGGCGGGTTCCTTGAAAGCGGCGAAATCCAATAGCTTTCTGCGCGTCTTTGGAAAAGCGCGAGCCTTGATGCAGAAACAAGGAACAAGTAGAGTGGCCAAAGAGATGAATCCAATAACACGTGTGGCCCAGCCAAATCCAATGCGAGGCTCGAGACGACGGAAGATGATAGGGAAAATGACACCGCCGAAGCTCGAGCCTGATGCAGCAATTCCCATTGCAACGGCCTTCTTGGTCGTAAAGTAGGAAGGAATGATGGCGATCGAAGGAAGAAAGAGGCATCCAGCCCCAAATCCAACGCAGACACCTTGTGATAACATAAGTTGCCAATACTCCGAGCAGAGACTTGTCATCATCATTCCGAAGACAACAAGCACAGAGCCGAACACAATAAGCAGCCGAGGATGTCCTTTGTCGTATAGAGGTCCCGCGAACACAGTCGCACTACAGAGCAAGAAGGCTTGTATTGAGCCAATCCAAGAGATGTCCGAGTTGCTCACGTTCGGTATAAGAGTAGTGCTGTAGAAGTCCTGGAACACACCAAATCCGTTGACCATGCCCCACGCGCTCATAAAGCACATGAAACCGGACAACACTTGTAGCCAGGCAGTGAGACCGCCATTTGGTATCGTAGAAGGAGTCTTGTCAGAAGGTTGTTCCTTAGATTGAGCTTGTGCTTTCTGATCTAATGTGTTTCCAAAACGTTCCTGGTCCGATGGCAGTTCTTGAGATTCAATGTCAGATTTGACATCCGATTTGATCGAAGATGTGCTGGACCTTCGAGAATCCGTCATCTTGTGAGAGAAAGCCGTCTTCAGAAAAGTCGGTGCTTGACTGTCGATGGAGGGGACTTGACGCACGTGATGACAGAACTATTGTACCTACAGAGCAAGAGTAATATATATCATAGCCCGGACGCCTTACACATGTCATCAACAGCCGTGATTTTTGTATACAGAAGCCGGCATTGATGATACACGAACAGGACCGAAGTGCTCCCTTTTATCTCGATAGAAGTTGCCAGAGGCTTGGTCGGGATCCACTTGTCGCACAGGTTTTGGAGTTTCGGCATTCCGCAGCACACTCGTATGCGCAGCTTGATAACATGAATCTGATGCATATTTCCACTGTCGTTGTCTGCAAATTATATCAGCGATACCTGTTTGTTGCGCAAAAACCGACACGTTTCGGCGTCAATGGTTGGATTGAGGTTGCGAAAAGAAAATTTACAGCAAAGCCTACATTCAGACTAGCTGCAGATCGTTTTGGAATGGCGTCGGGCAGAGCCTTAACTTAAAGGGAACAAGAAGCAAACAAGGACATACACATCACGCCAGCTCTCGCGAGAGGTCGGAAGCTGCTGATTTTCGGTTCAGGAAGTCGGCAAACACTCAGTATGACATTCGGAAATCTGATGCTTCAAGAAATGGGTATTCAGTTCTGCTTGTCTCCTTTTGGTTCGTAGCTCTGAATCTATCTACATTGCGGCATGAGAGGCTGGCACTATTTCCGAACGAATCGACGCTACCAGGTTATACGCTGCAGCGACACCGTGTAGCACCCTCATTTCGTGTAGAGAGAGCAGAGTAGAAAGCGCTTTTGTATTGCTCAACACCACGCTGGTATGGGTCTCGTCATTTGTCATAGGGTATCTTCTTTATTTCTTGGTGCGGTCGGCGAGTTCTCCGGTGGCGGGAAGCTTAGGAGCAGCACCTCCCTTGGTCTTTGCCTCACCCTTGGCCTTCAAGCTGGTGGAGTCCTTGGGCAATTCCTTGGTGAAAGGAAGGAACTCGGGCTGGCCAGGAATGTACTTCTGCAAGACCTTGGGAACGTTGATACCATCCTCGGTCTGGTAGTTCTCAAGAACACAGCACAAAGCTCTCTCGGTGGCGCAGAGTGTAGAGTTGAGGGCGTGGACGTAAGACTTTTGGTAGCTCGAGTCAGTCTGCTTCTTCTGGCCGTAACGGATCTCAAGCTCGCGGGTCTGGTAATCGAGGCAGTTGGAGCACGAGACGAGCTCCTTGTACTCGCCCTGGAAGGGGAACCAAGCCTCAAGATCGTACTTCTTCGAGGCAGCGTTGTTGAGAGCACCGGAAACGATGGCAACGACGCGGTACGGAAGGCCAAGAGACTTGTAGAACTCTTCAGAGGTGTCAATCATGCGATCGAAGTGCTCCCATGATTCTTCGGGCTTGCAGAAGATGAATTGTTCGATCTAGAAAAAAGTAAGTAAGATGGGCAGAGCAGAGTTGCGGATGAATTGAATTACCTTCTCGAACTGGTGGACACGGAAGATACCCCAGGCATCCTTGCCATGCGAACCAGCCTCCTTTCTGAAGCAAGTGCTGTAGCCAGCATATCTGATGGGCAGATCCTTGTCTTGCAACCACTCGGCCTCGTGCAGAGCGGACAAGGGCTGCTCAGAGGTTGCGATCAGGTACTTGTCAGTCTCCTTGGAACCATCCTCTGTGACCTTGTACAACTCCTCGTCGAACTGCTCAAGTTGGGCAGTCTTTGCCATGGCGTCACGGTTCATGAAGAAAGGAGGCATGTTGGGCTTGTAGCCCTTGTTGAACAGGAATTCGAGACCGTAGTTGATGAGAGCCAGGTTAAGGAAGAGACCGTAGCCAGTCAAGCAGTAACCTCTGTGGCCAGCAACCTTGACACCGCGCTCGGGGTCATAGCCGTCCAGACGGGTGAGCACCTCGTGGTGAGAAAGACAATCCTTCTTGGCAACCTCGACACCCTCAGGAGTCCAGTCACGGATTAGCTGGTTGTTGTCCTCGTTGTCGCTGACAGGCACAGAGTCGTGGACGTAATTGCCAATTGACTTTGCCTTTTTCAACAGGGCAACGTGCATGTCCTTAGTAGTCTCCTCCTGCTGCTTGTGACGGGCTTGCAGCTCGTCCTTCTTCTTCAACAAGTCGTCGGCATTGCCCTTGGCCTTCTTGATCTGTCCAATCTCTTTCTGAAGTGCGTTGATCTCAGTCTTGATCTGGTTTGCGGCATATTGGGCTGTATAGCAAGACGGCGTTAGCAGCGTCCACAGAGGGTTAGGTGACACGAGATAACGCACACTTTCTGTGGTCCTCAAACATGGCAATAACCTCGTCGACTACCTCTTCAGGAGCATGGCGTCTACGTTGACTCTCCTTGATCTTCTTCACGTCGCCGCCGCGCTCGGCAATGAAGTCGTTAATGTCCAACATGATTGTGCGTGCTGAGTGTCTAGTCAAAGTTGGTGGACAGCTCAGCCTTTCTTTCGTTTGCGCGTGGAGGGGTCCAAAACTTGACTCATGCATCGCTGTGATCCGAGTCAAACGTTGCCAACGTTGCCAACAATTGTCAGCATTGCGAACTGATCATCTTATCGAGGACTATCTTGTACACGAATTACAATGCGGAAATCATCCAATCATCTCATCTTCAATAGAACTGCTTCAATTTCCCAGCACACCACATCCCGTCCATTTGCTCCACTCCATCAGCCGCACGCTATAAATGTCGTTCAAGCTCCATAAACTTCCTCGATCATCATCTGACACTGATCAAGGTGCCCCTCGCTACGTTCTAAGCTGCAAAGCTCAAACGAGCCGTCGCTTCTTCTGTGTCCTCGCAGTTCACCAGTCTTCGAGACGCTTTGACGCTGTAACAGCTGAGGGAAATGCCTCGTGATACCTGGGCAGGCCTCTTGCGGGTGGCTTGCGAGAAGCTGGCAGGCCGTTCTGAATAGACCTGTGGCCATGTTGATATCTTCAATCGCCCCTAAAGGCGTGTAATGAATCAACTTCAGCCATCCTGAGGACCATCATGTACAGATCTATGATCATGAGGCTCACACAACCGGTCGAAATCTGGAAAACTGACGTATCCCTCTATCTCATGTCAACACTTTACTGGGTCCTGGACATCGAGATCACTCACCATGACGGTTTTCAGATAGGCGACGGCTTAGCACATCCCATTGCACTTCTTGAATATCCATAGGGCATTGCCTTGGAGATGCTGGCGGGCTATTTCTCGGAGATGTCCTGAGGGAGGCAGATGCCACCTTGAATAACAGAGAGGTGGCTCCACCTTGTGGTGATGTGCTGCATTCCTGACGGGCAGTGTGCGAATTCTGTCTGTTCAAAGAGGGTGGGCTGGTGGTTGACCTTGTGAACGGCCCGCGCTTGAAGATGCTAGATGCTGACGAGGACGATGACGACGAGCGTTGAGATTCTCTAGCCATGATAAAGGATATGATAGGTGCCCAGTATGGTTATGAGGGCAGATGGAAACGATGGGTCGTTCCTGAAGGACTCTTTGATAGTGCAAGAGAGCCTGAGATAATATCAAATAGTAGATGTACGTCCGAGGTCGCGTGAGAAAAGGAAGTCTAAGGTTTGGGCTGGTAAGTGAGGGGATGGTAGTTGGGTGGCGCCGCTTTGTATACCTACACTTCGGTAGAGAAGACCGAGGAGTCCAGTACCGCACAGTCATGGTGACGCCTCGTGTACCTGCGGGGCCTAGCTTTACACAGGGGCCTTTTCAGCACTGGTTACTTGAACCTTCCTTGAGTCGATAGTCGCCTGCTAGTCAGTCTACGTGGATGATGGCTTTGACTTGAATACATGAAGCTCATTCGCGGAACGCCCTCTTCCTCCTCATCGGCCAGACCGTTAAGTACCCGCGCGGCCACTGTCCCTCTATGGCCATATCCCACCACAATATTCGTGTGACATGCACTGACAGGCCACCATTAGAAAGGGAACTAAGAATCCCTCTGCATAGTAACGGTGCCCAATCTTGACCCAGGAACCTGGCGGACTTGCAAGAACGGGCGGTGTTCCGCCCAGCGCGCCCAGCGGTGTGGCTTTGACCGTTGCCTCTGCGTATGGGGCATCTCGGATCCGCTTACTAGCAAGTACTCGCGCGACTCTATGACACCTGGGTGAACATGGTTGAGCTCGTTGCTGTTGTTATGTGCTTTGTTTGATCACACCCACAAGCTCAACGACGTGTTCGAGTTTGGATGGTTCGCAATCAGGCAGATGACACCTCGGTGTAGCCGCGTGTCGAGACTCGCCTGTTTCATGCATAGCAGTATATTGTTGCCCAGTCGCATGGATAAACACTTGAGTTGTTCCGCGAGTTGGAGCAGTGAGGAGGCTAGTGTCGGGGGCTTGAAGGAAGCACGCCAACGCATTCCCTGCTGTAGGCATTGGATAAACATCGATCGGATGAGCACGCATCTTTGATTTCCTGCACATGGCCGCTGTTCCATGCAACCTGCGACGCGCGTGGAGCCTGTTGGCGGGCCGTTCCTACGGCACACATCTCCTGCCCAAGTCGGTAATTCACGCAGCGATCTCAAACTGAAGATGGTTAACCCTTCCACGTGTTGAAGATGCACAACACTTTTCGGAAAAAGCAGTGGCAGTCTTACTACAGTAAATGTGACTAGTCAAAGAAAAATAGCCAACAGCTCACATATCTATGGACAAAAGTGTAGAAGAAGTAGGAAGATGAGCGTAACAAGGAGTAAGCAAAACTGTATATCTAGCCTATACTCCCTTTCTAGCAGAAGCCAACAGATGAAAAGTGCTTATGTAGGGGCAATCCGGTCAGCCGAAGATGAACACAGTCTGTCATGCATGCATGAATCTCTCTGGCGACTCCTTGATGTGAACCAACGACAAGTTTGAGAAGCAATAAGACCCCAGCTTCTGTGATCAGTGCTATAGAAACGGTCAGCGAGATGTCGTAATCAGAGCTGCATGCACTTACATCGACATCCTCCCAAGCGCGACCCTGGACGTTCGACAGCTCGTCCATCGTCATCACGTTGCCGTTAGTGAAGTACCCTGCAGCTATTTTGGCATCAATTTCTACTCTACTGTCGGCAGGAATCATCTCGTCAGGCAGTTCAACTCGCTCGTGGATCGGAATGCCCTGTTCAACAATAGCATCATGCTACACAAGTTGTCAGCTATGAAATTCATGGTGGTTTTGTCCTATCAAAACAGATTAGGCTGACCAGGGTGTATTGAGGTGAAGAGGAGTCGATTCGCAGCTTGGGTCTCGGCGACTTTGTCAACATCCCCTTGAATCTCAACACACCCTGCACCACGTTAGAAAAAGCTCACTTACTTTCATGCTACACAGTCAGTTAGCCATACATTCACACAATCAGTGTTCTATTGTTGGAAAGAGGACGGGGTGATAGACTTACTTCGACATGCTCAACCTAGACCGAAACAGTATTAGCAACATCTCTGAAGAAAACAAAACGGATGTAGGGAAACGGACATTCTATCAATCTTGGTGATACCGAGCCAATGTAAAATGTCTGGCATGAGTGCTTGGAAGCGCATGTCTTTGACTCCGGCGATGTTTTCTGTGCGCTTGAAGTATTCACTTGCGCGGTCGGCGCCACGTTTCCTTGCGTTGTATACAAGATATTTTGTGACCTGTTACCGTCAGTATTATAGCTTCCTTACGCATGGTGAGTAAGAAGATCACCTCTCCAAGCGCTCTGCCCTCCTTCCTGAAATAAATGACCACGCCACTGCCACCATTCTGAGCTTCTTTAACTGCTTCCTCGATACCAAATGTTAGGTAAGGCCTGCATGTACAGATGTCTGAGCCGAACACATCTGATCCGTTGCACCTGAAGCAAACACACGATTAGCACGAACTCCAAAAGTTGTACGGTCGAAGCACCACACCCTGTGGAAACGCTTGGATGGCCGCAATAGTTGTGGCCAAGTTAACTTACTCATCATGGATGCGCAGGGCGAGCTTGACGCTCGGGTCAGACATCTTCGCAGGATCACCGAAGCAGTAAACAGTCAATCCTCCGATGGGAGGCAGGAAGGTCTTGATGTCTCCTCGCGTAATGAGCTCAGGGTATGAACCTCCGGTGTACTCGAAAAGAGAACGTCTTAGAGTGCCTTCGTCGATACCAAATCGTTCCGCAACTCCAGGCAGGTACCAAACCGGCTCCACGGCGAACTTCGTGACTGCAAGCTCGCCAGTTGCGTTGAGACAGATCTTGCCATCTGGAACCAGTCTACCTGCCTTGACACTCTCTTCAAGTTCGGGAACTCTCATGTGTGCCTTGGTGATCGCAATGGTAGGTCGTATATCGACGTCTTCCTTTTGAATGATGTCTTTGAACAGCCACGGGGAAAGATGACCTGTGAACGAGCATCGAGTCAGCATATTGGATGTCGTAAGGTGCCACTCAAGATCGATTGAGTAGGTGCCTTTACAAAGACAGGACCAAACGCTCATTGCGAGTCTCCAATCATTCACAACACTTACCTAGCGGATCCATGGCAACGATCTTCTTGGGATCGGACCATTGTGGAAAAGGTCCAATGTTGGCTGCTGGCTCGGTGTTTGTAAAATCCGGGCGGTGATCAGTATTAAGATTCTTGCTCGCTACAGCGAGTGCATTGTCTATACGCATTATGAAAATCAGCATCGTCTCTGAACACACAAGCAAACAGATCGCAGCTATGCCGTGCTTGTCGACGCCATGTTCTTGACTCCTACAGGTATCCGCCAGATCTCATTGTCTGGGCGTTCACGTCTTTCAACGGTCAATCTTACAAGAGATCATGACCGCAAGATTGGCAGAACTCGTCCTCCCCCTGTACTGAAGCATGTAACGCGTATAGCTATAGAAATGCATCAGAGTAATAGGAAACAAGATGGTGCCCACCAAGAGGCAACAAGTTATTGACTCTCCGTGCACATGCCTCTGATCCATGACACAATTGTGCATTTCTATAGTCTACACTTTGCTTCTAGCTGTAGTCGGAGCAGAGTGGAAGTTACAGACTTTAGTACACGGGGAGGGCAGACCAGAGAAAATCCCGACTCGAGGAAGACTGGAAATGGCTTTGGTATACGTACATATCGCGTAGGAGCCGCCATGTGCACCAATAGCATTGCGTCTTCGAATCGAACTTGGGTTCCTTGAAACAACCACAGGACCTCGAAGAGATGGGTCCTTGTTGCCCCAGTCCATAGGCAGAGGGTCAACACCAGCCTGGCCTGGATATGAGGTAAGGATGATCTTGGAGGTGACACTTGATCTACGACCAGATCCTGACATAGCAGACAGATCAGGACTGGAGGGAGTATTCTCTGAAAGAGGGGGGACAACGGGGTCTGCCGGAGGCTGCTTGTTGTGTTTTACGGCAGTGGGATCTACAGTCATGTCTTTGACTTGCTTGACGCCAGCAAGAATATTGACTCGGCCATTGATGGCATCAACAGCAGCAGCCAGATGAGTATTCTCTTGCTGAATGGTCTTGAGACTGGCTAGAATCTCTTGCAGGATGGCAGCATCCCCACTTGCACCATTCATCTTTTCCATAGTCCTTGAGAAATTGTTGGTTGTTATGGTTGTCGGCAGTGATGTCCAGAGGAATGAAGGTCAAGAAGTGGGAGTGAACTTGTCTTGGTACAAAGGAGGTTGTCGATATCAACAGCCGTCTCGGGAGTGCTTGCAATGGTCATTCCCCGCTATCGAGGACCATGTGATTATGATAAGGTTACCTATCTAGGCACGGATTCCGGGTACCTGTCTGCCTTTGTTCATTGATGATCATGCCCTCGGTCAAGGACCACTAGATACGGGTATTAAACACTGGTGTTACAAATCGAATAGATCAAGTAGATAACACACGTGTTCATGCTACGAACGGAAGCTGGAACCCCGGGCCAGAGAGGATTGAAGGACTCGACCGCTCAGCTCCGAAGGCGTGTCTTATCAACCCCGCAGCTACGAACACCATACAGCACACATTTGTTGATGTTCGCCATTCCTTGGATCGGAGCACAACCTGATGAACCAACGGAGACATCCTGAGCTTCGAATGAAAGAGCGTCTTCAGACTGTGTGTAACATACCTTTGCGACCAAGCCGACATTCCTTTGGAAGTTGTCACGAGTGAAAGTTGTGAATCCTAAAATGAGGTGGCTGGTTGGCTGCTACTGCCCCGCAAAATGGTCAAGCACGGCGGCAACAAGCCTAAACGCCGATCACGACGACAATGAACCGCTACACGTAGGCGACGTCAGTCAGATTCTCATTCATCTGAATCTTGTGAACCTTCAACTAAACTTGCGACTTTTCCACGCACGTCAGACACAGCTACCATGGTAATTCACCGGCTATTTTATCAGCTCGTTGGCGCATGCTCATCCAGAATAGGGTAAACGCAAGTCGGCCAGCAAGCCAGAGGCTAAGAAGAAGGTGCGCAAATTATGCCCATGATTGAGGCGCGCAAGCACACGACTAATCGCACAACAGCGCGAGGCCCTAGCAACTACCTTTCAATGCCTGTTCTGCAACCACGAAAACTCTATCTCGGTCAAAATCGACAAGAAAGCCAGTACCGGAGAATTGACCTGTAAGGTCTGCGGACAAACATTCCAGACTGTGACCAACTGTACGTTCATATGAACAAAGAAAAGACTTGCCACATGCGAGACCTTCAATAACACCTGTTCCACAGATCTCAGCGCACCCATCGATGTGTACTCGGACTGGGTCGATGCTTGCGATTCCGTAGCCAAACAATCTGGCGATAGCGCATCGCAGCCGAGAAGAGACACCTACAGTGGCACCGCATCGCAATCGCGCTCGCAGGCCCAGGGCGCTGCTGCCAACACTGCAGCCGACGACGGCTTTATCGACGACGATGAGCTTGATGCAGAGGCAGATTACGCCGAGGAATAAGAGATCGAACGAGACAAAGAGCACGGAATTTCCAGTAGCGCGCGGTCCCAAGAGATACAGGGCCAATTACTAATGTAGGGGGGCTCAGTCTTTATATGAGCAGGAGTTTACGGCATGATACACCAAGGCGCCTGGCACAACACATGGATTGATACAGGGAAGAGCATGGCATAGGGTTCATCATATGAATTTGGGCACCAGGCGATGGGTGCGAGCGCCTTTGACTTGTTCTATGGAGAGCAAATTGGCCCATCAAGCAGTCTACAGAGTGTAGAATCGATCTCCAAAGTCTCCAAGACCCGGGACGATGTAGCTAGTCACCAGATTAGCAACCTTTCCAGAAAGAGAGCAGCAATTCTCGACGTACTTCTTTTCATCTAAGCCTTCGTCGATGAAGGCGGTGACAATTCTTACTTTGGGGAACTTCTCTGCAAAGTTGTCGGCACCCTCAGGACTGGCAATGAGATTGAGGAAGAGGATGCGATCCTCTGGCACGCCCTTTTGTCTCAAAACCTCGACAGCCATCAAAGCAGAACCGCCTAGAAGCATGTCAGTGGGAGGACAAATGAGGGGATAAAATCGTAAGTCAAGGCATACCGGTAGCGAGCATAGGATCCAGCAAGAGAACCCATCTGTCCTTGATGTCTTCGGGCAACTTTTCGTAGAAGAGACGAGGCTGGCTCGTCTCCTCGTCTCTCTGGATCAGAATCTTGCCAATGCGTACGCTTCTGCAGCAATCGCGTAGACCTTGTTCCATAGATTCACCGGCGCGCATGATGCTGACACCGCAAATCTTGCCCTCAAACTTGACACCATTGTAATGGCGGCCGACGGGAGTAGTGATCTCTTGCTGAATGACTGGCAGGTGGTTCAAGCCTTCCTCGACGAGCAGACGGATGATACGATTCGAGTAGAAGATGAAATCGGCACGGTTGGTGCGGTGGTCACGGATCATACTGCTCAAGGAGTTGGCGGAGAGTGACTTGGAACGTCTTGAACAAGGGACACACCTACGTCAGCAGAGCAATGAGCTGAGGTGTCTGCGGTAGGACGTGGACGTTGTCATGGCGGACTTTCTTGGACACTGTGGCTGTGGGCTTTTCACCCTCGGCGCGGTAGTTTGGACCCAGGCATTGGGACGGGGCAGACTTGTCTGACATGGTGCAGCAGCAAAGAAAAAGCGAAAGAGGGCAGCAAGAGAATTGCGAGATGTCGAGGGAAGGCAGATGTCGATCGAGGAACAGAGTGACGGCCGATAAGTGAATATGAACTTTCTTATCTGAGCTACGGCGCCCAAGTGTCGTGTGCCCCGCAGAGCGGCTAACTCAAGCTCTCACCCTGCGGCTGAAGGCTGTGAAGACCCTGTCGCCAACCGTCGCCTAAAGAGCAGAAGCGCCCTGTCGTCGGCATTTGTCCTCACTCGTAGCTTGTCGTGGCGACCTGCAACTTTGTTCATGTCCGTTTGCGCCATCCTCCACCACCAATGATCCTCTGATCGCATCCAAACCTGCCTCACATGATTCACGTCGCCTTACCAACCGCTTTCCACTGAGCTATGAGACATCGTGTCTCATCACTTTATATGCGCCATCACTGCCGTAGACCGACTCTTCACTTCCGAGCTGGGACGATCAAAGTTTCAGAATCTCTCTCCGTTCTTCAATGTCAACTCTGCCTCTGCCTTGAACGACTTTAATGACACATTTCTTTCTTCTTACGACCGACTCTCCTTGTGCATCTCCTTCTCTTGCCAGTCCCCGCTCCCTATGACGACACTCCCCACGAGCTATGGTCATGGTGACCGTCGCAAGAAGCCCGTTGTCACCTACGGAAGGCCTGCGCGCAACCCGACCTTCTCAACCACTAGTGTCAAGTCTTTCTACGACGAGTCCAGGAATGCTGCTTCAACCTCCAAGCTAAAGCGCCCGACTGCTGTTACCATCAGAAAGTCTAAGGATGCGGATGACGAGTTCGATGTGCCTATGTCCGACGACGAGCCTACCGCTGTACCGATCAAGTCGAAGAAAAACCATAAGCTTCCGACCAAGACCAGTCCGCTCTCTGCTAGAGGCAATGACAATGGCAACAACAATGGCGACGTAGATTCGGCCTCACCACGCAAGCGCAAAAGAACCGTTTCCCAAACTGCCCGGTCTTCAGTCATACGGCCCCTCGCAAAGGTCAATAAGTCACAGGAGGTGAAAACAGAGACCGAGAAAGTCGATGTTGAATCCGCCCAATTACGTCGCTCGGAAAGGCAAGTTGCTACTGGAACCCCTACTGCCTCGGCCCCGTCGCAAAACACCAACCGTCATGTGGCACACGCAAAGCGATCCGTGGGCTCATCTACTAAGTCTGCTTGTCCATTGTCGCCTGCTGTCGCATCTCCGACAAGTCCGGCAGATTCGGTATCAAGCATTGCTACGACACCAAAGCAAAAGAAATTATGGCACGAGCTGCTTCTCTCCGACCCCCCAGATGAGGTCGTGCAGAGTTCGACTCCCAACCCAATGCATCTTTCGCCACATCGTACTCCCAATCAGCCAAATCCGACAATGTCACAGCCTTTTGTCACTAACGTTCCGGTTACAGCCAAGGCTCGCATTGTCGATCGTCTAAAGGGAAAGACTGTTCCTGCTCAAAGTAGTGACGAGAGTTCTGAGGATGAAGCGAACGAGCCATGCGAAGGAATGCTCTCTCAGAACCTGGAACTACCAAGAATATCCGTACACTCTGAGCCTCAGGAGTCTACCCAGCACTCTCAATCACAGAGCCGAGTACAAAGACAGCTGTCTTCGACCAGTCAAGGAGCTCAGAGAGTGACCTACGCTCGGTCACGCACATATTTGCAGGACAGTCTTGAAGACATGATCTTTGGCGATCTACCTATTGATGCAACTGAACGGCCCATTGCAAGCGCTCGGCGGACCAAGACTTCTCCGAGAAAGACCTCAAAGTCGAAGGTCAGTGTCAACCACGATTCGGACGAAGAGTCTGTACAAGGCATTCGAAGTATACACGACCTTAGGGCAGCCGGACACAATAGCAGATTTATGGATGATGTTACACGTCTTCTGGACGATATCAAGAACCCAAAACCATCAACTCGATCGCAGAGGCGGATGGCACTCATGGAGCTCTTCGGTACACTTGCCGATGATGATTTCGCTTCTCGATTCGTCGAGAATGGATTTAATGCGAGCATAATTGCCCAGTTCAAACATGCTGGCATGGATGTTCTAGCTGATATGTTGCTGTGTGTTGTTCTTACACGAATAGCACAAGCTTCCGCTTCGCTTCTTCAGGGCGGTGTTCTCGATTTCCTCGCCTCATATCTAGATGAAACCAAGGATATCAATCAGATTGCACGAGAAAGGAAGAGCAACATGTCCAAGGTTGCTCAATCTGACTACGTGGAGTTCATGGAAAAGTTCAGGTCTTCTGACATTTGGGAAGACTGCTCACCGGAGTATTTATCTCCTAGTTCAGTCGCTCTCGTGAGCATCAACTGTATAGTTGTTGCTCACAGGCGCAACAAGAACAGTGGCACTATTCTCTCTCCTCACACCGCATCGAAGCTCGTCAGTCTGGCTACCAATCATACATCAGGGCCTGAGCATACCTCACAAGCTGTCATCAACCGGGCGCTATCAACTCTTGAGGCTGCTACCACTCTCGATGTGGACAGCACGTCATCAGATGTCTGGTCAGGCGAAATACTTGCGCAACTTGCTGCTGCCCTGCCTCGGTTCCTTAGTATGTCAAGGCCTTCACAGGAACTTGCTCTTCGGTTCTGCTGCTCTGTAACCAACGACAACAAAGCCAACAGCAGTGTGTTCTGTGAATCTCACACCATTCAATTGATTGTGTCGTTGATCATAAACGGTTTCAACTCGCGCAGCTCATCAGTCGAAGTGGAGCTAGACTCTGACCACGATCTTTTGGTTCTCGCCCTTGGATTGATGATCAACCTGACCGGGGTGAGCGACGCTGCACGCGAACATGTTGCTCGTGTAAAAGATCAGGGACTTGTCACACTAGTAGACATCTTCGTCAAAGGTCAGAAGAAAGCAGCTGAGAGTCAGTCGGAGGAGGAGATGCAAGCTCACATTCCGTATGCTTGGCTGTCAGTTCTCCTCGGATACATTTGCTTGAACAAGGGCATCAGAGCACAAATAAGTGACCGGCTGCCTGGCGAGAATGGAACCGTGCTCGTGGACGCTGTCGAGGGAATAGCTCAGATGAGCCAGCAAGTGGATAGTCAAGTCGCAGAGGAGGAAAGGGAAATATCTTCAGGATTCACGCAGAAACTCCGGGCGCTCGTCGCTGATTTACGCGATGGCGTGTGATTGATGGCAAACGAGACATGGCAATAGCCAGGATGATACCCACTAGAAAGTATTCTATTAGATAATCAAAACGTCGTATACACACGTTGAACAGCGCATCTAGACTCAAATGCTCAACAAATCATTTGAAGTCAGAGACAAGAACATGAAGGTATCAAGCATAAGCATACGAATTTCTGAGCGCAGCAACGTATGTAAACAAATGGTACTCGTAGAGTATACAATTAGTGTTGGGCGAGTGTGTAATTTCAATCGAGTAATGGAGGATTGGCCTGACCAGTTAAACAAGCAGTTAGACTTTCGTCACCGCTCCCTCAATAGCGCCGCCAATCGGCTGCGATGCCCCAGACTTCTTTTGTTCATTCAAAAGAGCAGATCATCGCCAGCTAGATCGGAACCTAAACGTATAACGAGAACGAGGCCCCTCTGCCACCTGCAGCTCACAGCACACGCTTACCACTACACCCCACTTGTGCGCCATCAAAGTCCTGCTCTGAATACGAGAACTACCAACGATACCACGCTCTGCGCATTTCATTACAAGTGACACGCATCAATCAGCTTGCCCTTTGCTGAACCACCACCTTTCACTCGATACATACCAGTACGACCGTCGCGTTCGGACAGAAAGAGCTCGGACACAATGCCTCCACAACAGAAGCAGCGAAAGATGGCCATCGTTGGCAGCAGATCCGTGGGTAAGCTATCGATAGCGATGCCACGACTGAAGCCAGCAAGCTGACACGTCTCAGGCAAGAGCTCGTTGACTGTTCAGTTCGTCGACGGCCACTTCGTCGACTCGTATTACCCCACCATTGAGAACACCTTCTCCAAGGTCATCAAGCACAAGAACCAAGACTTTGCCGTGGAGATCATCGACACTGCTGGACAGGTACGCCTTGATGAGGATATTGCAATATCACAAGGACCATGCTGATATTCAAGCATCAAGGACGAATACACTATCCTCAACAGCAAGCACTTCATCGGCATTCATGGTTACATGATTGTCTACAGCGTTGGCAGCAAGCAGAGTTTCGAGATGGTCAGAATCATTCGCGACAAGATTCTGAATCACATGGTATGCTTTTCGAGATGCCTGCCGATTGACCCCGATCTAACATAACGCTCCAGGGTGCCGAGTCGGTCCCATTGATTATCGTTGGTAACAAATCCGATTTGCGACCCGAGCAACGCCAAGTCAAGCCTGAAGATGGTCGTAAGCTCGCCGAGGAGCTCAACTGTGGCTGGACAGAAGCAAGTGCCAGATTCAACGAGAATGTTGGTAAGGCCTTTGAGGGCATGGTAGCCGAGATCGAGAAGGGCCAGGAAGCCGGCCAACCCAAGGAGGGCAAGAACTGCATTGTCATGTAAGAGAGTCATCGCGGTCGAACCATCATTGAGGGATATTCCTGGAATTGGCAATACCATATTTCTGGATTACGGTTGGGGCAGGCGCTTTTTGCAGCGCTCATTGAGGACGATAAGGGCGAGGATCGATCATTGGACCTGGGTCGGGAAGGGCAACATGCACATTATGGAAATGCTGGCTTATTTATCGGCAATGGGTCTTCACTGGAGTTTATAATAGGCGCAACTGCTGATTAGGAAGGGGATCATGGGTATCAGGAGGCTTGAAGGTATCTACAACATAAAGGCTCACGTCACAGTCTAACTTGACAACCTCCGAGCTGTGAGAATATCGTCTGGTCAATGTGATGTTTATTACAGTATTTTCGGCCTTCTCGCTCAGTCATAGGAGCAGGAATTTGAAGGTACCGTGTGCATGGTCAAAGGTTAGTAAATACGGATACTTCGTCCACAATACATGGTTGCATGTGATGAACAAACGCGGTTGCTGTAACAAGTGTTGATGGATTGATTCCCAGAGAATACTGGCGAGTCCTGTTCGAGTCCCAGCCTCAGGCATTGATGATTCGTAACATTTGTCGGTACTGTGTCTGTACGAGCAAGATCACAAAAAATCAAAGCACCCGGATAGATCATTGCTGTGAGGCAGGGTCCAGTCTGTCTGTGGGGTCTGGCCAGAGAGATGCGATATCATGTTTGCCTCCTTTGATGTCTGCGAAATTCATGTAAGGCTCAGACGTTCGAGTGTACATTTCAGCATGCAAGCTGACCTCCATGTGAAACCATACGAAGAAAAGTGAGGAACAGGTATGCCATTTTTTGGTGGTTCAATGGTCGAAGGCACCGAAGGACCGAGCTGTTCGCTAACGTGGAGTTTCACGTGACATAACGCCAAGGCGGCGCACCACACGATCCAAATTCAGACGTGCCTGCCCACACAATCGCTCTTTCCTCGCGACGACGACTTTTCCAACAACAGTTAATTGCCATACAGAGACGCAAACATGGCTGTCGGCAAGAACAAGAGATTGTCCAAGGGCAAGAAGGGCCTGAAGAAGCGCACCGACCCGTGAGTGAAGACGACTCGCTGCACCGTTCGACACCGACGACCCATGGCCCTCACCAACACTCTATACATTCGCGCGCATATCATTCAACGAGCCTTTGACTGACACAACTGCGCCTATAGCTTCGCCAAGAAGGACTGGTACAACCTCAAGGCCCCTTCCACCTTCGCCATCAGAGAGTACGTTTTTTCGCCGATCAGATTTGCGCCCGCCACTGGACGACAAGAAAAAAAAAATCTTTACTAACACACCACAAGTGTTGGCAAGACCCTCGTCAACCGTACCACCGGTCTCAAGAACGCCAACGACGCTCTTAAGGGCCGTATCTTCGAGGTTTCGCTCGCCGATCTCCAGAAGGATGAGGACCACTCTTTCCGCAAGGTTCGCCTGAGAGTCGATGAGGTTCAGGGCAAGAACTGCCTGACCAACTTCCACGGTCTCGACTTCACCTCCGACAAGCTCCGTTCGCTCGTCCGCAAGTGGCAGTCCCTGATCGAGGCCAACGTCGTCGTCAAGACCACCGATGACTACCTCCTCCGTCTGTTCTGCATCGCCTTCACCAAGAGACGCCCCAACCAGATCAAGAAGACCACATACGCCCGCAGCTCGCAAATCAGACAGATCCGCAAGAAGATGACCGACATCATGCAGCGTGAGGCCAGCAGCTGCACCCTCTCCCAGCTCACCCAGAAGCTCATCCCCGAGGTCATCGGCCGTGAGATCGAGAAGTCCACCCAGGGCATCTACCCTCTCCAGAACGTCCACGTCCGCAAGGTCAAGCTCCTCAAGTCTCCCAAGTTCGACCTTGGTGCTCTCCTTAACCTCCACGGCGAGTCCAACACCGACGAGTCCGGCCAGAAGGTGTGTTCAATCCCGGCATTTAAATGCACTTTCGGTCTAATACTAATCCATCACAGGTTGAGCGTGAGTTCAAGGAGACCGTCCTCGAGAGCGTGTAAGCATTTGATGAATGGAACAAGATGGGTTGGGGTCCGCATGACACGTTGTTGCCCGGCGTTCGACGTGGAAAAGGAATGCTTTAGGCATCTTCGTGTTAGCTACTTTTCATGGCAAAAAAGAATCGTCAAAAAGCTTTCCGAATTTTCCAATTTCAAAATTATGATACCACGCACATTTACACCTTCCGCACTTTTTCTGCCTGCACGACTTCTCAAGTGACTCGGAACACGATCTGTGATTCGAACTATCTCGACTGCTATATACTACATCTACTCTTTGTCCTGCAAAAACTCAACGACGGCTGATTATACGTATTAGTCCATGACATAGGGATAGAAAGCGTGCAGACATACCATTTCTGAATTCTTGAGGCTTCTCACTGATGACCCAATGGCCGCTGTCGATGTCTGCAACCTGGAATCTCGGGAAGAATCTTCCAATGATGGGTAGCGTCTCGTCTGCCACATAGTGACTCTTGGTGCCTCTGACAAATAGAGTTGGACCCTCCCATCGTGCTTCTTCAGGGTCGGTGAAAGGGAAGTCGGCCATGTTGTCTAGAGCGTTTGCAAGGTACTTGACAGGAATACGGAATCTCTGAATGCCGTCCTTTCCGCGAGCGAGGTTAGTGAGTAGGAATTGACGCACGCCTACATTGGACTCGAATTCGGCCAGGATGGCGTCGGCCTCGGATTGCTTCTGTACGTTGGCGTCGGCGATCTTGCGCATACCCTGGACGTATTTGCCAAAGTCGCTTTTCAAGGCTGCATCGACAGGTGCATTGTCGACGGGAATCAGACTTGCGATGGGCACTTTACCGCGCAAGGCAACTGCCATGACTGTTTTGGCGCCCCTTGTCTACCGTCAACATGGATCCGCAGCATCGGTGTACGGTATGGTTGTGTAAGACGTACATGGAGTGGCCAATCAGAGCAGGACGCTCGATCTTGTGCTCTTGCAGAAAGTCTTCAACATCCTCGGCGAGGGCGGTGTAGTCGTGTCTGGGGTCATGAGGTGATTCGCCATGGTTGCGCAAGTCCTGGACAGAGGATATCAGAGGTTGTGGTCGCAGACGTTCTGGGACGGGTGAGATACAATGGCGTAAACGGGACGGTTAAGATCACGAGCAAAGACTCTAGGCTTCGGTTAGCGTCGAACAGAATGAATAGCGGCAGACATACTCACTTGCTCATGCTCCGGTTGTTCTTTTTAGAGCCGAAGAGACCATGGATAAAGACGATGGGATCCTTCTTGGATTCAGGCTTCTCGGCTTCATAGAAGTCGTAGGCAAGCTTCAGCTTAGCATTGATTGGAGTTGACGAGAATGCGCGTATGCTGAGCGATTGAAATGCTTGCCGCGACCGGACGAATGTTCTTGTTGCCAGCATCTTTGAATGCTCTGAGGTCACATGGTGGTTTACCTGAACAAATGTTGAACGGAAATTGTTTCGGAGGTTAGGGCACATCCGGACCGGCAGCAGGAACGTAGCTTTGTGCGGCCCGAGCCGCCGCTAGAGCTCCATGACTCTCGTGCATGATCATGATAATCATGTTTCTTTTCAGATGTCGATGCAACTTTTGTCGACATCCACACCTCACAAACGTCCAGAACATGAAACGCTCCTATCAAAACGACGAGCACTCTTTTGCAAAGAGACAGAGGAGCAACGGACATGATGGTCACTCAGACCATCGCCCTCGAAGTCTACACTCTCAGCCTCGACACCCTAAAAACTCTCATTTCACCCACCAAACTGCTCCACTGCCCGATTCCACCAAACATCTGGAATCACTGCTTAAGGCGCTGGTTAATCATCCAGATAACACAAGACAGCTTCTTGGTCAGGAAGCGTATGAAAGCGCCGTCAGACTGTCCAAATCTATCTCTTCAATCAACACAGCTACTGCCTCTCTGGATTTGTTCCAACCTTCAACCATCAAAGGCGCTGAAGTCGGCTCACATGACCCAAACACATCCTCAACTTCCACATATCAACAGTTGCCCTTGCCAACGCTGCCACAAGTTCCTGATGGCCCTTATTCGCGGGCACCCTTCGTCCACAAGTCTAGCAGCCAACACGATCGCACCTCAGCAGTTGGCGACATGACATACGAGCGTCTTGAGTTCCTGGGAGATGCCTATCTGGAAGTTATCGCTACTCGTCTCATCTTCTCGCGCTACCCTCATCTTGCCGCTGGTCGTCAAGCACAGATACGCGAGCGCTTGGTCAAGAACGACACATTAACCCAATTCAGCATGGCCTACAATTTCCAGGATCGTCTAAAAGCTGGAGGGGGTGAGCGTGAACTCGGAAAGACCTCTGGAAAAATTCTAGCCGATGTCTTCGAGGCTTATGTGGCTGCTGTCATTCTCTCCGATCCAGTAGACGGCTTCAGACGTGCAGAGACCTGGCTTACAGAGCTTTGGGCTCCTATCCTACTCAGAGAATTTGGTCCCATAAGTTCAGACGGCGGAGCGACGTTCAATGAGTACAACCAAAATGCAAAGCAGGAACTCCAACAGAAGATTGTCGGCAGGGATGTCAAGCTTGAATACCTCGAGAATAGACCAATGGAACAGACCAAGCACATACAAAAATACTTCATCAGCTTGTTTTTGACGGGCTGGGGCTACAACAAACACCTTCTTGGCTCCGGCGAGGGTCAAAACAAGGTCGAGGCAGGTAATCGCGCTGCCATGGATGCCATGGTGAAAAGCAAAGACATCATTGATGAAGCCGCTCGCAAACTCAGCGCTTTGCGTGAGCAGAGGAAGATGGAAGCTGCTGCCAAAGAGCACGAAGCGGATACGGCACAGCGATAGGCGCTGAGTGAGAATATGGGCAACGTGCAAGACAGTTCTGCAAGATGAAGTTGCTACTCCCGACCCGGATTCAGCGAAGGCTCGTCTGATTCGTAACCAATCTTTACTCTTAGGTTCTTCATGATACCCATACAAAAGTTATAGCTCATCAAACTCATCCTAGCCATTCTTCACCACGGAATCATTATATGTTGTAATGTGATTCGTTTTAGACGTTCAGCACTCGAAACCTGACTAGAAGCAGAGTCTTTTTGTCTTCTGATTCATAGAATTAATGTTAATAGTTAAGCCCTGCTGCTGTTTTTTTCATGAAACGTAGCATATCATCATCTACCCACTTCCTTTCTCAATCTGCCCGCTGCACTGCTCGGTGGTGCTTCTGGCCAGCTATCGACTGCTTCCTCAACCTCATCCAGGAAGCTCGCACTGTTGTGTATTGAAGTTCCTCCCAACACCACCCTGACACCAGGACTACTAGCATTAACCTGCGCGACCATCTTCGCCTCCTCGTATGTTGCACCGCCAATCATAAAGACAATGATGTCTTGCGGCTTTTCTCGTGTGGTGCCTCCACCTTCAACGAAGGGGTACTGGTTATCTCGCAGGCGGCCTTTGATCAAATCCTGTATCGTTGTCTCTAACCGGGGCGAGTGCTGTGTGTATACATTCTCCACACCACCAAGTCCTCGGTTGAAGCGCTCTCGCGCGCCTTGGAATATGGAGGACGATTGGAAAAGATCTGGGATAGCACCGGTCTGTGGCAAAGACTGCAAAGAATGCGCGTAGGTAAGGAGTTTGGGTATGAGATTGATTCGATGGCGAGAGAGACCACCAGCTACGGCTAGAAGATCCATAAGAGCTGGTGTCGAGTTCGAGGGGTGAGAGGCATATCGGAGAGCGTAGATTGCCACCAAGCGCAGTTTGTTGTTTGAAGGCGTTTTTGGATCTTGTATGAGGCGTTGCAAGGTCTTCAGATCATTCGAATGATTCTCGTTGCAAGCAAGGCTTTGTTCCAGCTCGCTGATGTCCAGTAGATTCTCCTCGCCGACTCTGCGACTGAGTTCGGTGACTAAGGTGACGTGCTTGGTGACATTTCCTGACAGACGGCGGAACTCTGGATAGTCTTCTACAAACCGCTTCATATCCTCAATAGATTCAAGCTTGTGACTCGACTGTTGCTTCGAAGCGAATTGCTCGACATAATCCTTGGCATTCTGACCAAGATCACCAAAGTTGAGATACATGTTCTTTTTGAAGAATGGATCTTGATCTTGGCTGATGAAAATTTCCTGGGCGGATTTAGTAAACAAGATAGTCAATATCAAAAAGGAATGCATCGCACCTTGAACTCTGGCCGGACGTCTGGTACATGGCTGAGATTAACTCTGCCATTTTTGATACCAAGGAGTTCATGGACCATGGCTTGGTAGGTCCATTGAGTCAGCAATGGAGTGACAGGATCGTCTCTTCTGTCGACAATGAGAAGTATGGGAGCGGTATCGGTTTTCCTGAAGTCGAAGAGTTGTTCCTCTTGGGTCATCTGGTATCGAACCTCTGTGGCTAGCTTTTTCGCCAGTAGACTGTTCTTTTGGTAGCGGATCATGGGACGCTTCTTGAGGGACAATAACAAAGCAATGACACCCTCGGTTGTCCTTGACAGAGAATCCTGGTTCCACATGTCGGGACTTGAGCTCCAGAGGCGGTGTTCAAGGGCGAGTGAGGTAAGGTCTGGATTGACGACCAAGTAGTCGGCAAAACATTCGTGGACGGCTTTCACAACCTCGTGGTCATCGGCTTCTGCAAGGCGTTCAAGGGAGGACTTCTTGACTATGTTGCTAAAGTCTGACCTTGTATCAGTCAGAAGAACGTTCCGCGGTGGTTGCGAGATGGAACATACAGATGTGATATTCGCCGTACTTGGGATCGCGGAACTCGTCTATCAGGAATTGGATACTGTCGGGAGATGGGCGTACGAAACAGAGGCAGCGAAGGTGGCGCATCTTCTCCCTGTTGTGGTTGTCCAAGCGATCGGTCAGGTAGACTTGGTGGTTTAGGAGGGCGGACTGCGTCGTCGCCGACGATACGACCGAGACCTGGATTGAGCGTTAGCTACAGGGCAGTAAGCACGGTCGTGCGACTCACAGTATCATTGTCCAGGAGAAGTATCTTCATTTTGGCAGCGTTAGAGGCAGTAGCGCCATCTCCAGTCGACACCATCTTGGTGACATAGCCTGAGACGGCTTGAAACGCATCCATGGCTGCTAGGCTAGGAGAGCCCAATATCCTCTGGGAAGAACAGTATGTTGCAGATGTGTTGCGTAGTCCAAAGTTCAGCAAGGGTCGGGTGTTTGTTGTATGATCAAAGCAGTACTGAGTACGGAGTATGACGGTCCCCTCAGTCGAAGCTCCCCTATGTGGGGTCGGTAATGACACCCTGTCCTTCGATGTCCAGGAAAACCGTAGGCAGACTCGATTGCGATTCCTGTCAAGCTCGACACATCTTTCAATTAAATAACAGAAGCATGCTATCTTTAATGTCTTGATTTGATATGGTGCTTGCAGCCATGTTGGCGTGTCGTCTTGTAAATAAACTAAGTTATCAAAGGTGTCTGCGTTCGATCTTGAACTCCAAGCTTGCCGACGGCAAAGGACGTCGGCCAACTCGAAGATCTTCGAGTTTAGATAGCCGTAGATTCAGGTGACCTTGTGCTCACTTCAGTCTGATAACAAGCACATGCCTCTGCACTGTCTTTCAACATTAGCCCTGTACGTCTTGCAATGCCATCAAAGTTGCGTGACCAGCTAGGTGAAGATGGCTTTGTGCGCATCCCTTCAGCCCTTCCAAAGGATCAACTTGAAGCTCTGAGGGCTGCGTGTCAAGATGTCGCCCAGCTAGCAAGAGCGGGCAGGTGGCCCTTTGTGAGGACACTCCCAAAACAATTTCCTCCGTGGGACTCGGACACGTCGAAAGGCACTTGGGGGGTGCAACACCTTATGCATCCAGATCTCCCCCATCACGATACCTTCGCCGCGTCGTATTTTGCGCCTTACATCACTGACGCAGTGACTGAGATCTTACAATGCAGCCCAAATGACCTGGTGCTTGAGTTATACAACCTCTTAATCCGTCCTGACACGAACTTCGCTCTTCGATGGCATCGGGATGATATTAGTCCGGAGGTGTCAGCTCAAGAGGAGTTGACGCGTCTGCAGGAGCCCATGCTGCATGCCCAATGGAACCTAGCCTTGTATCCTGATTCTTCTTTGGTTGTCGTGCCCGGGTCACACAAACGTCCAAGGACAGAAGAAGAACGGTGCGCGGATCCATTCGAAAATGACTTGCCAGGACAGATGGTCGTCAAGATGGATCCTGGCGACATCATCTTCTACAACAACAACATTCTGCACAGAGGCGTCTACAGTAGCGAAGCCGAGAGAATGACTTTGCATGGATCCATGGGTATTGTTGGCGCTGACCCCGCCAGGGCTAGGAACGTGCTGCAGCACGGAGTCGGTGCTTGGGTTGATCGTTGTGACTTTGGCAAGTTACAAGACCATGCCGATGATCAACAGATCTCTACGTTGGCACAAGACATGCGGGACAGGCTGGTTGCGATGGGCTCAGGCCAGGTTCTGAGCTTCTCCCAGCCGTTCGACGAGTGAGGGGTTGACACGAACTCGAGGACCTTCACCCAACGGTCAAACCTTTCTGGAAGGTGGCTTGCGAACTACAGACGCCAAGTTGGACTGAGTTCCACTTTGTACGAAAACCAGATATAAGATTTTGTACATGTCGCGTGCCGTGTCCGGTTTCGGTGAGACCGAAGCCATTTGCAAGGAGCCAAGGATGATCGCGTAAATTGAGGGAGAAGAGAAGAGGGAGTCTTTTCCCCACATGACGTGCATCATGATCCCCGCAATAAATTGGCAATGCACGATGGAGCATTTGCATGCATCTTTATGATATAAAAACGCCATGTCCCGAAACATTTGAGCCGGTCCCATATTCTTTCTTGCAAGATGACCGGTATGCGAGCTTTGCTGCCTAGTCTGCTGGCGATCCTACCCTACTGTTCAGCCCAGTATGCCGACTTCTCCATCCCTTCGACATACACCAACTGGGACAATGAGGGCTGGGAATTGAGCACAGATCGCCTGATTCAGGGTCAATATCAGTCTCGTGCGCCAATGGGTAATGGGTATGTCGAACATCTATTGAACAATTGTTCGCGTGAATCACCTCAGAGTGGATTTTTCTGACCAGTATGTAGGTACATAGGCTGTGCCCTCGCAGCTGCAGGCCCCTTCTTCGAGGCAGATGTCAACTTGACCGACCCTCACGGCGGTAACCTACCGATTAACGGATGGCCTTTAGACAACCCTAGACAAACCTTCTGTACTGTTTCAGGCTTCTTCAACTCTCAGAAGAACACCACTAGAACCAATTTCCCTGAACTGCTTTTGAAAGGTGGAGAAAGTGTGATTGCTGGTATTCCCAACTGGCCAAATCTCATCCTTCAGGTCGAAGGTGCCACTTTGAATGCATCTGTGAACAACGCTACGATTTCCGACTTCAAATCCACGAGATCGCTAAAGAATGGTCTCCAGACATGGAGCTACACCTGGACTCCGAGCCCAAACACCAGTTTGTCTGTCTCTTATGAGATGTTCATGGATCGCTCTCAGCCGAACGTAGCTGCAGTCAGACTCTCGGTGAACTCCTCCTCTTCGATCAATGCTACCATCACAGATTTGATTGATGGAAGAGGTGCCGTTCGTTCTGATCCTCATTCCACAGGTATGTTGGACAACTCTAGTACAATATACTCTGCGGTATCGCCACACTGGTTGGGGAACATCACTGCTTGGATTTTCTCGACGGTGGAAGGACCAGATGTGAGTGTTGCATCTCGTGCAAACGCCTCATCCAGCTTCTACCTCCCATCAAACGACAGCACCATTGGACAATCCTGGAATGTTGCATTGAATGCTGGTTCAACCTTCACCATCTCGAAGTACGTCGGAATTGCATCTTCTGATGGGTTCAGTGATCCACAGTCTGTTGCTCAAGATGCATCTCTGCAGGCTTCCAAGACTGGCTTCGATGAGTTATTTAAAGGTAGCTCGCAAGCCTGGGCCGAGATTTTGACAGACGACATGGTTGACGATTACACTCTCCCCGATGGTTCTCTCCCACAAGATCAGAACGTGATCGACATGCAGATTATCTCGAAGGCCAACGCTCACTACTTACTCCAAAATCTTCTGCCTGAAGATGGAAGTGATTTGAACCACTGGTCCATCAGCGTGGGTGGGCTCGGATCAGACTCCTATGCTGGATTGGTCTTCTGGGATGCAGACATTTTCATGTCGCCAGGAGTGTCTGTCTCGCATCCTAAATATGCAGCTCAAATTCCCAAATACCGCGTCATGTTGTCACCACAAGCAGCAATCAACGCTCGCGAGAACGACTTCTCCACCGAGGCTATAATATATCCTTGGACAAGTGGTCGTTATGGTAATTGCACTGGCACCGGGCCTTGTGTTGATTACCAATACCACATAAACAGTGACATCTTCCTCAACAATCTGCTATATTGGAGAGTCACTGGAGATGACAGCTGGTTTAAAGGTCAAGCTATTCCGGTCAACGACGCGATCGTACAGATGTTCTCCGAATTGGTTCATTACAATCAGACTGTTAACGGATACTCAATTTCCAATCTTACCGATCCAGATGGTCAGTACAATTCATTACGTGTGCTTGATGATAAGCTAATATCACACAGAGTACGCAAACCAGGTTCCCGATGGTGCTTTCACGCTTGCATCTGTTGCCAAGATCATTGAGTGGACTCAAGGATACTCCGAAGAGTTCTCAGTGGATGTCGAAGCCAACTGGTCATCGATCGCAGCGAACGTTGCCCTGCCGTTTGCGCCGTCTGGAATCTTGACGGAATTCCGTGGCGCGAACAACACTGCAGTAATAAAGCAAGATGATGTTGATTTGATCAATTATCCCCTGGATTACAGCTCTGCAAACTATACCAGGGAGGACAAGCTCACTTCATTGGACTATGTGAGCACACATTTAGATATGCCCTCCAAGTACATACTGATGAAAATTAGTACGCCGTCAAGCAATCTCCAGATGGACCTGCAATGACTTACAGTCTCTACTCAATTTCCGCCAATGCACTGTCTCCGTCTGGTTGTTCATCCTTTACATACGCGCTGAACGGATTCAAAGCTTATACCCGCGCGCCTTGGTATCAGTTCTCGGAACAGCAGGTCGACAACTTCACGCTCAATGGCGGTACGAACCCAGCATTCCCTTTCATGACAGGAGCTGGTGGCTGGCATCAGGTCGGTCCAATGGGATGGCTCGGTGCTCGAGTGGTGGAAGATCAACTTATCCTCCAACCAGCTCTACCTCCTCAGATCCCCTACGTCAGCCTCCGCACAGTCATCTTCGGCGGAGCAGGAATCAAGGCTACCATGAACTACACTCATACCAATCTTACCCGCATGGACGTGTCCACCTATCTGCCAGCAAACAGTAGCGACATCTATGCTAATCAATCAATGCCAATCACCATTGGTTTCTCCATCGAGGAAGGCCGTAACATCAGCATAGCAGTTGGACAGACGATAACGATCGAGAATCGTGTATACTTCGACAACATTACCACGGCAGGAAACATCGTCCAATGCTTACCGGTCACTTCTGAAGCAGATTATCAACCGGGTCAATTCCCTCTTGCAGCTGTTGACGGAGCGGCTAGTACTCGCTGGCAACCAAAGACCCGTCAGCCTGCATCTCTGACAGTCGATATGCAGAACGTAGACTACCAGCCATTGACGGGCGTCTCGTTTGATTGGGGTAGCCGTCCACCGACAGCAGCTCGTGTCCTTGTTTACAACTCTACAAGCGGATCGAATGACAGTTCTACTAACATCCGAACTGCAGCCTTCTCTGACATTTCCATCTCGATGCCGTATAATGCTGCTACCAATGACGTCGTCCAGGAGTATACAGGTAATATGTCTTATTTCAGGTTCTCGAGCCCCATTTGGTCAGGCCAATATGTCACACTCGAGATTAGCGGCTGTCAAGCAACGGGCGACGAGTTGGGCGCAACAGTGGCCGAGTTCAATCTGTTTGGCGCTGATGGTGCAAGCGTGGTCGGAAGTGGTGCTGGTGTCAATGGAACATCAACCAATGCGACCACGAGCATTGTAACGCCGAGTACAACGCGAGGATCAGTAAGCTCTCTGGCAACTGCATCGATTACGGCAACGCGGACACCAAGCTCCCCGTCTCTTCTTGCATCGAACATGGGCTTCAAATCTGTCAGTACGTCGAGGCTCTGGTGGGTGTTCACCAGTGTCGTGATAGTGGTGGCCTTGCTGTAATCTTACGGAAGTTGGGGCATGTGAGAGGATGCTTAGATACCAAGACGATGTCACGATGACTAGATGGCTAGCGCGAAAGAAGAAAGCAACATGAAAATGAGCATTCGCTATAGCAAAACATCGCAGTATTTCACGCAAGCTTGTTCAATCAAAAGTTGATAAGACGAATGTGCGTGGATAACATGCACCAAGCACTGAGAGACAGATAGAAGTGCTTGGAAGAAGTTAGATTTGGTGAGGGTCCAGCCCCACGGCAGCATCCGACCGAGGGGACCGTGGACGTGTTCATAACTCCAGCTCTTTCCCCGTCAATCACACAATCCTTGCCTGTTCACCAAATCGCAAACCACAGCAAGAAATCGTCAAGATGGCTCTCAACCCTCAAGTGACCAACCTGGTCATCATCTTGTACGCACGCGACACATCTGGAGATGGGCTGGACGCGAAAACTGACTCGGCGGCAGGTTCATGATGCAGGTTTCCAAGAAGGTGCCTTTTGAGGAGCCCAACGTCCTGATGGGAGTCCGCGCACTCTACATTGTGTCCAACCTTGTCATTGCCGGCATCTACCTCTACGTGCAGGCGCAGATCAACAAGAAGAAGGGTCGGTGGCATTGGAGAAGCGCGGTCGCGAAAAGAATCAAGCTAACCGAACCGACAGATCTCACCGTCATCAAGTACGTTGAGCCCGCACCTATGGGATCGACCGAGGAGCCCAAGCCCGTCACCACTACCATTCACGCATACGACACTCAGCAACTGCGCAGCTTGTTCAAGGCCCAGCTTATGGGTGTTGGCATGATGGCCGTCATGCACCTCTACTTCAAGTACACCAACCCTCTTCTCATCCAGTCCATCATTCCCCTCAAGGGCGCTTTCGAGGGCAACCTGGTCAAGGTGCACCTCTTCGGACAGCCAGCTGTCGGCGAGCTCAAGAGACCCTGGAAGGCCTCTGGCGGTTTGATGGGCATGCAGGGCGCTGGCGACATCAAGACCGACAAGAAGAGTATCGAGGCTGCCGAGAAGGCTGGCCGTGGTGGTGCCAAGGAGGAGTAGAGAGACAAGCACGAGCGCGAGCACGGCATATAATTATGCGCGTGCATGTACGTCTAGGTAGAAAAGTGGATGCGTTGTTTTGTCATAGTACAGCGCAGACCACAAGCATTTTTTGAAATGACCAAAAATACATGATTCAAAGCGATGCTTGATGTTTTGATATCTATGTAATGGAACCAGATTAGCAGGTGAAAGGGGGGTTGATTAATTATTGTTGCGGAGAGCTTGTGAGTTTAGCCGATGTATGTGCTTTGTGGACGTGCGCGGTCGGAGCGGTGCTTTGGGAGCATGTGTTAAGTTAGCACAGTCGAGCCGTACATGACATTGCACAACCGACGACGACGACTGCCCGATTCGAATTGATACCGGCAAGCGCCAGGCAGCACCAGCAACTCGCCAATGCTCCAGACGTCCTAAAGCGCAGCAATCCCGACAGAGCAGGAGAGAGCGACGACGAGAGATCGCGCTCGAGGCAGAGGCAGCACGAGACCGGCTGCCATGGCATACCAACAAACGGGCGGCATGCTCAACAACGCTGCGAATGCCGCCCAAGCGAACGACCACCATGGACCTCAGGGTGCCGAGTACACGTTGCAGGGTATGTCTGACCTTCACGCCGACCTGCCCTGCCATGGCTGACGCTAGCAACCCAGGCGTCATGCGCTTTCTCCAGATCGAATGGCACAATCACGAGCGAGCCCGGAATGCTTGGGACATTGAACGCGCTGAGATGAAGGCCAAGATTGCAAAGCACGAGGGCGAGTGTCGCCATGCAAAGAGAATCAACGAGCAGCTCGAACGACAAGTGCGCATGCTCGAGAACGCCCTCAAGCAGGAACGGAGGAAGAAGGGCAGCGACCCCAATGCGCCTCTACAACCAGACAGTGCTGCCTCGCACTCTGCTAGACGTCAGTCTGTCCCGAGTCCACTTGCACAAGGCCGACCAGCTGATCTGTCATGTCTAGCATCCCACGACGTCCACAACTCGTTCCTCGACACAACCCCTGACAAGCAACAATACAGAGACAAATCCAAAAAGTTCCTGGACCGATGCCTCCAAGAAGTTCAGTATCTGCTTACTCCCCCACCACACCCTCCGCCGCCTCAATTGTCCCTTCAGAATCCTTCAGCTGCCTATACTGGCCTACCTGATCCGCCAGTCTCTCTCGATGAGCTCTACCTGCGTCGCGCTGGAAGATCGTACCCTCCTTCTACTCATGTACAGCTGCAGCCCCCGGTCAGTCTTTCCGCCGAGGATCAAAAGCGTCACCTCGCTTTGTCTATGCCTCCTGCACAACCTCCTACCCATAATCTACCTCAGCCTCCACAATCTCAATCTGTACCGCTGGACGAGCCTGTAGAGCAGGTCACGCATTCATACGACTCCTACGGTCGCCCAGTTGCCTCAACACCAGATGCCGCTCCTCGCTCCATTGTCACCCAGGACTCGTCGGCCGATGGCTGGAACTTCGATGACCAACAACCTCTACCCGAACAACCTCCTGCTGATCTACCCCAACCTCCTCGAAGACCTGACACCGATCTGTTTCCCAGCGCAGCAAACCCTCCTTCGAGATCTCCTCCCCGTACCGGTTCAGGCCGTCGCAGATCCTCTGGCTCACAAGGCATGACTAGGAGAAGAAGCTCGGGCTCTCACGAACTTCATGACAGTGGCTCGGAGCTTTCCGCAAAGACGGATCCTTCTCAGTTCAAGGTCAAGTTTGCCCTTCGTGGTCATCTTGATGTTGTCCGCTCAGTAATCTTTACGGGCGGCGGTAGCCCTTCTGAACCCGAGATCTGCACGGCTGGTGACGATGGAACTATAAAACGCTGGATCATACCTGCTAGCTACAGCAACTTCCAAAACCCTGCGAACAACGATCTTGATATTGCTTGTTACTTCACTCACCGTGGCCACGAAGGTGTCGTTACTTCTCTCGCCGCGTGTCCTTCAACCAGCTTCTCCACCGGTGGGCGTGTATCAGGAGACGGGTGGATCTTTTCGGGTGGTCAAGACGCAACTGTACGTGTCTGGGAACGTGGTCGAGTTGATCCGAAGGCCACTTTGGAAGGCCACACAGACGCTGTCTGGACTGTGTGCCTTCTACCTGGCACCGTTGCATCAGTTTTCGGCTCACAAAGCTCGAACTATGGTGGCCCTGACCGTATCTTGCTCGCCACAGGTTCGGCAGACGGCACTGTCAAGATTTGGTCTGTTAGTGCGCCTCCACAGCTGGTTTCTCCACAAGCTGGTTCGCGACGTGGTGGTAGCCGTCGTCATTCCGTCACGTCTGGCAGCAACCATCCCAGTTCCCCTCAACCGAACGTGGCTACAAGTACACCCTTCCACTACACGCTTGTACACAGCATTCAGCGCGAATCTGCTTCTGGCGCTACTCCTACTTGCATTTCTCCTCTCAGCCCTTCAGGCGAAAACTTTGTCGTCTCATACACCGACTCAAGCGTTCTTATCTTCGATACACGGACCGGTGAGGAAATTATCGGGATGGCTAGCAATGAGACGTACGACGGAACTCTGGCTACAAGCATCAATGCCGTAGTTGCCACTAGCAGTGCATCACTTGGTCTAGAAGCGGGCTCCTCATACATGGACAGAGCAGATCAAGAAGAGTCAGTGGGTGCTGGACCGACAGGTTCGGCGCAAGGTGTTGAGGGCGTGATTGTCAGTGGCCATGAAGACCGCTACATCAGGTTCTTTGATGCAAACAGCGGTATGTTTCGTTTCCGACAAAGCTTGAAACCAATTTACTAATTCTGATTAGGACAATGCACGTATACAATGCTCGCACACCCTTCGGCCATTTCATCATTATCATTGTCCAAGGACGGTAGAGAGGCAGTTTCAGCAGGTCATGACGCATCGATCAGATTCTGGTCGCTTGAGAAGAGACAGTGCACGCAGGACATCACGTCGCACCGACCCATGAGGGGTGAAGGCGTGTGCAGCGTGGTGTGGAGTCAAGATGGAAGATACGTCGTCAGCGCAGGAGGCGACGGTGTAGTAAAGGTGTTTGCGCGATAGCGTCACCGCAAATCTACCTTGAGAGCACTGGACTTGATCTAGTACTTGAAGGCAGAGCACGTCTCGAGACCAAGAGGGAGGCCAAGAGGGAGGCCAAGGTCGAGGTCGAGGTCTTGCTAGACAGCATCATTGCCATTGTACATTAATGGGGCCACCAGAACCCTTTTTCCAACTTCATGTGTTGCAGCAAACGTGAGGAATGTAAAGTCATGTTCGGTCTCATTCGCTATCTGTAGTGGAGGAATATGAACCTATCTGATTGTTTGAGCGAAAAAGCAAGGCCATCAGGCAGATGAGCTAAAAGCGTGCTTGGTGCTTGGAGTGAGTGGTACAGCATCATAATGTCGTGTTCGCGTAACCTGCATTTTGTTCACAAAGACATGGCAGTTAGAAAAGGTGAGAATCAAGGACGAGCAAGATGCAGATCACGCCTCGCCAAACAGCCTTGCGGTAATGTCGCCCATGTACTCTTCCTCTAGTTCGTAGTCCTCGCCGTCGTTCTTGTCAATACCAGTGAACTCAAAGGCAGCGACTACAGTTGGAACGTCGAAACCCATGGCAGAGAAGCGATCGACCAGAGATTTGTTGTATCCGTGATACCTGTAGCACGTGGTTAGCAAAATGTGTTGCTGCAAAAAGTTTGTGCACGGAAGCTTACTGGGCGAGTTTTGCAGCTTCTGCCCTCTCCCGTTTCTGGTCGTCCTTGTGCTTGAGTGTCTCTTCGGTGACACCTCCACTTCCCTCTGCACCGGTGCTGTCTGAGCCAGGGGGACCCTGGGGAGCACCAGCGTACTTGATTGCCCACTCACGAGCGACGTGTTCAAACTCTTTGGGATTTGTGATGAGCATGCGAGCAACTTCGGCGTCTTGAGGATCCTTGGGTTCGGGAGAGGATAGTAGCGACTGAAGCGATATGAGGGCGGATTTGAGGGTGAGGACAGGAGACCAGGCTGAACCTAGAGTATCTAGGCAAATAGCACCCTGGGGACAGGATTAGCAGGGAAGAAATTAGGAGGTTATAGTGGTTGGGCGTACTGTAACACTTGAAATGTTTGGGTGCCAGATCTTTGTAGTGAACTTCATGACGGGCGGCTGAAAAGGATAATCGTTTGGGATTTTGATGTCAACGTTGTAGGTGGCACCGTGGTAGGGAGTGTCGGGCGGGCCACGGAAGACGCCCTTGAAGTGTGTTAAATCATCGAGAGTGTCGGAGCCGGTTTGGGCCTTGTTCAGCGGCTCGAGCGAGACACCGGAGAGCGAGTCCTTTTGAACGTCCTGAATCTCCTTGACCAGGCGGCGGTTTCTGTTCGCCGCCATAGTTGTGAATGTTGCCGGATAGTGGCACAGCGAGCGGGTGGTTGGATCAGAGGCGGAGGTGTATAAGTCGAGTCCGGAGCCGAGTGAAGGACGGATTCGAGCTTGTATATAGAAAGAGGATGGGTCGAGGAAGTGAGGCCAGAAGTCGCGGGAAGGGTAGCTATGCAGATGTGATTCGAGTGGATGTCTCTTGGATCAAGGAAAATCAAGAAGGTCGAAGCAAACGTGACTTGGTTGTTCAGGTGGACAGCAGGCACAGGCACAGGCACAGGCACAGGCACAGGCACATGTCAAGGCGGCCGGAGAGTTGCAACAGTGAGCTTTGACCAGCGGCGTGCATCATCGCCAACACAATCGACGGGGCCTCAGTCTGCAGCTGCCACGACCCTTCACCATCACTTCGCCATCCATCCAAACTCGCCCTTCAACTCATCAAAGCTGTGATAGCCCCCGCTCTTCATCTGGCCTCTGGTTATCCGACACGAAACACAACCTCACCCGTCCATCTCTAGCCACTGTAATCAACTGCCGCGTCAATCATGGTCCGCCTCCGTCTCGTCGCCTGTCTACACTTTCCATCGTGCTGACCATCACCTAGGGTGCGAACCAGTCTGGCCTTGGAGGCGGTCCTCCTGGTCAGGGAGGCGACAACAAGGACAAGAAGGATCCCAAGGTACCTTTGCCTCCATCCACCTACCCATAAACCATACTTACATTCTCCTCCAGAAGGATAAGCCCAAGTACGAGCCTCCGCCACAGCCTACTACCCGCATCGGCCGCAAGAAGAGAAAGCAGGCCGGCCCTAACGCTGCTGCAAAACTCCCTAATGTCTATCCTACCGCTCGCTGCAAGCTCCGATACCTGCGCATGCAGCGCATCCACGACCATCTGTTACTAGAGGAGGAATACGTTGAAAACCAGGAGAGACTGCGCAAAGCCAGAGCTGCTACCACTCAACAGCCATCCGCCACTGCTGATAGCGATGCTCTGGACCGCAACGCCGACGAGAGAAGCCGTGTTGACGACATGAGAGGCAGCCCTATGGGTGTCGGCAACCTTGAGGAGCTTATCGACGACGACCACGCCATTGTTTCGTCTGCTACTGGCCCCGAATATTATGTCAGCATCATGTCCTTTGTCGACAAGGACCTGCTTGAACCTGGCGCCAGCGTTCTTCTGCATCACAAATCCGTCTCGGTCGTTGGTGTCTTGACAGATGACGCCGACCCTCTCGTCTCTGTCATGAAGCTCGACAAGGCCCCTACCGAATCATATGCCGACATCGGTGGCTTGGAACAGCAAATTCAAGAAGTCCGTGAAGCTGTCGAGTTGCCCTTACTCCATCCCGAGCTGTATGAGGAGATGGGTATCAAGCCGCCAAAGGGTGTCATCCTTTACGGTGCTCCCGGAACTGGAAAGACCCTACTTGCCAAGGCCGTCGCAAACCAAACCAGCGCTACCTTCCTGCGCATCGTCGGTAGTGAACTGATTCAGAAGTACTTGGGTGACGGTCCCAGACTCGTGAGACAGCTCTTCCAAGTCGCCGCCGAGCATGCCCCCAGTATTGTCTTCATCGATGAAATTGATGCTGTCGGTACGAAACGTTACGACTCCACTTCCGGTGGTGAGCGTGAAATTCAACGTACTATGCTTGAGCTTCTGAACCAGCTCGATGGTTTTGATGATCGTGGTGATGTCAAGGTCATCATGGCCACCAACAAGATTGACACATTGGATCCTGCACTTATCAGACCTGGCCGTATCGACCGCAAGATTCTCTTCGAGAACCCAGACCGTGAGTTCTCCGAAACCTGCATATCCGCTTCCAGCTAACATCCTTTGCAGAAAACACCAAGCGCAAGATCTTCACCCTCCACACCTCTAAAATGTCCTTGGCCGATGATGTTGACTTAGAAGAGTTCATCAACCAGAAGGATGACCTTTCAGGTGCTGACATTCGTGCCATGTGCAGTGAAGCTGGTCTCATGGCATTGAGAGAGCGCAGAATGAGAGTGAACATGGCCGACTTCAGACAGGCCAGAGAGAGCGTGCTCAAGACCAAGAGCGAGGGCGAGCCTGAGGGTCTTTATTTGTAGTTTTGGTCATTAGAATGCTGGACCACGTGCATGACCAATCGTTGTAATACTATAGCATACAATGGGAGCCCAAACACATGATGATATGAAAGCTGTCTGTGCATGGTTTTTGTGTATTTTGTGTCTTTTATTTTGGTCTGTAGGAGAGATCATCGCGGAGCGGCTTGAAGCTTCCAACGAGAACTTTCAAAAGCCGACCTCGGCGTGTTCACTTTCAATCATAGTTATACCTACAAACCTACTTCGACCGGAATCATTACCCTCTAGACACCTGGAGATTGCTGAAATTGCTCTGTTGAACTTGACGATAATTATCGGATCGTAAAAGTACATACGTGCAGAGATGCAATCACACGAGCAGATTGCCTACCTAGGCCCAAAAGCTTCATATACACATCAGGTAAGATATAGCACTTTTAACTGCTTCCTATCGCTGCAAACATAAATTTTCAACTTTGAAAGTGTAGACGACCTTGCATCAAGGTTATTCTCACGCTGGAGGAAGACGAAGTGTTTGATATTCGAATATGAAGAGTCACAATTACTTCTAGATACATGAGGCTCATTATTGGAACAGGCAACATTAAGCGCTTTTGATTCAGACAACTATACCTTCTCACCACAGACAACGATTGAAGATGTTTTTAGCCAGGTGCAATCTGGGAAGGCTGCATTTGGCGTCGTCCCATTTGAGAATTCGACCAACGGATCTGTGGTTTTCACATTGGACCTCTTTGCCGACCAGAGCGCAAAGCACCCTGATATCGTAGTTTGCGGTGAGCGCTATGTCGACGTACATCATTGTTTGCTTGGGCATCCCGCACCTTCTGGTCAAGGACATACATCCGCCCCAACGAAGGCACTCCAGGAAGGAACCAAGAGCCCAAGCAGTTCTGGTCATGCTACACCTATTCCTGGCAACCCCAATCCCAGCAACTCGCGTGCGGCTCCATTGACTTCTCTCTCACATATCAAGAAGTTGTATTCGCATCCGCAAGCTTGGGGTCAATGCAAGACCTTTTTGTCCTGCTATCTCAAGGGTGTGGAGCGACAAGACGTCTCGTCCACTTCCCGAGCAGCAGAACTTGTAGCAGCTGATAAGACAAACACATCAGCAGCTATCAGCAGCGGAATTGCAGCTCAAATGACTGGCTTGGATTTCCTGGCACGCGACATTGAGGACGAAAAGGATAATGCTACGCGTTTCTTCATTATTCGCAGAAGAAGTCTTGAGGACACGTCTCCCGCTTCCGACAAGGAGGACGGTCAATTGACCTCCCAGGCGTACAAATCGTTGCTCTCTTTCACTGTTTCTCACACCGATGCAGGAGCATTGGCCGACGCCCTGGCTGTCTTCAAGGCTCACGGCATCAATTTGACTAGCATCAACCCTCGCCCAAGCGGAGAGGCCCCCTGGCATTACATGTTCTTCGTCGAGTTCTCGGGCAGACGAGGCCAAGCTGCTGTCGACGATACACTTACAGGTCTGGACAAGGTAGTCAGATCTTGGAGATGGCTAGGCAGTTGGGAGAATGCTTTACAACAGAAACGATGAGGATTTTCGAAAGAAATTAAGGGTATAGAAACACAACAAAAAATACTTCAGAATCATGCAACTAGTGCTACATCCACTCCATGGTTTGCAGGCCACCATGCCTGTCTCATGCTGGCGCCGAGAGATAAAAAGTGAGAATGAGAAGTCCGGCAAGACCGGTCTTGCCGTCCGGTTGAACCTTGCAACATCTCTATGAGATGCAGAAAGGCGCGAAACCATGGGAGTGAGCGAGGGAGGAGATAGAGAGAAGAAGCCAGAACAAACAGCGAAAAAAAAAAAATGAAACCCATGAAAGCCAGTCATCAAATCCAAAGCCCCAAAAGCAGACAATGCGACACACGATTCGAACGCGTTCTGTCGCTAGCAAGCCATGTTCGACATCTATGCGATATCCTTCTTTCCCTTCTTCTGTTCGACCTTGAGCAGTAGAGCGCGGTTGATGGATGGAAGAACACCACCAAAGGCGATGGTGGCGCGGATGAGGGTGTCGAGCTCCTCGTCACCACGGATGGCAAGCTGAAGGTGGCGGGGAGTGATGCGCTTGACCTTGAGGTCCTTTGCGGCGTTGCCAGCAAGCTCGAGGACTTCGGCGGTCAAGTATTCGAGGACTGCGGTGACGTAGACGGCCGCCTTTGCGGCGACGCGCATCTTGTTCTGCGAGTGCGACTTGAGGAAACGCTTGACACGACCGCAGGGGAACTGTTGAATGACAAGATGTCAGAGTCGGATTGACGCGTCATGAGTTGCGGCTAGTATTGAGAAGAGACATACCTGCAGGCCGGCCTTTGCCGAGTGCGACTTTTGTGTCTTGCTGGAATCACCTGCCTTACCACCGGTCTTTCCGCCAGTCTTTCCTGTGGGTAGAAAGCTCTCGTCAGCAAAAGAACGGACTTTGGTCGAGAGACGCGATAGATGATGTTCTCATACCCTTTCCACCAGGCATGTTTGCTTTTTTGTGCTTTCGCGTGTATAGCTGGGTTGTTCGAGAGGATGCGACCGATTTTACGCGTGTCTTGGCGTGTTATTCGATGGTTGTGTTGGAGTTGGCAAAAGTTGGGTCGTGGAATAGAAAGGCAAACGCGTCGAAGCTGAGAGGTGGGGGCTGCTCTGCTTCTTGGGATGATTCCATCAGCTTCAGGGTTTTGTTGGCAACCGAAAGCCAACGGTCCGTGATACGATCCCAGTCCTTGGCGCTGTGCTTGGGGCGCAGAGGTATGCTCGATAGCAATGAAGAATGCAGGAGTCCAGAGCCTGCCATTGGTTGCCACATATCCGTATATCCGAGTGTCCAGTATCTGTGTCAGTCTTCGAATTGGTTGCCACGAGTCGAATGACATGGCCTGTGGCTGTTTGTAGCCATACTGAGGCATTGTCCCGTTCTCGTACCATGTGAAGTATTAGTGCACATCAAGTTGAAACCACCTACCTGTTCATATCAGTGCTTCTAGTGTTGCCCATAGGCACCTTGATCCCTTGTCAGTCTTGTTAGCCGGGTACTGAGCGTGCCTTTGTTAGCCATTTGTCAAGGGTCTCCAGCACCAGGTAGTTGTGGGTAGTGTCCAAACAAGACTCGCTCCTTAATATCAGTTCAAGGAAACCCTGCCAGATCACTGGCTAGAGTATCGCTGTTGGCTTTCTTCGGTCTTCTATGCCTTGTACCTGACACCAAGTTGTTTGTGTTGCACTTCTTCTGGCGCTCGAACGCGATTGCTGTTCAGAGGCGGATTCGTAAAACTGCCGAAATCTACCCGGCTACGCTGTCTTGATTGTCCTCGATCAATGCCTTGATGATACTGCCTGCCAATGACATACACCTAGCTATCAATAAACAGCCCTGACAGACTCGGTTGCGACATCTACATGTGTAGGTGAAGCACAGTTCCAATCTACCTCCCAGAATCTACGCAAGTCCTCAAGGGCAGCTCGTGACGCACATCTGTGTGTCCTTTGGCTTGACAAATAATGTTGCATGTTTTTATCAACAACGAGCATTGTAAGCAGCCTCACTGATACTGAGTGGATAGTACAGATAACGTCAATCTGTTGCAAGCAGTTATCAAGAGTTTGTACTCAATAGGATCGTGTCAAGACAATCAGGCGACCTTGGGCAGGGTCACCCAGTCAGTGAGATAAACTGATATATCAAGCACACCACAAACAATTGCAGCGACATGATCCAGTCTTTCGTGTCGATTCTTGTGCTTATATAACACGAATCATAGGTGGGAACATAAACGGTAGGCTCGTTCAAATACCTGCTCACCACTTGAAATCACGCATACTATTGTCTATAAATTCCGCTCGCATAACCATGTCCAAAGACCACTATTGCAAGTTTTGCTCCGAGAGCGATGGCAGAGACATGTTTTGAGTTGACCAAAACGTGTCGGTATACAACATCCAATCATCGAAGTTCCAGTCAAGCATATCGGGATAGCTGAAGTCTGTGAGCAAGTCGTTGTTGGTGGTGGCCGTCTGCTGAATACTGTTGATCTCCGAAGGCGCATTTGTCTTACCCTCGAGACGCTTCTTAATCTTCGTGGGAGTTGGTATAGAGTCCTTGAGAGGAGCCACCTTTTCAGAAAAGTCTGCGTCTTGGTGGGCCATGATCTTCTTGCAAATGCTGAAAAGCCTGTCACTGCCAGGTCGGGAAAGTATGTTGCGACCGATTGGGCTAATTTTGCACAGAAGCATGTCGTAAACAACGAATGTATGAGTCCACTGAATGCCGCCCGTGCTCAAGATCTTTTCCTCAAACAGATCAAGCGCCTTTTCTGCAAGCTCAAGGAAGGGTTGTACCAAGCTGCGAAGGTCTTGCGACGATACATCCTTATCGTCAGTGTTACCAAGCGCTAAAGTACTGGTGAACACTCTTTGGATGTCAGATCGCACCATTAGTAGGAACTTGAAGCCTTTGTTCGACAGCTCAGAAAGCTTGTCCACAATGGAAACAGCGGCAGATTTGAACGCCTGTTTGGAGAAATTGGTATGCGTCTTTGCTACAGCCTGGCGAGCTGCTTGAGCATGTAAGATGACGAGAAACTGTTCCAGTTGGATATGAAGGAGCGCGATGCTTTGGTCATGTGCTGTCAGATCCATGAGTCTGCCCCCAGTCCAGTCTGGTAAGGACGCTAGGTTCAGCTCGAGTTCTTGCGTGAGTGCCAATACCTCTTCGTACGACACCTGATGCAAAGGTTGGTTGAACATGGTGATGATTTTCCTTCTCAAACCTCGACTCCGCCAAGACAGACACATATAAGTCATCTTCGTCATCTCTGTAAGAGGTCTGGATGTCCGCATCACAACGGTCGATTCATCAAAATCTGTATCGTGCAAATTCGAGGAAAGGCCAATATCGCTAGCAACGTCCAACGAAGTTGCTGGCATGCCCCTGTCAATGGACGTTTGCAAGTCCCATTCGACAATGAAGGCCCATATCCTTCTTCTCATCTCATGTTCAAAGACTGAAGATAGTGCTTTTTTCTGCAGCAATTCTGGATCCCTGTGCATGCCGGCAGACACGGCGATTCGAAGTAGGTTTCCCGACTCAACCCACCGTCTCTTCATCTTGACTTGATGCGTCTGCTTGGCAATCAAAAGGAGACACTGAACTTGAAACCACGCCAGATTGGTATGCTTCGGACTTGATTTGGTCAACCAAGATTCGCATACGTGAATCAAAGTGATAGCTGTTTCGCGAGGAACCGGACTGTCGGCCATATAAGTCTGCGGTTGTGCTTGACTAAGGCACTGACAACATGCCATCATCAAAAGTACAGTAGCCACAAAACCGGGGGTTGCATTTAGCGGATCCTGCCACATTCTCTCATACTCTCGATGGAAAGTAGGATAGTGTAGTATTGGATAGGTACAGTCAATCTTTTCGAAGTACATCCTGACCAGCAGATCGACTTTGGCTCGTTCGGGAAGGTAGGCGATCAGAGATCTATGCGGTGAGAGCGCTTCTTGTTTGTCCAATGTCTTTTTGACAGCTCGAAGCTTTATAACATCTCTTCTACAACGCACAAGTTCCGGATTTCGTGAAACTTCTTCGAGAAAGAAGTTGTGGGCATTCTGTAGCAACCATCTAGTCAGTGCTGTATTTGAATAGTCTGAAGCACCAAATATAAACACACACGCCGTTCTTGTTACAGCATGAAGACGGGTACAAGTGTTGAGCGGCAATAAACAAGATATCGCAATAAGAGGGAGATTTAAAAGTGGCTTACAAGTGTCATCGTACTCCTGGCATCAGACGGACCAAAGAATGTGGTCTTGAATCCTTTGCCGCGGAACAATATCCTTTCCTTTGCAGCCGAATCGCTGAACCCGCCAGGAGTTTCGACAGTTCCATGGACTTGGGGCGTCGCAATTGACACTGTAGCAGGAGTTGTAGGGCTTGTATGAGCAGTCTGCAATCTCTCGATTATACGCTCTTGATGTAGGAGTCTGTTAAGCATATCGTCCCAGACATCTTTACTCACAGTCACAGACTGTTGTCGCGGTACATAGGATGTACTTTGCGTGCTAGAAGCGTGCTGAGGGGGGCTGTCGTCTTCATATGAGCATGGCTTGCCAGCCTTCTCACACCTTCCACAGACCGGAAGAGCTCTGTCGCATTGTACTTTCCTTCTCCGACAATCCATACAAGACAGAACCTTGCGACGGCGCTTCCTGTCAGGGCCCAACTCTCCATCAGGCGATCGCTCGTGCTCCATGACTTTTCTGTGCTGAAGAAGTGTGAGAGCACGAAGGAATCGCTGGGATTATGGGATAGATGACCATGGACGCATCAGTATCGCGATGGACCTAACCACTTTGAGAGGGGAACCTCTGCCTCCGTTTCGGCCGAAGCCTGTCGGCCGAGTGACTGTAAGCTCTCCGAACAAACCCAATGGGACCTCTAGATCCTCGCAACCCCGTCTCTCAACGTGGCTCAGTTCCAAGAGCTATGCGACGGCTACAATAGGTTTCTGAGAGAAGTGCCAGCACGTCTCTTGAATCAGAGAAGCCAAAGATCGCACTGAAGTGCCTATTTTGTGTGCAGTGCTTGGAGACGCCGGGAGTTTCGATTAGTCATTTTGATTGTCGATTCCCAAGGCCATAACCTTGATCGTTTCTACAGCGAATTACCACCTTCACACCATGATAAAATTGTATCTAACCTCAGTGACTTTCTTTGATCACTTTATAGTAATTAGCAGTTTGGCTATTGTACCTGAGGTAGTTCAACGCGATTTTCTGCTTATCTTGCTTTCTCTAGTGAATCTAGCCATCTGAACCCTGGAAAGTCGGCGCGCGGAGTTACACGCTATACTGCTTGTAGGAACTTCATCCATCTATCTTATCGAGGATTACTTATCGCATACTCATGGTGGGTAGCTAGACGTGGGGCAATGGTGAGCCGCACAACCCATCGGTGCTAGAGCTGCCACGATTGAGACGTATCCCATGCATATATAATAAAGCTATCTACCAGCTTCCGTAGTCACTTTTGTACACATCATACAATCTTTGCATTCTTTCACACAATGGTCTTGGAGAGAGTTAAGCAGATGGCAGCTCAATTGACTGGCCAGCTGCCACCTCCACACCCTTTTGATCCTCTTTCGAGCAGCGAAATCAAAGAAGCAGTCGAGATTGTTCGCAAGGAGCACAACGATGTCTTCTTCAACGCTGTCACTCTCTGGGAGCCTAGGAAGAAGGAAATGATGGCCTGGTTGGCATCTCCTGATACTGTACAGAGACCTCATCGTGTTGCAGACATTGTGGCAATTGGTAGGGGAAGCAAAGTCTTCGACGGTACCGTCGACCTCGAGGAGAAGAAGATATTGAGCTGGGAGCTCACCGAAGGCGTCCAGCCGTTGGTAGGTATAATGCACATATAGGCAGGACACTGGCATTGACTAAATCCAGATCACCATGGAAGATTTGAACACCGTGGAAAGTGTCGTCCGTACGGATCCCAAGGTCATTGAACAATGTGGCATTATTGGCATTCCTCCACAAGACATGCACAAAGTCTACTGCGATCCGTGGACAATTGGTTACGATGAACGGTTCGGAAGCAACGTCCGTCTTCAGCAAGCTCTGATGTACTACCGTCCTCATCCCGATGACAGCCAGTACACATATCCTCTAGATTTCTGCCCCATCTTCAATGCAGACACACAGGAAATCATACATATCGACATTCCCAAAGTTAGGAGACAGCTCAACCAAGCACCGCCTGCCAACTTCCATGGTGAAGCGATTGAGAAAGAGATTGGCCTCAGAACTGACATCAAGCCAATCGAGATTACGCAGCCCCAGGGCGTATCTTTCGAGCTGGATGGTCGCACCCTCAAATGGCAGAACTGGTCGGTTCACGTCGGATTCAACTACCGTGAAGGTATTGTCTTGAGCAACGTCAGCTTCAATGACAGAGGCAATGTCAGACCCATCTTCTACAGAATGTCGTTGGCTGAGATGGTTGGTTAGTATCTATCTGAGATAAAATTCATCGCGATATGGTGACTGACGATTTTCAACAGTCCCTTACGGTTGCCCCGAGCATCCGCACCAACGGAAACATGCCTTTGACCTTGGCGAGTACGGTGCTGGGTATATGACTAACAGCTTGACACTTGGTTGTGACTGCAAGGGAGCAATTCACTACATGGATGCCGAGTTCGTCAACAGAGCGGGCGATGCGCAGACCATCAAAAACGCCATCTGTATCCACGAAGAAGATGCAGGCATTCTGTTCAAGCACACTGACTTCCGTGACGAATCATGCACAGTGACTCGTGGCCGCAAGCTCATCATATCCCAGATCTTTACTGCAGCCAACTATGAGTACTGCGTGTATTGGATTCTCATGCAGGATGGTACCATCCAGCTCGAGATCAAGCTGACTGGTATCTTGAACACCTACGCGCTTAACCCTGGCGAGTCGGCTGCTCCATGGGGCACTGAAGTGTACCCTGGAGTCAATGCCCACAATCATCAGCATTTGTTCTGTCTGCGCCTAGATCCCAACATTGACGGACCAAGCAATACTGTATTCCAGGCCGATGCAGTACGGGGTGACGGTGAAGTTGGCAGCGCAGAGAACTACTACGGCAACGCCTTCTATGCAAAGAAGACACCTCTAAAGACCCCTGCCACAGCCATGAGTGACTACGATGGCAACACCAGCCGCACCTGGGATATGGCCAATACCAGCAAGATCAACCCTTATTCGAAGAAGCCAGTCTCGTACAAGCTTGTCAGCCGAGAAGTTCCGCCTCTGCTGCCCAAGGAGAACAGTCTTGTTTGGAAGAGAGCAGGATTCGCCAGACATGCTGTTCACGTCACCAAGTACTCTGATGAGCAGATCCACCCTGCTGGCCGTCACGTCCCTCAGACTTCTGGTGAGCCTTCACAAGGTATCCCTGCTTGGATTGCGGAGGAACCAGAGGCGAATTTGGAGCAAGAGGATGTGGTAAGCCAACTCCTTGACACAACAATGAAAGTTTCGCTAATCCATGACACTTAGGTCCTGTGGCATACCTTTGGCTTAACCCACTTCCCTGCTCCTGAAGACTATCCTATCATGCCTGCAGAGCCCATGACTGTGTTGCTTCGACCTCGTAACTTCTTCACCCAGAACCCTTGTATGGACGTGCCTCCCAGCTACTCAAGCACACCCACGCAGATGGCAGCTGGCAAGGGCGGCATCAAGGGCGTTGTCGACGGTATTAGTAGGTTGGCGTTTGCAGACAAAACGAAGGGTGGCAGTAACGATTGTTGTGGCAAGTGAACAGGTGACCAGCAGGTATATAGCACGTGGCTCTGGACTGTTGCAAAGAGGCAGGAACGACTAGGTATACAGTTTATCGTTCAATGTATTTTGTAAACCACTGTACATCTCAATCCTCAGTTGTGAGTCGTGTAAGTGAACACAATAGATCGTTTGAAATTGGTTTGTACAAGAACTACGTGTCGTGATGGGAGATATAGAAAACAATGAATATGAGAATTGAAAAAGAAGCTGGTGTTCAACAGAACCTTGCGGTTACAATTCGTGAGACATGTCATGCATTAAGAAAGTGACACCCAATGCCCCAAACCTTTGACCTCTTTGAATCTCTTAAACAAGCAAAATAGCAAAAGGCCTTCTCAATGTGGCCAATCCACCCCAGGTATCGCTGACGCCCAAACACCATGACAGCCGCTAAATATCAAGCTCGCCGACCGAAATACTATTTGGCGTATTGGAAGTTACCGAAAACACCACCTGCAGGAGTTAGCGAGCCGTGCTGAGAATAATGGGAAGGTCCTGGGGTACCGGATATGGCAGCGTGAGAAGTGGTTGGAGTACTCGGTGCTTGATGAGTTGTGGGAGTATGGCCTGTGTGGAAGTTGAGAGCACCGTTGGTTTGGGGAGTTTGGTGTCCCTGACTCTGGAGGAACTCGTCCCTAAAAGCAGCACTCGCCGGTGGACCGACACCGTGCAAGCCGTAGATTTGATCGGCCAACTCGAGTGGTGCGTGGCCATCAAAGATCTTGTTGCGCATGGCCCAAAAGACAGAACCAGTCAACCAAGCATCGGAACCACCAGTGTGAGCAGCACCTTGGCGCACACAACCAAGCTCTTCTGCAAGGTCTTGTAGACCAGATTTCTGGCCTAGAGTATTGATGACGGTCGAGGCGGTAGGGCTGAGACGGTTCTGCGGAGCTAGGGTACGCTGAGCATGCCGTAATAAGAATTTGATGTCCCAAAGTTTGGGAAAGTAGATGTTGACAAGATCGCGGAACTCTGATTCATTCTCAGGCAGCGGAGCGTTGGTCAGTAGCTTGATCAGATATCCAAAGTCGTATCCCGAGTGGAACGAGAGCCAATTGACATCGTCGACAAAAGTAAGGCCTGAGGTGGTCAGAGCAGCACCGAAAGCATTGAGATCAATGCCTTGTTCCTGGTGCTTGGCAAAGTCAAGACCTGCTTTCTTCAGAAGTTCAATTGATCCTTCTGCGTACATGTCATGGTCGAGGGAGAAGCGGAAGTTGAATGACCACGTGCATGGACATACGACAAGGTTGTTTGGAAGTTTGGGAAAGAGCGAGGGATCCGGTTGTTGAGGCGGCAGCTCACCATCTGCAGTCCAGATGGTGATTCCCAGCTGGATGGGTTTGAGGAGATCGACGTTACAACGAAGGGTTTGGTAATGATATGAGGCCTTATTCTCAAAATTGCCAATGGGTCGCGCTACAATTCCAGGGAACTCGGCGTCCTGCGTGTCATTGAGTTAGCTACATGGAGAGGTACAGTAGAGGGAGCCAATGCAGCAACGTACCATGCTCACGTAGGGGTACTTTGTGATGAGCTGGCGCAACAGGACCATCTCATGCTCGAGATTGTGGGCCCAGACTTCACGTATCCTTCCGGCTAGACCAGACTTGAGACCTAGTTGAGCGGCCTCGGCCTGGTGGGCCTGCTGTTGTTGGAGAGCAGCGCCGTGTGCGAACCCCCGGTATGCAGCCTCACTGCCCAAACCTGTGCCTCCACCAACTCCTTGTGCAGCATTTGCTCCGGCCAGGGCACCAGCGCTAGCATAGGCGTTCTGTAGGGCGACATTGGAGGTCGGAGGAGCAAAACCATTGACGGCGGCGTAATTGGAAGGCCGCGTCAAAGGCTGCGGCAGAGAGTGCTGTTGTTGCTGGTAATGCGACTGTGGGATGGAGTGGGCGGGATTGAGATGCACGAAGGGATTCGACATGTGGCTCGCATGCATGCGGCCAACTGCTGGCGGCATCGTGGACCGCACCCTCGTGTCTGGCGCTGTCGACGAATGCGTAAAGGATTGGGGCAGATCGGGGCCGCGAGGTAGGTGAAGCTGGTGAGGATAATTTGAGTCTTGTAGCTAGCTGTATGCAGCGCGTGTCGGGCGGTGGTGGAGTGCTAACTCGGTGGTCGAGCAAGCATGGCATACCGAGACGCGGGCACGGAAGTAGCCGCCCTGCAACTTGGACGTCGCAAGAGCTGCGTCGCATCCGCTACTCACATCCAGCAACCCATCGCCCAACCGCATACCATGGCTCCTCGTACCAATCTCACTGGTTTCGACCCTCAAAAGTTCGCCGCCGCTTCCGGCCAGCCCAGAAACGACCCCTGGGCTAGATAGTACGTCTACACCACCACACCATGATCCAACCATCTCTCTGACGCAACCCCACAGCGAGGCCTGGAGATACACTGGTCCTTTCTCGCGCTGGAACAGATTCAAGGGCTCTTTCCCCGGTCTCGGTATCGCTACTGTCGCCTTTGCTGGTTACCTCGCCTACGAAGCCGTCTTCCTCAGTGACGACCACCACGGCCACGGCGAGGCTGGTCACGGCAACGACCACCACTAATTCACGACTGCCTTTTTCATTACTGTTATTCGGGCGTTAACGGGGGACCATCAACTTTACCGCCATCTGAACCTGGCTCGCTGGATACCGAAACGAGAAAGACACCAGTCGCCTCTGCCATAATCATATCCACCTACAACGACCAGGCCATGCCACGAGATATCCACAGAGGCTCTGCCATGTAACCATCTGTCGTCAGATTCTGGATGCTCGTTCATGCGAGCGTTTGCCTGTACATATAGAGCATCAATCAGGCCCTACAAGGTGCTGATCAAAATGTTATGGAACGAATCATCGAATCTCCCATCTTTGACTCTACAAGCGAACTTCTGAGAACCAAAGCTGTATGCTGTGTCTTCTTGTGTTTTGATGACTGTAATCTCGTCCATCATTCGTTCGTGTTCTACAAAGAGACCCGGGGTCAATCCATGCTCCTCTTGCTGTCTGTACTCTATGAGGTATGCATGTCTACGCTATGGTAAGTCTAGTCGATGTCGATAAACACTTTCCCATGCATTGCCTGCCCGTGAGACTCGCTACCATTCAAGTTCGGACCCATCGTGATACACGAGTCGTTATCAGTTGATCTAATCGCGGTAGCTAGTCATTAGCGTCTTCCCCACTCTGATGACGAGCCTCGGTGTGTTGTTGCAGGCGCAGAGCGCGTCTGCTGCATTATTGGCAGAGGCGCATGTTGTTCTGCAATGTCACCCTCGTCGCCCTCCCCAGATGACCAACCCCAAAGACTTCAGCAATCAGCCATGCCTCGTGTCTATCCCCCGATCGAGGGGAGACAGGCTGGTGCCGGTTTGTCTCCTTCACTCATAGAGACTGTCGCCGGCTTCAGCGCTGGAATTATTTCTACTCTGGTTGTTCATCCATTCGATGTCGTCAAAACACGCCTGCAGGGTGTGTCTTAGCTTGAACATCTGGAAAGCCTGGTCGCTTGCTAAAATAGGCCCTATACAGTGGATCCAAGCACAACCAGCCATCTGGGCGACTCGGTGCGCATCGTCAAGAACATTGTCAGAAATGAGGGCGGCTATTCAGCTTTGTACCGTGGTCTTATGCCCAACATGGTGGGAAACTCTGTCAGTTGGGCCTTGTACTTCCTCTGGTGAGCCTAGTTACACATCTGTCTCATCGGCATATGCTTACAAATGTGAATCTAGGTACGGCAATATCAAAGACCTGATCAAGACCGCTCGTGGCAACCCAGACGTCCTTACATCCTACGATTATTTTCTCGCTTCTGGTACCTCTGGAATATTGACTGCACTCTGCACCAACCCCATATGGGTCATCAAGACGCGCATGCTATCTACCTCGCGTGATGCGCCTGGCGCTTACAAGTCGATCCGTCAAGGAACAACACATCTTTGGAAGACAGAGGGCTTGAAGGGATTCTATCGCGGTCTCATACCATCTTTGTTTGGCGTCAGTCACGGTGCTATCCAATTCATGGCATACGAACAACTCAAGAACCATTGGAGCACAAGTCGGGGTGGCAGAGATAACCTTACCAATCTGGATTTCCTATTGCTGAGCGCCGCCAGCAAGATGTTTGCTGGTAGTGTAACTTATCCCTACCAGGTTGTGAGGGCACGTCTTCAGACATATGATGCCGACTCGCGTTACAAAGGTGTGAGAGACGTTGTCAAACAAGTCTTTCAGAAAGAAGGCCTCAAGGGGTTCTACAAAGGGTATGTACTCCACTGCTGCCATTTGTGCGTCAACTTCTAACTCCATCATTACTAGCCTTGGACCCAACATTGTACGCGTCCTTCCCTCGACTTGCGTAACCTTCCTGGTATACGAAAACACCAAGTTCTACCTGCCTCGCCTCTACCAGTCCTACCAGGAGATCAAAGGTGCCGACTGAGATGCACAATTGTAGCAGTACATCTCGAAACACAGGCGTCACGATACACATACCGCCCAACATTGCTCCCACGAAAGGGTTTGCTTCGACAGAAGGGCTGAAGGGCATCATCAGCCTGATGCAAATAGCGACGACAAGAAGAGCTACCATTTCCTAGCTTGTCGAGACACTTCCCCTCTGGTCGTGCTGTGATCAAATCAGGCCAGGACTGCACTTTGCTATACTAGGAAGAGTACAGCCAGAACTAAAATGTGGTAGAGCGGACGGCGAACACAGGAACAGTAGCTAGAACGAAGCAAGCATAGCAACGAGCTCATGAAATCAAAATTTATGGACACAATCAAAACAGTTAATCGTGTTTGCTGTCTGTAGTCAAATGTGCTGACGAAAACATTCAGATGTGGAGTGTTCTACCATCTCTATGTATGTCTCTTCAATGTTCCCATCACGTTCTCAACATTGTCGTCACAACGTTCGTACCTAATTGTGAACGGGTGTCCTTTCGCAACTCTTTCCCCACACCTTCCACCTTCAAGGACTCTCCTCCTTGCACCCAATCACACACTGCTCGGACATACATCATGGAGGGACCAGACACATTCGTACAGCTACCGCTGACCATCGACCCCAACACCAAAGCCATTTCTTCAACCTCGTCATCGGGTGCACTCGAAGCCGAGTTGAACGCGCTCAATGCACTGCATCGTTCATTCATCCAAGATCTCGAAGGACCTCTAGGCATTCCGCCACCACCCGTTCCCGTCAATCCCAAACGATCAGCACAAATCACCAAGCTCAAGGAAAGCGGCAACGCTTCTTTCAAGAAGGGCGCATACCCCGACGCTGTCCGTATGTACGGCCTCGCTATCGACATGGCTATCAAGCGTCCTGTATGGGAACCCGCCGGTCTTGTGCGTGAAGAGCTCAGTCAGTTATACAACAACCGCGCTCAAGCATACATGGTTCAACAAATGTGGCCCGATGCTGCTCTCGATGCCTTTTGCAGCACCGAGCTCAAGAAAGTCGCCAATACCAAGGGATGGTGGAGACGTACTGTCGCTCTCAAGGAGCAGGGTCGCCTTGATGAGGCTCTAGACGTTGTCAAGGAGGCTGTTGACTTCGAGTCTGCTGGTCCAGACAAGGAGGGTGTAGAAAAACTTGCCGGTCTGATGAAGGAAATTGAGGCCGCTGTGGAGAAGAAAGCACTTGCTTGATTACGCTTACACCAAGGAAGACAACTACAACTACAGTGATCGCTTGTTGGATTATGCATGGCGTTGGGGCGCAGGACAATAGAGGCTAGAAAGCCCTTGCATTTTGAGGTTTATGACGAAGAGGCGAGAATCTGGCGACAACAAGCCTGGCCCAGTCGCTGCGTGGAAAAACACGAGGTACTTATCCTCTCCCCGAACCCTGCGCATATCGACTTTTCCTAGTCTCCCCTGAACCTTGAACGATACCCTGATTTTTCACTCTTGTATACCATTTTCTACAACACTTGTGTCCAACTTCACGAGAGTCAATTCTCATACCACCAAATCTTGCAATAACGATATAGCAATAGCGACACCTCAGCTTGTTCTGCTCTATTAATATGTCATGCCAGCTTTCACCCAGCACAAAGTGCAACCATTGCCCAAACTGGTATGTGTTCGAGAAGAAACATGGCAAGATAAATGGCTTAGCGGCAATGGATATGAGCTGAAGGATTGTCGAAACGATTTACCATAAATTGCCATGATCGTAGATTCATCTTGCATATGATTGAGAGATCGGTTGCATGCTGCAGCCTCGTCTGTCTTTGTACTGCTGAAACCGATGCTCAAAACTCATTCCACGCGAGACGCTTTCTGAAACACGTTTCGAATGAGCTGATGCGAGACATAATCGACATGCAGATCAATCTCGGACCGCATCCCGTACAAGAAGGTTCTGACTTTGTGAGCCTTGTGAACACGATGAGTAGTGTCCTGATTATTCTTACACCCATCCAGATCTGGTTCATATCCCACATCTCAAGGTCCTGACCGCCACGGAAAGGCGAGTCAATCGATCACGCACCACCTCAAATGCAAGAGATGGCTGGCTGGCCAAGCCGGCTGCTGTCGTGTGGCGCTCGGAGTCCCTAGCCAACGGCCGCGTCGATCATCTAGCATGGCTCAGTAAACATAAATGCTGTCCACTCAAGAGCCTCAGATCTGTATTAATATAGTGAGCTGAGACGTACTTACGGTGAGACCATAGTTTTATTACGAATTTTCTGCAAGATCTGCAGCTTGTTCAGTCGCTCAGCCCTAAAACTTGTTTTGCTGTCCACCACCTTCCGCGTAGGAAAAGATCGCATCGCTCAAGTACTTCAACCCACATCCCCTCTTCTTACTTTCTCAGAAGCTCTATACCGTGATACGGGATTTCCTACTCCGCTCAGGCGCCCTCCCTGCCATGTGGATCCCCCAGAATCGTCTTCACAGACTGAAGATCACTGGTCATCTTCTTCAAGCAATCCTCACATTTATCACAGGATGTATGACTTTGGCTATCTTGACAGAGAAGAGAGAACGTGACAGTCGAGTGCAGTGGTGTTTTGCCTTGGTAAGAGTCGACCACATCACTTGTATCCTTGAACCTTCCTAACGCTTCTTAGTGTTTCCTTACAATGCCTGCTTTAATGTATCAAGTCAGTCCATCCAGACTCACCCGTTGCCAAACCACCTCCTAACAGTTCGTAGTGCATAATACCTTGCTGGACAAGGCTATGGCGTCTCGCCAATCCATACATCTTCTTCATGATCGACTCAGTATTCACGATTTTCTGGATCTCGGCATTTGCTTCTATGTGTGCTTGGACGGTGAAGGGAATACGAAAAGGTGCTATTGAAAAAAAGTTGAGCGCGAGTGATGCATCTTGCTCAACCTTTGCTTTTGGATCCGTATCAACATGTAATCTTGCCAAAGCCACGACGGGTCTGGGAGTAGCTTTGAGGTCAGTATATTCCTGGCTATCTTTGAAACGCCTAACTAATGTATTCAGCATTTTCTTCTTGGCTGCAGCAATCATTTCTGGCATCGATGCCTATAAGTTTTGGAAGTCAGGAAATGTGCGGACACAGCCGGATATTTATGGTCAAACGCCTTCTCGCGCTTCTTCGCCAGAGGGCAAGGACGAATGGTCACTGAGTACCGAAGATCTGGGTGCAAAGAGTACCTATGCTTCCGACGCGTATCAAGGCTGGGCCCAAGACCACGAACCTGCTTTCGCGGAGTCAGATACCATGGAGGGACGACATCCTGGCAAACACGTGAGGTGTGAAAGTACGAGGACAATACCCTACGAAAGAGACCTCACGCCTAGTGCCATGAGCCCTACCGCAGAATTACGCTATACAGGTATTTTTCCATCAGCGACAGCAAACTACAGCTTTTCGAGAGAATGAAGACGCTACAACGAAAAACGAATAGCAGCAAGTCAACAGAAGCTCTGAGAGAGTCGTCAGCAGAAAATACAGAATGCTGTTCAACATGTCCAGTCCTGAGCCAGTTAGACTATTATGCAATAAGATATACCCAAGTCTCCATATCACATTTCCTCATCAAATGAGTCCGCTTATCTCTATCCGATGCATGGTGATCGAACAAGTGCAGCGTTGAAAGATACAGTACCTACTAGAGTAGAATGCGTTCAAGGCAGAGTGCGGGGTTGTCTGGAGAGCTTCTGGACTGACATCAGATTCGTTGTCTCCTTGAGAAACAAAACTTTGAGACAACATTCCCAATTCGACATTTCATTACAACAGCATGTCGGCCAAGATCCAAAAGACGCTTGCGCGACAGCAAGAGAAGTAAGATCCTACACGCGCCGCTCACGACAGATAGCTGACAGCAACTTAAGGGTCAAAGAAGGCCAATTCTACGAAGCTCACCAACAGCTGCGCGTCATCGCATCTCGCTACACAAAGTCGAGCGACTGGACCTCTGCAATCGATTTGCTCGCCTCGGGAGCTTCCATGCTCCTCAAGGCTGGACAAGGAGCATCCGGAGGTGACTTGTGCATGTTCCTCATGGACGTCTACGGCAAGGCCGAATTGAAGCCCGACACGACAAACAAGGCACGCCTACTCAGCCTGCTGCGCGAATTTCCTGAAGGAGAGCCTACAAGGAAGAGATTTGCTGGAGAAATTATTGGGTATATATACTGGCCAGTGACCAATGGTTCATCAGGCTGACTAGGCTACAGGTGGTCGTCAAAGTTTGGTGAATATCCTGCTGGAGATCCTGAACTCCACCACGTTATTGGAACACTCTATGCTGAAGGTTCGTCTTCACTCCAGAACATACACATACTGGTTGGCTAACAATCGAGAAGATGGCGAGGCTGTTGAAGCAGAGAAACACCTCACTCTCGGAACCTCAGACTCACCAGCAACTTTCGCATCACTCGAATACGAATGGTACGCATCAGACGAGCCTTCGACTGCTCCTCTCTATGCCGCACGTGTCGTGTTCCCCTACCTGCTAGTTGGCAACCTCCGTGCCGCAAACAAGGCCTTCTTGCTCTTCACATCCAAATTATCGTCATCGAATCCTGGACTTGGTGTGCAAGAAGTTGGATCAGCCTCATCCGATCTGCGCGTTTATCCTAGCCTTCCATTGCTCAATTTCCTTGGCCTTCTCTTGCTGGCTATCGAGAAAGGATCTGCCGATGTTTTCAAACAACTCAAAAGCCACTACGCATCGTACATCAAAGACGCTGGAAATTGGAATGAAGCACTTGCTCAGGTTGGAGAAATGTATTTCGGCATCAAGATTCCTAGCCAGAGCAACCCACTATTTGATATGATGAGTTCGTTCATGGGAGGAGGCGGCTCAGGAAGTCAGAAATCGGCTCCCAGAAGAGTAGAAGCACCAGCACCTGCTCCTACATTGGATTAAGAAATGGTTGTCGTATTGAACGGGTAGCTTGTGCAATAGACATGATAATGTCAAGATTGGCTCTTGGCCCTGGTCGCGACCCAAAAAGTCTCTCGAGCAATCGTCGTGATTGTTGTACACTTAACACTACAAGTAATGACAATCATCATATTATCCGTACTCGAGAAGACGGTTATTCTTATCAATATAATCGGACATAACGGCTTTATCGGGCGCATTGTAAGGCCAAGCTTTTTAACGGTTCCTGAGTGGACCAAGTAATCGTCACTAACAGAAGATCGATGGGATTCTGACGGCAGATTGCAGCTGCTGCCTTCTTCCTTCTCTGTCCATCGGTCGACGTGCCTCTGTATCGCCATCACACGACCTCAATCGAGCACCCATGCGCGACTCGGCCGCATACCAGACGGTGTTGCAGTCTCCAGTCGACTTGCATTATCTGGGCGTTTCGAGCCATCCCAGTCAGCGTCAGCCACTATGCCGCAACGCTGAAGGATGGGGTCCTATTAGCCCTTTTCGCTATGACTTTACGCCCTGCTTCCTCGATGTCTGGGTTGCTTCTGTCTCTGTCTTTGGTCTGATCTTTGGAGCCGGTGCAGTTTACTACCTCTTGAAGAAATGTAGTCCTCAACCCGTCAAGCAAGATTGGCACTTCTATACAAAGATGTCCGTCCTTGTTGCTCTTTGCGTCGCCACCATCCTCCAAGCTGTCTTTCAGGTCATCAACTTTGGCAGTGCCTGGGCGGGCGATTTCCGCTTCTGGACCACCGTCTTGAATCTCGTCTCCATCGCCGTCATCTTCTACATCCAGTACATTGAACATTGGCGCTCCCGTCAGGCCAATGGAGTCGTTCTGGTCTTCTGGCTGTTGCTCCTCATCGCATACGCCGTCAAAATGCGTTCTCTAGTCTCGCAGCAACTATACCGCACCGAACTCCCTTACTTCGTCACCTTCGCCGTTAGTGTCGCCTTGGCTGCTCTCGAGTTCGGTCTCGAGTGGCTTGTCCCCAAACGTCTAAGTGACTACGATGCTCTTGGAGATGAAGATGAATGCCCTATGGAGTATGCCAACATCTTCTCCATTCTGACTTTCGCCTGGATGACTCCCATGATGAAATATGGCTACAAGAATTTCTTGACTCAGGACGAGTTATGGAACCTTCGCAAGAGAGACACAACTGCTGCAACCACTCAGGCCTTCAATGATGCTTGGGAGCAAGAGCTGGAAAAGAAGAAGCCAAGCCTTTGGATTGCCCTGGCTCGAGGCTTTGGTGGTCCATACGTTCGTGGTGCAATGATCAAGACCATCTCTGATGTCCTGGCCTTTGTTCAGCCACAACTTTTGCGTCTTCTCATCTCGTTCGTTGATTCCTATCGCACCGACAACCCTCAGCCTCCTATCCGTGGAGCCGCTATCGCTCTTTCTATGTTTGCTGTATCAGTCTCTCAAACGCTTGCCCTGCATCAGTACTTCCAGAGAGCCTTTGAGACTGGCATGCGTATTCGTTCATCGTTGACCGCCGCAATCTATCACAAGTCAATGCGCCTCTCTAACGAAGGCAGATCATCAAAGTCTACGGGAGATATTGTCAACTACATGGCTGTCGATACCCAGCGTCTGCAAGATCTTGCGCAGTATGGTATGCAGCTGTGGTCTGCACCTTTCCAAATCACACTGTGTATGATCTCGCTCTACCAACTTGTAGGATTGAGCATGTTCGCTGGTGTTGGTGCAATGATTGCAATGATTCCGATCAATGGTGTGATTGCACGTATCTCCAAGAACTTGCAAAAGAAGCAGATGAAAAACAAGGACTCGAGAACGCGTTTAATGACCGAAATCTTGAGCAACATGAAGTCAATCAAGCTCTACGCCTGGACTACTGCCTTTATGAACAAGCTGAACTACATTCGTAACGACCTGGAACTGAACACTCTTCGAAAAATTGGTGCATCCATGGCTCTGGCCAATTTCACCTGGTCAACTACTCCTTTCTTCGTATCTTGTTCGACATTTGCGGTCTTCGTCCTTACTGGCAACAAAGCACTTACAACCGATATTGTATTCCCTGCATTGACACTATTCAACCTCCTCACATTCCCCCTGGCTATCTTGCCCATGGTGATCACTTCCATCATCGAAGCAAGTGTCGCTGTCAACCGTCTGACAGACTTCTTTGTCGCACCCGAGTTGCAACGTGACGCTGTGCTCAAGTATGAGGCGGTTAGTGAACGCGGAGAGGAAGCCGTTCGCATCAGGGATGCAACATTCACTTGGAACAGCAATGATTCTCGCAATGCTCTTGAGAACATCTCCTTCTCTGCCCACAAGGGTGAGCTTTCTTGTGTTGTTGGTCGTGTTGGTGCCGGAAAGTCTTCCTTCCTACAAACCCTCCTGGGCGATCTCTACAAAATCAAGGGTGAGGTTGTTTTGCGTGGAAAGGTGGCTTACGTTGCTCAATCTCCGTGGGTCATGAATGCCAGCGTTAGGGAAAACATTGTTTTCGGTTATCGTTGGGATCCCCAATTTTATGAAAAGACTGTTCATGCTTGCGCTTTGAAGGAAGATTTCGCATCGTTGCCAGATGGCGATCAAACCGAGGTTGGCGAGCGTGGCATTTCCTTGTCTGGTGGGCAGAAGGCTCGTCTGACACTAGCCCGAGCTGTCTATGCTAGAGCAGATGTTTACCTTCTTGACGATGTTCTGTCGGCTGTTGATCAGCATGTTGGAAGACATTTGATTGACAATGTCCTTGGTCCCAATGGTCTTCTCAGTGGAAGAACGAGAATTTTGGCTACAAACTCTCTACCCGTCTTGATGGAGGCCAACTATATCGTTCTCCTACGTGAAGGTCGCATCTTGGAACGTGGTACTTACGAACAACTCATGGCTATGAAGGGAGAGATTTCTCAACTCATCAAGACTGCTAGCAACGAAGAATCTCAAAGCGAATCTCAGAGCGAGACACCAGACAGCGATGACTCGGCCACTGTCTTTGAAACCGATCCCAATTCCGCACAGGGCGAACTTGAGACCACGCAGGCTGAAGAAGGCGAGACTCAACTTGCTCCCATCAACACTGGTGGCGGTCGCCCAGCTCGCAGAGCAAGCGGTGTTTCCTTACGTCGTGCAAGTACTGCAAGCTTTGCTGGGCCTCGGGGTAAGCTCACGGACGAGGAAGGTACTGCCGGTCTCAAAAGCAAGCAGAATAAAGAATTCTCTGAGCAGGGTAAGGTCAAGTGGTCTGTCTATTCGGAATATGCCAAGACTAGTAACCTGGTTGCTGTCGCCATTTACCTCATCACCCTGGTCGGAGCTCAGACCGCTCAGATTGGTAAGTTTGTTCCAGGTATTGTCAAAAACGCCTATCTAACCATATCAACAGGTGGCAGTGTTTGGCTCAAGAATTGGTCCGAGATCAACGGCAGATATGGCGGTAATCCTCATGTAGGAAAGTACATCGGCATTTACTTTGCCTTTGGTATTGGTTCCGCTGCCCTGGTCGTTGTACAGACCCTCATCTTGTGGATCTTCTGCTCAATCGAGGTGAGTGTGCATAAGACTTGCATGCCGGGCCATCGCGCTAATTTTTTCATCTCCTGCAGGCCTCGCGTAAACTTCACGAACGAATGGCCTATGCTATCTTCAGATCACCTATGACCTTCTTTGAAACTACCCCCGCCGGACGCATTCTTAACCGCTTTTCAAGGTGAGTGGCTTCTTTTCGTCCCTGCATCTCTTCAATGTTGTGCTACGTTCGAGTACCGGACATGTCACAATGGCGCACGTGCACTTTCCAATCACCGGGTTCAATACTGACTATTGCTCTCCGCAGTGACATTTACCGTATCGATGAGGTCTTGGCGTAAGTGTTTACATGTGTCAGATTCTGTTGGACTGGTGAGCTGACCTGATTCGTTAGTCGTACTTTCAACATGCTCTTTGTCAACTCGGCACGAGGTATGTGGTGTCTCGATGCTAATGCAAGCAACATGCGTATATTGACTGCCTGTTCTAGCTCTCTTCACTCTGGTCGTCATCTCAACGTCGACACCAGCCTTCATCGCACTGATTGTGCCATTGGGTGGTGTCTACCTCTATATCCAAAGGTACTACCTCAGAACTTCACGTGAACTCAAGCGTCTGGACAGTATCAGCCGCAGTCCTGTATATGCTCATTTCCAGGAATCTCTGAGTGGTATCAGCACCATTCGCGCTTACCAGCAAAGCAAGCGCTTCGCCATGGAGAACGAATGGCGTGTTGATGCAAATCTCAGAGCATACTTCCCATCCATCAATGCCAACCGCTGGTTGGCAGTTCGACTTGAATTCATCGGCTCTGTCATCATCCTTGCTGCCGCTGGTTTCGCCATCATCTCTGTTTCAACTGGAAGCAATCTATCTGCCGGCATTGTCGGTCTAGCCATGTCCTATGCCTTGCAGATCACCCAATCACTCAACTGGATTGTGCGTCAAACAGTAGAGGTGGAAACCAACATTGTTTCGGTTGAGCGCGTCTTGGAGTACGCACGTCTCCCCAGTGAAGCTCCTGAGATTATCTCAAAGCACAGACCGCCAGTGAGCTGGCCTTCCAAGGGCGCAGTCTCTTTCAACAACTACAGCACCAGATATCGCGAGGGGCTGGACTTGGTTCTGAAAAATGTCAACCTCAGCATCAAGTCGCACGAAAAGATTGGTGTTGTGGGCCGAACAGGTGCCGGCAAGAGTTCCTTGACACTCGCCCTGTTCCGCATCATAGAGCCTACTGAAGGTGATATAACCATAGATGATTTGAGCACTAGCTCCATTGGATTGTTGGATCTGAGAAGAAGGCTTGCTATTATTCCACAAGATGCTGCTCTCTTTGAGGGCACTATTCGCGACAATTTGGATCCAGGGCATGTTCATGACGACACTGAACTCTGGAGCGCTCTAGGTATGTTTGTAGTCCGTGCCTTGCTGTTCAAATCACTGATAAACTGGTCAGATCATGCGCGCCTGAGGGATCATGTGTCAAGCATGTCTGGAGGACTTGACGCCCAGGTTCATGAAGGTGGTTCTAATCTGAGTCAAGGTCAGCGTCAACTGGTATCTTTGGCGCGTGCATTGTTAACGCCGAGCAACATCTTGGTGCTTGATGAAGCAACCGTAAGTCTTGTGTCAATTTAATCGCCGATGTTTCAACCCGCTAATATGTTTCATTCCAGGCCGCTGTTGATGTGGAGACGGATGCATTGCTGCAAACCACTCTCAGAAGCAACATGTTCAAAGATCGGACGATCATTACAATCGCCCACCGCATCAACACAATTCTTGACAGTGACCGCATTGTGGTACTTGACCACGGGCGTGTGGCCGAATTCGATACGCCTTCCGAACTGGTAAAGAAGAAGGGTCTGTTCTACGAGTTGGTGCGGGAGGCTGGTCTTCTTGGAAGCGTCGACATCAGCATTGCAGCAGAATAGTTGGTAGACTTGCATAGATCTGTTGTACACATACAACGATAATTACCCCATGCAGGGAGAAAATTGACAGCTGCTATGTGTCAATCATGTTAATCGCCTGGTGACCGTCTATGCACAACCCTTTTGAAAGCGCATGTCCGTCCTTATGTTATCATTGTTGGGGCATTGTTTCTACAGACGCCTCTCTGCTTGGAGCCATATTAAATGCACCGGACCCGCTGCAAGGAAGTGATACACGGGTGGCTTCCGAGATGCGTGCGGGTCAGATCTCGCAAGGGTACGACATCAGAGGACGGTTGTGGCCCGACCCGCTGAGCTTGAACTAGGCCAAGTGACAGGCATTATGAAACAAATGCTCTCAGAGATTCATGAACTGTTCAGGCTATGGTTTCTTCGACAGATGTAAACGATAGATCTCTCAAGTATGGCCGGGATTTGCATTGTTAGCCTTTCCCAATACAGTATGGTTCTGGTGGAGTATGCATGCCGGGGGCTGTGCGGCTTATGGAGCATCTGTCCAGGGTCCCTGATGGAATTCAACCGGCGCATCTTCATGCTGTCCCCCCGTGTAACACAAAATTCAAGCAAACATCGTCAAGCCCGGATTTGCCTGCTGTCTCTCAACGACAGATTCAGGCCTGCGCCAGATCCAGGCGGGGAAGATGTTTCCACCCGGAACTTGGTCTGCAGATCGGGACTGACGGTTTTGATGGCCAAGCCTGCATGCTCTTCGCATCGATCAGAAAGGTCAAGCGATTCGCGAGGCGTTTTTCCCAATCTACGAGCTACGCGCAGAAATTATCGAGCGTCGACCCAGCAAGGCAATGCATTTGCATCTTGCTATCTAGCGAAGAAGCGGCGGCATCCAGGGTAGTCTTTGATATCTGAACCGGAACCGATTTGGTGGAAATGGGATCTGTCGTATTGCTGCTTGTTCTTGATAAATCTATTAAGTCCTCTGGAGCCGCACTCTGGAAGGATCTTTTGAAACCCTGTTCCATCTTTCGTCGTCTTTTTTCTTCTCCTGTGTTTTTTCCTGCTTCCTTCTCGAATCATTCCTTCCCGTCGGCAAACAAGGCAAGTGACAGCTGTTGTTGTAGCGCCGCGTGAAGACACACCACCGAGGTCAGCTTTTGACTTGCCTGAACCCCGCACCCAATCGTGACATTCTCAGCCTATCATTCGGGTTAGTCGACACTGTTTCCTTGTGCATCCGTTCTTTACCTGTCGCGTCAATCTAACCCACCATTGCCTGGTGGCGTTGACGAGCCTCGGGGTGTCCGTCTTCTTCCCAAAAGGAGCTCCTCCTGTCTCACGTCCTTGTTTTGCAAGTTCTCGTCACATTTTGGTCTCCTTATCATCGATTCGGTTTCAAACAGAAGCGCTCATTCTCCATTTGCCCCCCTCTGACTGATCAGTTGTAGTCGAACAAAGCTCAGGCACGATACGCGCTAGAAAAAGCCAAAACACCTGGCAGTTTTGGCCGCACGAGGGTGAGCTTAATCCGTTCCCGAGATCATCGTCCCGCTAACGTCCGTTTTGACTTTTTGTTAGTTGTGGAGAAAACTGATCAGTCCCTTGCATCTTTACAAGGGTAACCCTCTATGCTATAAAAGGTCTTTGTAATTCAGACATGGTTTCAAGCTCTCAGCCTGCCAATAGGTTCGGGAGCCATGCTGGAGTTGGTAAGCAGCCAGGCAAACCTTCAGCTTCTAGCGCTTCTGTAAGCACCTCTCATATGTTTTATGTTTCATGCCTCTGACTGTCCCAGTACCGCCCCATAACATCATCGCGAGAACAAGCACTTACACTGAATCGGTCAAGAAACGTCGCGCTGGATCGTGATGATTCTTCGGCGGTGAGTAAAAAGAAGTATGTCGCAAATAGACTGGATAGCTTGCCTCCTCATGTCCTGGACCGCTTTTACCAAGTCTGTATCAACGAAGATGTTTCGCAGATCAAGGTCTCTGAGACGGCGCTAGATCCTCGAGCAGCCAGTAAGTCCATATCTTGTACTTACAAGAGTATGTATGTCTGATGAAGAAACAGGAATCCTGCAAATCGAGGAAGAGCCAGTATCGCAGCATGCTAATCCGCAACAAAAAGCATCAAAGCGTAAGGCAGCTGCTTCCACGGATTCTTCTGATGACGAGAATGAGGAAAGCTGGTCGAATCATGGCAACATGCAAATCACGTTGCATATTGCCAATGAGGATGAAGTGGTTCACTTCTTGAAAATGCGTTTCACCCAGATCCAGCAACTTGCAACCAAAGTCATCGCCAAAGCATGGATCAAAGCAATATGTCCAAAGAAGCAAGCAAACTTCCCCTATGTCGACAGCAACCCAAGACCGGATCAAAGTCAGAAACGCCGTCGTCCACGTCACGATGGTGCTCCAAGAATACCGCTATTCTGGCCCGATGTTGAATTGTGTCGACACAAAGAGCCTGATCATACTAGAAAGACTGGTATGTTCATCCAAATGACGGCATGACACAGGTGAACTGATTTATACAGAACGAACCTACCTCTTGGTCCATCTGCTTAGGCTGCACTGGACCGAGCAAGATTGGCTCGCCTCAAATGGCACTGGCTCAGAAGTCCCTCAAAAGATCAAAGATCGCAACTGGGTTGGATTTTTGAGAGACGCCTTTCCAGTCAACAAGCTTGAAGAAGTGCAAGGCAGTAACCCAGATAAAGCGGCCATGCGAAGGAGATACTTGAACCAGATCTACAAGGTTGCTGAAGACGAGCAAATGATGCGCCACAGAATGGGTATGTTGACGCGCTCTTTCCACTCAGACTCCTCATATCTGACAATGTCATAGGTCCAGCGAACCAGAAACGGAGCTACACTGCTGGCGCTGGTTGGATTCCAGCAGGTACTCAAGCTGCGGCATCTACAAGTCAGAGTGACCGCCAAGATAGCGAAGACGAAGAAGACTCGCCTGTCCTCAATTCGTCCACGATGGCGCGCACAGAGTCTCATTCAGAGGATTATGCAATGTCATCCAAATCCGAGGAGCAAGCAGATAACTCCGAATCAGCATCCTCATACTCCGGGGTCGAGCTCATCAAGGAGGCCAAGGTCGAGCAGGTGCCGTTCAGTGGATTCTTACCGGCAGACGAAGTCGCAGTGGCCGGCCCTAGTCATGGTTCAGACTTGAAATTCGACCCTGCAGATGAGCCTATGACGATTCCGCTTGGGTCAGTGCCGCCCAGTGAGGACATGGACTACTATGAACCATCATGGGGTAGCAGCACAACGATGGTTCAAAGACCACCAGAGGCATATCAGCAGCCTCAGTATGCCGGTGCTCCCACTCCTTGGTATGAAGGTGCGTCCATGAGTCATGCGCAAGGCCAAATGCCTACTGTCAGCAATCAACCTTGGAACGACTACCGTCATGGATTCGGGCCGTATCAACCAGCGACACTCTCTGACAGAGTGATGAATGAAGCAGTACCTCAAAATGCTGGGTTTGTGAACATACACCAGATGGCCATGTCGGCGCCTTTTGTACAGCCGATGGTGACAGCAGCCGATGAAGGGCAGCATGTTATGTACCAAGGGCCCAGGATGCATTACGGCCATGATGCTTTCGAGCAGCACAGTCAACCTGGATACATGGGTACACAGCACCCAGAGATGTACTCGAGATGGTCCTGAACGAGAGCAAGAGTCAGCATTTGAATGAAGAGAAGAACGGCAACGATGATGACAAGCACGACAGCAACGAGACTGACGACATTGATGAAATTGCATATGGCTCGGCGAATGAACCAGACACGCAGAGACCTCCTGAAGATGGTAATTGCTTGCACAGCTAATGGTGTTTGTTTAATGTCGTTGTTTCTTTATGGTAAAGACGGGTTTCTTTGGGTTCTGAACATAGTTGATGAGTAGTGTTAACGTTGATAACGATATGTGTTTGGAAAATTGAAAATGGCAGACAATAGCAGATAGCAGATTAATGGAACAAGTGCATCCTTAATGGAAGTTGACTTGTGAACGAGGAAGTCGCGAAGATGGCGCACGCGAAGGCTTGGCGAAATGACAAGTCGGCCAGGTTGTGATGAACTGATTTTATAACTTTGTGCGTCGTCTCATGGAAGCCGCGTTAGCAAATCTAAGACAGGGCTAGTATCGTGTCTTTGATAAAAATATAAAATAAGTATATTGGAATAATATCTATTCTACTTTTTTTGGTGGTTGTGTTGTGTCTTACCTAGTTTTTCTCCTTTTTATTTTTTCCCAATATCAAGTAATCGAGGTCGTAAAGTCCAGAGCATTCATGAGATATGGGAGTGTTGTTCGTTTCCATCCGGAACTTAATAACCCTAGCACTGGCACTTGATGATTTGATTTGTGCATGTTCTATTGGAAAATCAGCTAACCTAACTCTGACCTTTGCGCTGTGATTCAATTTCATACTGCACGCGAGATTCCAAGCCAAATCACGAGCGAGCCGTATGTGAGGTGAACCCGACCCCATGTCGAGAGCGAGTACAATATGTGTATACGGATACTGCTTGAGTGTGCGGACTACTGGACTGAAAGTACAGCTTGGGAAGGGTATGCTGCATGTCTTCGATGTTGATGTCTGCATCGATCATCTTGCGTACGTCCTTGTCCATCTGTGCAGTCATATTGTCCACTTTTGCCTGTGGCTCCATCCCTTGTACATGCTGTTGGTGGCCTTGCTATACTTTGGGAGGCTGTGCTAGTTGGCGCGAAACGTCGCGACCGGCAGCGCTGCGCGGATGTTGCAGAGGTTGATGAGGTGGATGTTCGTCTATGGGGGGCTGATCGGGTTGAGCCTGAGGTGTCACTCGACTCGGAGGTCATTATGGGCCTGGGAGAACAGTTGATCTGGAGAGATGCGCGGGGTAGCACTTGTTCTGGCTTGTGCAAAGGACGGACGACGACTGATCTAGCTTGTTATAAGGTCAGGGCTGCGCGAGACAGAAAAGACTGCAAGAATGCGCGGTGGCTGTTGTTGTAGACTGGATCAATGTCGGATATGTTGGCGTGGATGTATTGAATGTGCTTTTTTATCATGGTGCATCATATCTCTTCCCCTGTGGGCCTGATGCGGTCTACTCGTTGTCTTGGACTACCCTAATCTTGCAGTCAGTGAATGAACAGTACATCGAAAGACAGAGTTCAACAAGACGCCTCTCCAAACACAACCAACCCTAGCCCTGACCCGCGCATCGTGACTAGACGCTATTTCCTGCTTTCTAGACTTGATCTACGCCCAGACTCCAAGCCGCGAGTGGCGCAGGCGAGGGCGTAGCCCGAGCACGCGTCGCGAGCGTGACCTTATAGATGTGGATACTGCTCGAGTGTGCGAGGGATTATGTAGGCAGATATGCAAAGAGATGGACAAAGAGGTGGACCCCCCACAAACAACCACACAATCCTGACCTCGGCATCGAGATTATGGACTTGTATAATGCTTGAGTGTTTGAGAGAGAGAGAGTGTGTGTGTCTGTGCAGACAGGCATGCAAAGAATTAGACAAAGACGCAGATCCTCTCCAAAGCACGAACCCTAACCCTGACCTTTGCATCTTGACTTGACGGTTTTCATTGCTTCCTCGACTTCAGCTGGGTGCAAAATCCCCCAAATTCAAGCCGCGAGCGCGCGGCATGGGTGAGGCGAAGCCGAATCCCATGCCGCAAGCGAGCACGCCGCGAAGATAGGAATACTGCTTGAGTGTGCGAAGGAGCATGTTGCAAGGAGGTAGATAATGATGATGAAATGCAGGTGATCAGATAGCAGAGACGAGAGTGAAGAATGGCGTACTAACCTACCATTGATCTGCAAGACGGGCTGTTTCTCTCCGCATGGTTCACTCACAAATGACAGACCCTAATCCTGACGCGGAATCGTTGACCTGCTGCTGTGCATCCGCAAGTGTGTCAGATGTTAGCAAAATCTAACCTTGAGTCAAGCATCTAGTTTTGCTGCGGTGCAGGCAAATTGCAGTGTTTTAACTCGATCAACGTCGTCACTTACAGATCTTACCGGCAGGGGTTGCCATAGTCCGCTGTGTCTGCCTGCAAGTCTGTGTCCGTGTATCAAACCTGGCAAACCCTAACCTTGATCTTTGCTTCCAACTTTGCATGAGAGTTCATATTAGACCGACAAACCCTGACCCTGACCTCTGCATTCATTGATGCCGGCTCAAGATGACGGTTCTGCATCAAGAACTCACAACCCCTAACCCTGACCTGTCCCTTTTGTGGGCGAGCTGCGTTGTATGCTTGAAACGGCATACCTGGCTCATGCAAACACTCAAACCCTGACCCTAATCTCAAGTCACAGGGCTCCAACCACCAGCCCCAAGCCGCGAGCGGCGCGGGCGAGGGCGAAGCCCGAGTCCGCGTCGCGAGCGTGTGTTTATAGACGTGAATGCTGCTTGATCTTGAGTTGGAAGAGGCCTGATGCTGCGAGAGAAGTGAGTTGAAGCCCTTGACTTACCCACCCATGAATGCCCATACTTGTTGCTCAGCCGACTTTGAGCCCAATCGATGCGGCGTTCAGTTGAAGGGATGTATGTGAGAGCATGGTATGCTACCCCGGTTTGGTCCTGCGCAAAGCAGTAAGAGGAGTCGCTATAACCACCGCCGAACACTGCATCCAGCATTCTCGCTCTTTCCGTCTTACTATCAACCTGTTTCAGGTCTAACCCTTGCTTGACAGCGTCATTTTCAGGCCCAGGTGACCATGATCGATCCCGAGACTTGTCGAGGGATTGACGAGCATCAAAGACTGGAACAGGACATTTCCATGTTCATCTCAGGTCATCTCAGCGAGCCACCACGCCGCCGAAGTACTACAGCTCTGTCAATCGCGTGCACAGCGCTCGACTGTCCACTCCACCAACCCTAACCATGGCCAAAACCAAAATCGAAAGCCGCGAGCGGCGGGCACGAGGGCGAAGCCCGAGTGGCCGTTGCGAGCGTGTCGTTATATACACGGGTACTGCTTGAGATCGGCGTAGGTCTATGCGACAGGAAGCTGGCGTTGGAGACCGCAAACATCAGCGACCACTATGGCTCATCACATTGGCCACGCATGCTGTGGCTACTGATGTGCACAATGACAAATGTCGGACTGTCGAGGCGAAGCATCTGGCTTACAAAGTGGTCGTATTCAAACAATGACAAGCTGATCATCAACAAGCTTGTAAGCGCCGAAGTCCAGACACTGGTTGCTACTGCGCGCCGGTCGTACCGAAAGGGACAGTACCTTGGCGCTCAACTTCTCAGCGTCTGAAACATTAGAAGCTTTGCTACACCTCAGAACTTAAGAGAATGCTCTATACAGAATAGTAGTGAGAATCGCCATACAAACTCAGTTATCTACATTCTCACTCATCTCCAATTATACCTTAAGCTCTTTTAGATGTATTATTAATGTTGCTATTGCCCTTTAGTCTCTAATACTTCTATGCCTTAGTAGCTACCTTACTAGTGCTACCTTACTATTGCTACCTTACTATTACTACTACTTTCTATTTAATACTTAATTTTCTAGTATTAATAGTCTCTATAGTAATAATAGTAGTAAATCTCTACTTACTAATACTAGTACTAGCTTACTTATACTTATACTTAGTAAACTATTAATACTTACTATACTTAATTAATTAACTTTCTTTTTCTTATATATATACTTAAGTATAATAACTACTTTAAGCTATTATAATATCTAATAAGAACTTTATCTTTACTACCTTCTATAATAATAAAAGTACTACTACTACTATTACTAATAATACTAATCTTACTACTAAGCTTAAAAATATTAATATTACTAATATACTTTCTAATAATAAGGCTACTACTCCTACTACTTCTACTAAGACTATTATTCCTACTATTTCTAAGTCTAGTAAACTTAAGTATCTTTCTAAGTTAGCCTTAACTACTTTTTTATATATTAATAAGACTACTTTCTTATATATTAATAAGACTACTTTTTTATATATTAATAAGACTTACTTATATAAGACCCCTACTAAGACTCTCTTATATAAGTATAATATATCTAAAGGTATCTTTAATTTTCCTAATAATAAAAAAGAAAATACTAAGATTAATACTAAGTTTAATACTACTATTCCTACTAATAATAATAATATCTTTATAGATAATATTACTACTAGTCCTACTATTAAGAAAAAAGAGAATATTACTACTAGTTCTACTAGTCCTAAAAAAGAGTTAATTAAAAAGATTTCTATTTTCTTTAAGAAGTTACCTTATAAGTTATAGTAAGTTTAGTTCCTTCTTAATTAATTAATTAAGTTTATATATCTAATATTAATATAGATAGCCTAAGTAGTTTATTAGCCTTTACTATCTTACTACTACTAACTCTTAGTACTTCTAGTACTACTCTAAATAGAAGTAGATTAAGACTACTTTTAAGGCTTTTAAGGATAGGAATAACTATAATACTAGCTCTACTTAGATACTTAAGCATATTAGTACTATTAGCTTAGTTATAGAGATTAATAGTATTAAGGTTCTTATCTCTTACTCTTAGTATAAAAAGGATCCTATTAGCTATTCTTATAAGGTTATTTCTAGTAGTAATATTTATACCTACTATAAGTATAATAGTAAGTCTAGCTATACTACTAGTAAGAGTTAT